AATCTTGCAGATAAAGGATTTGACGAAATGACGCCAGTGCAGGAAAGCGTGGTGCCCCTGCTTTTGCGGCAGAGAGACGTGGTAGCCGAAGCAGTCACGGGCTCTGGAAAAACATTTGCATTTCTTGTGCCCCTTCTACAGAGAGTGCTTGCAAAAAAGCGTGGGAAGAAGACAGTAGGGCCAAGGACCCTTGTTGTTGCACCAACACGTGAGCTAGCGCAGCAGATTCACCAGGCCGCGCTCTCTATCACAGAGGGCCTCGATGTAAGCATGCAGTGCATCACAGGAGGTGCGCAGGTGGAAGAAATCGTTGCACAGCGCGTGCAGAGCGAGGAAGGAACAGTGCAGTGGGCAGACATTATGATTGGATCGCCAGGAAAAGTGTTTGAGCTGAGCCGAGAGGGCGGAATGCCTCTACGTGATGTAGAGCTCTTTGTCCTGGATGAAGCAGACAAAATGCTTTCATTTGGATTTAGGAAGGAAGTCTCAGAAATGCTCCGCATGCTTCCGCGGGCAAAGCAGACAGCGATATTTTCTGCCACAGTATCAGAGAGTGTGCACGCACTTGGCCGTCTAGGCATGCGAAGTCCTCTGTTTGTGTGTGTTAAGAGTGCACTGCGGGTGCCAGATGGTCTTCGTCTATTTGGTCTGTGCGTGTCGCCTGCACAAAAGGCAGAGGCTCTAATGCGTAGTATCCGTGCACTCGGAAAGAAAATAATTGTGTTTTTTGCTACGTGTGCACAGGTAGACTACTTTTATTCTAGGCTGATGCAGACAGTAGGAAGAGGAGGACTGCATAACTGTGTGCTGCGTCTGCACCGAAAACTACCACAGACAGTGCGCGAGCAGACGTATGCAGAGTATGCTGCCACGGAGTCGGGCGTTCTTCTGTGTACAGACATTTCAGCACGTGGTCTAGACTTTCCTGGTGTAACTGCAGTGCTGCACTTTGACCTACCGCAAGACCCAGTGACTTTTGTGCATAGAAGTGGAAGAACCGCGAGGGGCGGCCAGGATGGACTTTGTTTATTCTTTTGGATGCCAAATGAGAAGGAGTATGTTGGGTTTATGCAGGCCCGCGGAGTGCCTATACAGACTCCAGACGAGAATCTTCTGCAGCAACTAACGCCAATCAAGCCAGCTGTTGTTCGCGGCGCGTTTGGAGAACAGAAAAAGCCAGAAGACCCAGCACTCTATCTACCAGAAGATGTAGAGAATGAGCAGGATGTTGTTGCATTTGTCTCGTATATTCGTTCGTATAAAGAGCATCTATTAAAGCACGTTCTGAACTATAAGCAGCTAGATTTTGTGGGACTGACAGATCTGTACTGCTTGAAGCGGCTTCCACACGTACCAGAGATGCGCGGGGTCTATGTTCCCCGCCTGCCTGCACTGCCCAAAAAGAAAGAGCAGGTCCCATATGAGCAGGTAAAAGAAGAAGTAGAGGGGGAAAAGAGTATGGAAATCACAAAGCCGGCGCCGGTATACAAAAAACCAGCAGGAAAAATGGCCCGAAGAGTGAATATACCAAATATGCACAAAAGGGTAAGGAGATAATAGATAATTATTATTCATCAGTATAATAAACATAGAATTTCAAGATATAACAAACCACCAAGAATTTTCATAGAAATATCTTCTAAGTAGTGAATATAAAAATTAAAATAAATATATATTGTGAACTATGCATAATTTATTAAAAATAAAATATTATTTATGTCTTAAGGCCTCTCGAGCCATATATCAATAAACTGTTTTAAGATAAAAAATGCCTTAAATGTGTAAATATTCCAAAGATTTGAACTAATTTGCATTTATTTTAATGCGGTGTTAATCACAAGATATAATTTATATATTAGACCCCTGGCATATTAATTTATCTTGGTCACAAAAATCTGTGTTTGCTCTTGCTTTTGCAATTGCTCTCTCTTTTTTCTTTGCTTTATATCTGTTGTAAGCCAGTATGACAAAAACAGATAATAAAAATACACTAAAAGTTAGAGAACACCACAAAACATAGACCCAAACACTCGGAATTGAGTTGCTTTCTTTGGTGGCTTTTTTTATATTGTTTTCATAGGAAGCAGCGGCTTCTTTTTCTCTAGATTGTGTGATGCTATTCTCTTCAGAGTCGTGATTAAAATCATGGTTGCTTAGTTGGTCCTCTGCTGTGATATATTCAGACACATCTTCTGCGGAATTATATGATAAATCCGGCTTGTGCAAATTTACTAATGGGTTCTGTATTGAAATATTTTTTCTTATATTCGGATTCATGGAAGAATTATATGAATTTATGCTGTCTTCTATGTGATATGTGATATCTCTGGTCATAAAATCATTGAATGACATGGGCTGGGCATTGTTAAAATTATGTTCATCCGAATTTAGAGTAGAATGCGCAGAGTACATCTCTTCAGATGGGTTTGCCTCTTCCTGCTGGGCACTTCTATTCAAATTAGTCAGTGGATTATCCTCTTTCGACTCAGGATGGGAAATCTTATATGATTTTTCCTTTTTCTGGTCATTTGGCGAGCTATTTTCAGGTGCACTGATCTTTGAAGAATCTGGACTGCTGCTGGAAACTGCTCTCACCACAGAAGCTGGGGCTTCTAAGACAGGAGGCGCATAGACAGTAGATTGAAAGCTTGCGGGTGTGTGAGAATCATAAGTTTCTTCAGCCTGGTTTGTGCAGCTGACTATAGATTCATGCGCTGTTTCTGGATTTATATGTGTATGTGGTATTACAAAATCGCTAAGCTGCTCAGAAATCTCAGAAATAGTTGCAACAGAGACATTTCTAAAATTTTCTGGATTATAGCTAGGAAGTGCTTTAAAGTCTTCTAGAGAAGAGCCGGCATTATTAACAGGCTTTGTTGCTTGATGCACTGATTCTTCCACAGAAGGCAACAAAGGAATATTACTAGCAGAAATAGAGACTGACGGCAGTTCTTCTTCCTCGATACTTAGTCGTGATTCTTGAATTTCTGGCCATTCGAATTCGTCTACAATTTCAGTAATAGAGAGAGAAGGCATGCTTTCGTTATCAAGCGAGCTAACATCGACTATATTAACATTTACAAACGAGTCTGTTTCTTTTTGTTTGCTCTGGAAAATCTGCTGAATTAGTGAAAGAAAGGCAGAAGCTTGCTGATTTATGCTGTTTGGCATCTTTAGATCCATATAATTTTTGGTTTTTTTCAACAAATAGTCATCAATATTGTTCTCCCCCATATCATGTAATGTGCTGCGCAGCAGTGGATCCATATATACACACACACCATCTTCATTTATATTTATATACACACCGCCATTACTTGACTGTGCTTTTTGAACAGTGCTTACTATGCCAGGAACAATTGAATTCAGCTTCTCAAGCTTTGCCTGGCTTAATGAATTGCTTCTAGAGTTTGGTAAATAACTCTCCAAAGACACCCTGCCCAATTGGTTATTCATTATAACAAATGTATTATCTTGTCTATTTTGAGTTAATTTCTTTGGAATGGATGGATTTTCAGTATGTGCAACAATATATGCTTTTATATTATCATTGCTGGTTTGGTACATCCAGTACTCCATGTCCGATGGCTGCCTAATAGAAGGCGCAAGCATATTCAAAAATAGTGTTTTGTAAAGGGCCTTCATTCTAGCCATAATTTTTGTGTTATGTGCGATGTCAGACAGATCAGAAAAGGATGGATGACTGTTTTGCTTTTTCTGTATAGCAGCCTCCCCAGAACTCTCTAACTCTTTAAATTCTGAGCCGTGATTAGATTCAATGGGGGGGATTTTCTTAAATATTTCTTGGATAGGTAAAGGCGTATGCTTATATGCGCCATTACTGCTTAGATTCTCTGGAAGCTTCTTTTCTTCATATGCCCGATATTTTATTAATGGAGCTGCTAGCATAATAGGCAATTTGTTATTCCTATTTACATGCTTATATAAATACCTATCTAGAATACCCGAATTATTTGGCATATGCTGAGCAGAGGAAGAAGGTGTAATCTTTGTGCTCTGAGGAATGCCACTGCTTGTATTTGGGACAGGCGCATGTTTTTCTATAACATTGGCATATGCGCTTGGTATACGTAAAGTATTCAAGAACATAGGGGGTTTCTTATTGTGAAGATAGATTGACGCGCTTCCTATAGCATCTCCCACTACTCCTCGAAGGCCTGATGAGCAAAGCACGCCCATGTGCAGGCCCACCAGCAAGTGTTCAAGACAAAGTAGAACTATTATTTTTTGCACTCGTATCTTATGGATAAACATTGTTAAGATAAAATTTTAACGAACATAAATTTTCAATAATTAATATAAATCTAGACGGGTGTAAATCTATTTTGTTTTCATGTAATTTAGACCTAGAAAGTAAATATCCTCGAGGTTTAATTAAACAATTGAATTTCTTTATTTGACAGGTAGATAGATATAAATTAATAAATAAAGTAATAAGGTTAAATGTGCTAAAAATAGTAGACATAAAGACATAGATGCTAGAAATTTAGGTTTTTAAACGCTATATCGTGATTTATAATATAACCATGGCTGTGCCCATCTATCCTTTTCTTCTTTGAGTGTATTTCTGCTATAAATATTTTATATATCCATGACTAGAAACTCCCATCGGTATATATAGAAAGCGCATACATAGTTTCTGAGCATGTATGTGATATACAGTATGATATATGCAAGCTCTATTAATAAATAATATTGGTCTATGACGTGCTCACGAGGAGGCACCGTCGCTGCCCGGATAACATAGTCCAAGATAGATAGAGATAGTATTGAGGGATGCTCTTTATTATGATTATTAGAATATTGGGATATGCACGGACGCGGAGTCCTTGTGGCGCTACTGGCGCTGAGCCTTTTAGTAAATATGTTTCTTGGTTGTCTCATTGTTTCTCTCATATTTGTTTGGGTGCGTGCTACTTATATAGTCCAAAGTTGATCTGTGATTATTAGATTCCGGCCTTTTGCCATGGCGGGATCGCCGCGCGCTTGAGTGGTGGTGTCGCCACAGTCTAACTAAAATAGAAATAAAAAGAATCCACATAGCCCTAGAGAATTTCTCATAGTGCTATAAATGCATTATAGTCAAAGATTTATCTAATTGCTGGCCACCAGAAGACAAGAATGTTTTAAGCCACATTTCTTTTGAGTCTACTGCATATTTAAATGGCAATTATACATACAATTGCAAATTAAATAGAATTCTATCTAAAATTTTATAATTGGTCCATAAATATTTGGAGCTATTTGCTTTATTCTATATATAGCCTGAAATAGCTCTTTAAAGTCTAAAATATAGATATAGTGTAAACTTAAACAGGTAATATTTAAATTTTCTTTTCAATTTGCTGTTTATTCTTCATTTTATGCGGTTAAATATTTCGGGTTGTTTTCTGAAGATGTTCTTTACATAATGATTTCTTCCTATCTGTACACCAGAGGCGTTTCCGGTGTGAGTATTCGCATTACCTCTGCGTGAGGAGAAAAAATAAACCCCAGAAGACAGAAGGAAACAAATATCATAGACAGGCCAAGAAGATACTTTTTGCTTTGCTGGTATGTGCAATGCATGCCCTTATCAGAGAGAATCTCCTCTATATTTACAATGCCTGCGGCTATAGTAGGATACAGAAAAATAACCTGCTTTATTGCAGAACTGTGTATAAAAAAAGTAGACCCCCATATAGCGCTATGTATAAAAAGACTCAGCACAAACATATGAATATTAAGAGATCGGCTTGTTAAAAAAAATAGAAACCACGGGTTTCCAGAAACTGCCCCAAAAAGCCCTATAATGATAGCAATTGCTGTTTTATGGTAGAACAGATGCTCTTCCTTTCTAGACAGAAGTGAGTGCAGAATTGCCCGTCTCCAACTATACATTGAAATGCACACTGTTGTAAAAACAATTGTTTTTGGAATGATTGAAACTGCACCGTGCACAGTGATATCCCTATGCAGGCTTTTTATAACAAGCAGGCAGGATCCAATCCCCATAGCCCACTCTATTCCCTTTCTGATGCAAATAGCTATTTTCTGCCCAATTTTTATATTTTTTACTGTTTTACTGGAGGCGCTGGCATAGTTTTCTTCTGCTTGCTGCTTTTCTGCTTTTAAAGATATGGAATCCATTCTGTTTTTAGAATATTCAAAAATAAATAAATTAATTAATTACACATAGGCCATTCTAATTAGACCTATCTTGACATTAATTATATAAAAATATTCTTTCCCTAATTAATTAGTTGATTTTCTATTAGAATTTCAGCCATTTCAATTGGTCAATTTTTGCATATATAAATAAATATAAATATATATAAGCTGTAATCCTTATATAAATAATCTGAAATGCCCTAGGTTTTACAGGAATCTTCTGAAATTTATTTTAAAGCACTACTCATTACATATTTATGAACATAATTCTGCAAAATACAGTATACATACTGGTATGTATAGCACAAAATCGATCTAGAAAATTTTAAACCCATGCGTATTCGAATAGAAAGGTTCTAATAAATATTTAACTTTATTCTGAAAGAACAGCGGCCTGATTATATCTTGCATTCCTATAATACTCTAAAATTAAGAGGAAAAACCATAACCCAAACATTAGATATAATCACTCACCACTGTAAAAATTCTTCCAATACTTCTGAAACCTAGTATAGTCATTATAAGTACATCTATGCCTTAACACACCAGAAAGGCGCTGCATATATATAAATCAGTCAGCATGTCTTTAATATCCCCGAAAATCTGGGCGACAGCTAGAATTTTCGCTTATCTATAGCACAGTTACTCCTCTTCAAGCCTGGTAAGTATACCTACAATCGAATTATTAAGATTTTTTTCCTCCGTATCTTCCCATCTAATATGGTCTTCCTCTTTAAAGAACACCCTGAAAATTCTACTGTTCTCAATATACGCCGCCATAATAATTTCTTTATGCGGGTTTTTTTCTTTGCACATATAGTATATAGTGCCAAAGACCTTCTTCATAAGCGTTATTTCATTCTTTGACATAAACACAACTGCTCCCTTGGGGATAAGAACCATGCTCATCCCACATACCTTCAGTACTCGCCTCTTCTCAATTCCTTTCTTCACACTGTGTACTACCTTGTTGTACTCTGCAAGGCCTTTATGTACATCTATAAACTTTATATTTCTAAAGGAGAAAACAGCCTCAGTGAATGCGCCATTTTTAATCAGATGGCATATGGAATAAAATACCTCTACATGCGAAAATCCAAGATTGTATTGGTAGTGCTTGAAATACGTCTGCCTCTTATTAAAGCTTCTTCTGATCACCTCCTGAACAGGCCCTACAAGATTGTTCAGCGATGTCTCCTGTGCAGCTGCAACAGATACCCCCAAACGGGCCAAAAACTGGTTCAATAAATACTCTGGGTTCTCTAGAAGACAGTGCTTTGTATTTTTTCTTTGGAAAAAAAGACCAAGCTCTTCTATCACACCAAAGTCTTGAAGAAGAGCCTCGTATAGTGTGCACCACTGGCTAAATGAAAAGTATATTCCCTTCACCTGTTGGATAGACTTCTTTTCATCATCATCATCTCTTTCCAGCCTAGATACCTCTGCTGCTATTTCTTTCTTTATTCCGCAAAAATCGCCATCTTCAACATAAATGTTCTCTTTCTGCTCAAAATCCTCGTCTTCTGTCTCCTCCAAGTCTTCTTCTTTGGCCTTTCTATCACCTAACACATTTTTTATTGGATGCCTCCACTGTATCTGCTCTGCTTTGTCTAAGCTTCCATACATAGACACACAGATACTCCACAGACACTCTGAAGTCATATGCCCTATGCTTTTGCAGAGATTAAAAATAACCTCTTCCAGTGTTTCTCCAAGCAAGAACATTATGTTTTTTGTGTGCTTCTCCTTTTGCGTGCTTATAACCGCCCCGTTCTCCACTTTACAGCCTTGCCCTATGCCTATCTCAAATACAGCCTGCTTGCCACTTCGCGCATCCTCCCAGATAACCTCGTGCTTTATAATCTCTCTCTCCAGCACAACTATCAAAGAGAATAGTGCTGCAAAATGATCTATTTCACGTGATATGCAAACCAGCCTAACAAACCCTGCTTGACGCACTTTTGCAATAAACTGTCTATATACACTTTCTTTTTCTTGATTAAGCACTTCCACCATACAGCACTTCTTTGTATTTTTGCAAAATAATTTATTTCCTCATTCTCGCCCCACTCGCCCCAGGCTCTGAAAATACTCCTCTCTAAACGCAATTACATCCCGCATAGTGCACTGTGCACAGTATATCATTACTAATAAAAGAAATATATGCACAAGAGAATCATATAATCCCTGCGAGTTTGCTATTTTACAGTATCTATTTTCACAGTAGTCAAATGCAACGAAGTACAAAGCAATTGGTATTTTCATGATAAATACATTCATTAATGTTCGGAACACAAAAATCAGCCCAGTTATTAACATAAACTGCGGCGAAAGCACTCCTTTCTTCATAGAACCAATTGAAAGGGCTGGCTTTCCATCTAAGGCCCTTTCATCCATTAACTCCTCTGCAATCCAAGAAAGACTTTTGTTTGATATAAATACATCGTAAAGAAAGTTCTTCACTGCTGGATTCTGAACTCCTGTAATTATTTTTCCAAGAAGGCCTACTATAATCCAAACTTTGTATCCTCTGTGCATATTTTTAGAAAAAGCTAGTTCTGAATAAATTATGCTAAGATGGGAAAATATCGCCTAACCCGAATAACCCGCATACTCACTAAACACAATAAAAAGGCAGCGTGGATGCATTGGTTTAAACCGATCTAGGAGTATTAGGGGTATTTCCAGAATTTGAGTCTATTTTGTTTTTAAGCAGCTCTTCGTTATATTCGGGTTATTCTGGGCTATTATTAGTGAAATAAAAATAAATCCCAAATTACTCCAAAAATTCGCACATCAGTCTGTATGTAGTCTATTAAGTTCTGATTTTGTGTCTTTTGTGGCATCTTGTAAAACATCAGATCTATTTGTTCTATTCGTTTTCGGCATATAATAGGAGAGAGGTATAGTTTAGCTAGCCTATTCCAGAATATAGTTGACTCTAGTTGATTTTTTATATAAACATTAAACAATACTATACTCTGAAAAAATTAATTGGTAATTAGAAAAATCAGAATGTTTCAACTTTATTTTTTCCGTATGCCTTCACTTTTTATGTTTATTCTCTATTATTTAATTTATGCTGTCATGTTTTCAAAATATTAAAATAATTTCGGGCTATTTGAAAGTATCTATTTTTACTGTATGCTACTATAATAAAAGAATAGCTTTGGTATATATTAATTTTCATATTATTCGAATATATAACTTAAAAATAAAATTAGTAAGTATATCCCGTAATTCCAATAACGCCTATAATAAAATTTATTGCGATGTAATTCATACGAATAAACTCCGAAATAGCCTGATTTTTTTTATTTTATACAAGCTACCATAAAAATCTTGAATAGTTATTAAATTATCCTGTCTAACCATAATATAAAGTTTAAAATTTCAAATCAGCACCAAACAAATTTATTGTTCAACCCAATCATGCATTAATTTTTTGCATAATACACAACAGCAAATTAAATCGTTGATTATTTAAAGTTTTTAAAATTTTTCTCACACAATGCAAAAATCGAACAAGAGGCATGCAGTGGCTAGTGTATTCACATTTGGTGTAATAATTGCACTTACACTCGCTGAAGTATTAGCAAAAAAAGATAAAACAAGCACAACTAACAATGTAATGATTACAGTACAGCCCAGTCAAATTAGCATGTTTATATGGCTCGCAATTTCAAAGTTTGTTAAGCTTTCCAGTGACATATGTGAGTGTTTTATCGCATATAACAGCATTATACTAGCACTTATTTCTAGAGAAGGATACATTTCTATGGTGGCATGGTCCATACAGATGGTCATGCACTTTATATTCTGCAAAGACTATAAGAAGAACTATAACAATCTTTCATCCTCATATAAGAAAGAGTTGAATGTTTTATATGGGGATGTAGAACCATCTGGTACCAAAAAAGAGGAGGCCGCAGAAGAGATAGTAGATGAGTATGAAATTGCGTTTACAAACAGAAAAATACCAAGTGAATCTCTTCTACCTTCCGAGTTGACTGAAGAACAGAGCATGGATCCGGACTTAGAAAAGTCTTCAGAAATCGGATTTATATCTTCTGGATTAATGGTAATTATCAAATATATAATGCAGGGGGTATTTTGCATAGCACTGCTTAAGTCTGTAGTATTTCTAGCCAGTTCTATCTTTATTATAACTGACATGCAGATTCTAAACCATGCTATGATAGATTCTATATACACCTATGTTCCATACGGAGAAGCACTGATTAGTGGCACAAAATCAATGCTTATGGCTCTGCACGGGCCCACAGGAACTCTGCTGACAGGTAGTCTTGTTTTCTTTGGTAAAGCAATGGAGGAGTACTACAAAATATTTGAGTCAAATGATGAAGTTGAGAGATCAGAAAATCTGCATAAAAAAAACTGGTCATATGGGGCATATTTGTGTATAAAGTCCTTTTTCCTGTTCCTCATCATTAAGTATAGAGCATACGCTTTAATTGCATTTGTGGACCAGCTCGTGTGGATGATTCTATCAAAGTCATTCTGCGATAAAATAATTCGCCTTATCAAAGGAGCAGACTTGAATGTATCTGAATTTAGAGAAAAGCAGCATAAGCGCCAAAGCCACTCATGGCAGAAGAAGATTGCAAATGTAATACGGCTGATTGGGGTGGTGGTGTCTATTTCCTTCCTGTTCTACATCATTGCGTCATTTTTCGGGCTAAGCTTTGCCTCTTCGCTAGCACTGCCCATAAAAAACAGCACACTGGGCACAGAAATTCCAAAAATTAAAGAACAACTAGTTAATAGCACAGTGGTTTAGGGTCAACAGTCTGACATTTATAGGAATAGAATTGGCATTCACCAAATACCGCGCCTATTGCATATTCATATAATATAATCCAAAATTGAATAGCACCATTCTGCATACTCCAAACCCCACAAACAAATATTTATTTCTGATTAGATACAGCTAAACATGCAAATTTATAGCTGAAAATGCCCATCTGCATATAAATATAGAAGAAGCAAAAACACCCCACCAGTATAATACTATATATGGCCTTAGATACATCTGGTTCTGATTTTAAGGTGGGGATTTCACATAATAGACTGCATATTTTGTCTAATCATATACCCTTCCTGGCATTTCCTTATAATTATTGGTATGGACTGGTACTGTTTTGCTATAGAAAATAATATACAATAAAATTAAATTAGTTAGTAGATGTCTTTTTTCTTTATGTTACACATCTCTTCTTTTTCATTGTTTTTACTCTAGAATGAATAGAATTTTTAGCAAGCCTAAATACTGAAAGCACTTTAAACAGTAGAATCTTCTGCTTTTCTAGCTATATCTTTTTTCGAATTGTCATAAATTATTTTGTATTTTAGAATTCTTTTTAAACTTATTTTCATTGTTTTACTTTAAATATGTACATTTTTTCCTTTTTTTACATAGTGCTTACACAATAAATTTAAACTAAAAATATTCCAAATTAAAGCAATCACAAATATATCTGTATCAGCAGCAAAAAGCACTCAAACAGCAAACTCCAACGAAACACTGTATAATTCGGGTGTTTTTGATTACATCTGTTAAACAGCACTAAATAATAAGAAACAAACATATCACAAAAACAGCATATTAAATTTACAGCAGTACTTCGAAATAAGAATAACTAAAAAGAATTAAAAGCCTTCCTTTAATTAAATAATACCACAGGCATTAACCCACGCACTAGAAAGCAAAAATAAACTGAAGATGCATATAGCATGGTTGTTTATTACGCAAGCTATACTTCTTGTTGGTCGCCTCCTTCTGTAGACCCTCCCGTCTTTAAGTGGGAAATATATATAGCAAATATATACATGTACATAAGACAGAATATAATATTTATAAGTATAATAAAACACTTAAACAGAATTGTGGCAGAAGGCCCAGTTAAGAAAAGAGCAACAACAATTGTCACAAGTAAGCTAAACACACGCAATCCTACAAAGGACAGAAGCATTGTTCCCCTTTCAAACCAATACACAAAGAAGTCATGGCAGAAGCTCATAGCGTATGTAAGCCCCAGGCATATTCCAGATATTGATTTAGCAAAGCCACTATCCTCTGCCTTTTTAGGATATAAGGCAATGCACAGTGCATATGTAAAAACTAGCACAACTGAGTTTAGCACTAAACTAATTAGTGCAACCTGTTTTATACCTATGTTTTTGTATTCTGTTGGGATGGCTTTCCCCAATTTTGACTCTTTTATTTTTTGCACCTGCTCGTGTGCTTTGTCATCTGTTTGTTTCACTTTCTCGGCCACTGCCTTTGTTTTGCTATTCTCACCGCTTGAATTCATACGGGGTAAATTATAGAATTCTTTATCTAGAAGTATCCGATCTCTGATTGGTTTATTTTTAATTCATTCTTATTGGATGCTGAAAATCTCCGGATACTCCCTACGGACAAAGACAACTTTCGATTCAATCTTTTTCCTTTGCTGCATAAACACGGGCTGTATTAGCCCATCAATAATGCATCTACGAACATATGCAATATAGAGCATATTAAAAAAGGAGAAAGCACAAATTACAATAATTGGAATGCTCTCAAATAAAATACCAAATCTGTCACTAGCTTGAAACTCAAATAGAAATCGAAGGAATATGATTGATAAAATCATAACAATGTTCATAAGTAGCAGATACATACTGTGCATCATGTTTAATATTGATATTCTATGAAAGCATAGAAAACAGATGGCGGCAGAAACGAACAAGGACCACAAAGAAATAACTATCTGGAAGACTAACTGATGAATAGTAGCGAACGCAGAGTATACCCCTGTCACTAAAACAGATGCAGAATACACTCCGTTAAAAGCATGAAATACTCTTCTACGCAGCAAGGATTTCAAGAACATGAAACACATGTTATAAGTGCTTAACTAGAATAAACTCAAGCGCGTACAATATAGCCAATAAAAAAAATACTATGCAAAATTAATGTGACATACACATTTAAAAAGTCCTGCGGTGAAACAGGCCAAATGCACAGAAAATTGTATATAGCAAGAGCCCTTAGCAAACAAGTGTAGGCATGGCCCGAATATACAGTTTATAACAAAAGGCGAATTAAATAGAATAAAGAAGTTTATTGCAGATATTCATGGCACGGGTGTACATTTTTCAATATGCCCTTTCTTATAGTGATAGATTTTGGCAGAAGATGCTTGGATATACGTCCGTTCTTCACAAGGTTTACTTATTTTACTTACATTTATAATAGTAGCCAGAAAATAAAACTAGATTGATTTTATATGCACTTTATGGTATAAAACAAGAAAATTTCAGCTAGCTTATTACATAGAGAATATAAACATATGCATACTGGAAAATACCCCGAAATTTAATCCATATACTTGGAAGACACCTTCTTAATACATTTTAATCCCAAAAGGATGAAAAGGTGTAATCTGTCTTTGGTCGCTTGGGTGCATGCGCAGATAAAGTATTCTTATCCATTATGTCTAGTTCTAGAGCTGTGGTATCTTCTTTAAGAATGTCTGCAGCCAAAACATCTGCAGTGTTCTTTGCTTGCTTGGCAATAAAACACCCTGGATTGTATTCTTGCATTCTCTGGTCCTGTAGAATGTTTTCAGACGCGTCGGGCTTTCTTAGTATATTTGAAAGGTCCTCGCTATCTTTCATTTTTGTTGCAATTTCTTCTACAGATTCATCTGGCGCATTTATACTATAGTTGCTCTGCCTGTCTTCTATTTCTCTCATTTGCTTCTGTCTGCTAATACTTTCTAATACATGTGCTCGCCCGAACGAAAATCGCTTTTCAATCTCCAGAACAGCCGGGTGTATTTCTTTTTCAATATCAGTCCATCTGTGTGACTTAAGAACTTTGACTACCTCTTGAACTATCTCATCGTATCGGTGGGATATTACAGTTTTGTTTTCTCTATCAATACACTCCATAATGCTCTGTGCAAATATGTCCTTTGATAGAATTCTTACATCCTCAACATCTAGGGCGAACTGTGCATTTGGATGTACATCCCTTACTTCTTCTGCCTTTTTACTTAATGCCTGCTTCTTCTTGTGGATTATTCTTAGAACATCCTTTGGATTGGCAACCCGATCTGCAAACTCTGCCATGGTTCTTTTTGGAATGACAGTGCTGGGCAATGCACCATCAATCTCTACACGCAGTCTTACAAGTGGCCGGCGGCTATTTCCGTGCACCTCTAGTATGGACAGCATTTCTGTTCTGATCTTTTCCTCTATATTACTTGCATTTGCAGAGATAGTTCTAAACACCAAGCTACGCGGGCTCATCATCAGTATCGGGGTGCTGCTCCATCCATCCTCTTTGACTTTCAGAAGAACACAGTGCTTGTCCCCGCTCTCTGCTTTACACAGCGACGTCTGCACAGTAGACCCCGGCTGCAAGGTATAGAATCCCATCTTATAATTCTGCACCGGTATTGGCTCTGACTTATGCATGTGCCCCCAAATAACAAGGTCGAGATCTTTACTTAAAAGCTCCTCAGGGACATACGTGTTAATTCCAACACCACATCTAGTCTGGTGAATAACCAGAGCACGAACCCCTTTATTAGCAGGAGTCAGAGAAATCCTTTCCTCTGAAAGAAGCTTTGCCATTGTTTCGTCTCTTATTCCCCCCATGCCATACAAGTTAAACACTATTTGCCCCTTCTTTAATACAATTGGGCGCACTGCAGAGTTCGTTGTTTTTCCATCTATTGCCCCGAAGTAATTTACCAGCCCCGCCTCTGCAAAAATATCCAAAGCTGTCACCCCTTTATGCCCAGATGGCTCGTCATGATTTCCATTTATAGCAAATATAGGCATCTGTATTCTCATGTTTGGGCTTGAATAATTTACACCCCGCCTTCTTTTGTCTATGCTTACAAAGTTTCCGTTGTCTGTGCACTCTATCTCTATGGAATGATCCCCCATGATATTCCTTTGAAGTATTTCCATAGTTCTGTATATGGTGTACTTAGACGGACTAACATCGTGGAACAGGTCTCCGCATATAAGAATGCAGTCTGCCCGTGTCTCTCGGGCATGTGTAAATACTTCTTCAAATGCACGGAACGAGTCTTCTCCCCGCACAGGGTCTCTTTCTGCAAACCCTAGGTGGTTGTCAGTAGTAACAAGAATCCGCAGTTCTTCCATTGCTCTTGAATAAAAGTAAAATTCACAGTATTAATTCTTTATCCTCTGTAGCCCGAAATAACCCGAAATTTATTTTATTATTCCATAAAGGATCTGTCATATATTAATTGATCTTTCTTTCTGCATGCTTATTGCATTTAGAGTCACAAACCTCAAAAGTCCAATCACACAGTTATTATAAACTTCCATGAATCGAGGTGTATGCGACTTCTTTTAATATTGCCCAAAGCTCATGGGATCGCTCGCAAACCTTCTAAATGTTTCTATTTCCTTCTTAGGAATGCGAGGCATGGTTTTCTTCGCGACTTCTTTAAGGCGTCTAAGTAGCTCTTCTTCTATGGTTTCACTAGTGCACGCGGGGGTCTGAATTTTAAATCTAAGCGCACACATGGACAGATCTGCGCACATTCCAGTTAATTCGGCCCCAGTAAACCCAGAAGTACGATTTGCTAGATACTCTTCAAACTCACGGACAGCATTTTCATTCACACCCCACTTGATGATGGCTACAAGCATTTTTCTAAGCTTATTCTGAATTATTTCTCTTCGGGTTTCTGCATCTGGAAGGTCTACAAGAACATGGCAGTCAAATCTACCCGGCCTCATAAGCGCACTGTCAATGCTCCAGGGCTTATTTGTTGCACCAAGAACAAACACGCCTGCTGCGCCGCCCACACCATCCATTTCTGTCAGAAGAGTAGAGACAACTCTTTTGTCCACCTGCCCACCATCGGATTCTCTGTGTGGTGCGATAGAGTCAATTTCATCAATGAATATGATAGATGGTACCTGCGCCCGTGCACTTGCAAATACCTTGCGCACTCTTTCTTCGCTCTCTCCAACATATTTCCCCATTATCTCTGGACCGCGGATGGACAGAAAAACAGACCCACTTTCATTCGCCAGCGCCTGCGCAATAAGTGTCTTTCCACAGCCAGGCGGGCCATATAGAAGAACTCCTTTTGGCGGAGATATACCCACCTCTTCAAAGAGTGATTTATGTAGTAAAGGCCAGATAATTGTTTCGTGCAGCTTTTCTTTAGCTATCTCCTGGCCGAAAATTGATGTGAACCGAATGTCTGGCACTTCAGCAGGCACGCCGTCTGATGCACTGGGAATAGTTCGTACAATGCACCGCATAAGGCGATCCATGCACATCCCATCGCATTTCCGGGTTTTCTCTATAATTGATAGTGCGCGTATAGACTCATCTATTGGCACTGTCTCCTGCGCTTTCTCTATACAAGCTGCTCTTTCTATCTGCATATCTTTTGTGAAAAGTGTGTCTCGAATAAGCAAAAATAGCTCTCCCCGCGTAAAGCCCGCGGTACGCTTTGCAGCAGCATCAACTTCTTTCTCTTTAATCTGGCATCCAGTAGATGCCGCATGCTCTTTTATTCCGGCCACGATCTGCTCTTTTCTTTGGGAAAGGGTTGGGGCATGCAGCGCAATTGTTCTGTCCAGAACACATGCACTTTTTATCTCACTGGGAATTTCGGATAAACTATTAGTTGTAGCAATTACTGCTATTCGTCTCCTATCTCGGTATATTTCCTCCATAATCCTTTCTATAGTGGTTACAGTTTCTGTGCTCTTTTCTTCTAAGTGCCGCTCGATCCTATCTATCCAGACAGTGCACGGCTCATTCAGCTTTGCATACTCAAATGCATCCTCTATTGCCTTTGCTTTATTCCCATGCACTCGCACCCAGTCTTTTCCTGCCTCTTGCAGAACATACATGCAAAGTGTTCGTTTTCCCATGCCTGTATCTCCCGACACGAGTATGCCCTTTGGCGCTCTCAGATACTGGCTCTCTCTACTGCGCGATACATCTAAAACAGAAGTGCTGCTTAGCATGCCTTTTTCTTCCAAATGTGCATTATCAATAAACTCTTTAAGCCTATCGACCTCTTTTTCCAGACCAACAGCAAAGACTGCAGATTCTTCTGTTTCTATTTTTATTTTTGTTTCTTCAGTTATTTTTGCTATTTCTTCTTTTATTCTTATGTGCCCTCCAAGAACCGTCTCTCCGTTCTTAAGGATCCTTTTATCGGTTAGAATCAGCCGAAGAGACTCAAGCCTCTCCACAGTCTTGCGCATCTTCTTAAAAACAACAACCATATCAGTGCACGCAGGGTGGTCTAAGCCAGCCCTTTCTACCGTCACAAGGTCCCCAGCACGTACACCCAAGTGCACTATTTCCTCCCTCGGCAGATAGACTGCGTTTTCATCCCCATCAAACTTTGGAATGATTTTCAGCACAGTTTCATTGCAGGGCCCAGTGATCTTTACGTGCTGGCCCGGCTTTAGATGAGACTCTCTTAGGCAGTTTGGCACCATGTATGCCCGAGCCCGATCCTTGTCCATTTCGTACGGAACTGCTTCCACTGTATAATTTGTTCGCATATTTTTTTTGTCATATGTCAATAGAAAAGATTACTTCTTTCGAGTCCCGGGTGCAGACATTTGAAACATTCGGATGGAGCTGTTCATTCCAAGACATCAAAACACTTGCGCACGCCGGGTTCGCAAGGGATGCGGTGGGAGGGTCTAATGACGGAGTGATCTGCCACTTCTGTAATAAAGCACTGGATGGGTGGGACCGGACCGATATTCCATATCATGAGCACCGAATCCACTCGCCAAAGTGCATTCTATTCAATCTAGACACAACAGAGGCAAGAACCCGGTCCTTCAAGTATGGCCAGCACAGGATAGCCATGAAAGCAATTAAGTTTCTAGCTGCAAGTGGAGTGTTTTTGTATAATATAGAAGATCCCAATCAGCCACATTTATTTTGCTTTAACTGCGGATTTAATTGTAAAATAGCTAGCCAAATCTTCAGCAAGACCGCACAGCGCATTAATGAGCTGCACATGTGGCACAGCAGCACGTGCGCTGAAGAGGTTAAAATTGAGAAAGAAGCCCGCGGAAATAAACTGAATAAAAAAGAATATTTCTCATGCCAAATTGTAAAAGGAAAAGTGAATGCGCTCCAGGAGACAAGATACGTTATCGATTTAAATGAACTATCCAGCAATAATATAGAAATACACACACCATCTTGGTCACATGTAATGACAAGCGGAAGCCTTCCTAAGAAGAATCTTTTGTATGCAGAAAAAGAGCCAAATAAACAAGCATCCACTCCTGAAATATCCCAGGAGAGCGAAAAAGAGGTACATGCATCGGCAAGTAAGAAAGATCGGCCTCTTTCTAGCCCAGGAGAGAGCATTTCCCCCATTTCCTCGGCAGACCAGAGAAATAGCGCAGAGAATGCGGCAACTGAGAGCCCAGCCATGCTGTGTGTAACAGAAAGCCCGGGAGTTCTGGAAAAGAAAGTGCAAATAGTTGTGCCAGAAACCATCTTGGATGAAATTCGCCCAGATGAGCTTATACTGCAGCTAAATGAATTTATTACGCCAGAGGAAAGAGCATCTCTTCCCATTAAAGATGCACTTGCTCTAGGCCTATCAAAGATGCTAGAGCAGATACGAGATATAACCAACCAGGATATAGAAGATGTTCGCCAGGAGATGTCACAATTACTACCATGAAGAGAATAAACACAGAAAATAAAATCTCTGCTTACTTTTGCTCTTAAGCCCAAAATGCTTACATAACATGTAAAAAGCACATGCTGATTTCGAAATATAATTTAAATAAGACCTACTTCGCACATAAAATGTAACAGAGTATCTGTTTGATTGGTGATATACGCAATAACAGACAGCCCGAACATTATTGCAGATATATGCTAATGCACGGTGTGCAGTTAAGTAGTAAAATATAAACAAACATCCTATGAACCAGTTTATTTCTAACGGAACTTCTAATGGAGCAATAAAAGAGTGCTAAGATTTAGAAAAATTGTCATGCAGACTAATTGGTGTACTATGCGTAATACACTTTCATTGCCTCAATAAATGCAATTATTCTTTCTTTGTTTAAAATATATCCTTTGATTGTTATATCATCTATTGCACTGCAGCTGAAGGCTGGCTTTTCATTGTTTAAAATTAAAAAGATCTCTTCTGTGTGTATTGGGAATAGCTTTCCACTATTTGTGAACTTGAATTTCGGGAAGATCCGTTTAATCTCCGCCTCCTCTTCCTTCTGCACGGGCCTTTCCAAAGAGAGCAGAAGGATTTTTTGGTCTTTGCTGTGCATGCATGCGGCAGGGAATGCCTCATACATCTCATACATAATCTCCTCTGGGACGTTTGCAAATCTTGCTGAAATGAGAATATCCATCTCCTCGTACTCTGGCAGCTTTCGAATAGCGGCGTCAACCTTTGGAAGCAGCATAGATTTTGCTTCTGGATACTTTAGAACAGAGAAAAATGACGTAATCCACGGATCTGTCTCTATCCCCTCAGCCTCAGACCGCGCCACAATGTGCGCAAATAGTGCTTCTTTTTGTGTTTCGGATACACTCGGGCTAAGCATTTTGGCCTGTCTGATAAGCAAATCGATTCTATCATAGTCGCCCTCGCACGGCCCTGTCTGCACAGTGAATAGCTCGGGCATGTTTCCGCTTGACGCCATCTGATCAGATGCATCCTGTGAGTCATAATTTTCATCGTCCGTGAAATAGTCACTGTTCGAATATCCCTCAGAGTCTATGTACTCTCTGTCCGACATAAATATATTTTTTTACAGAAGTTTTCATGAATTCATTTACAACGGAAACACCGAACTTGGAAGAAAAGGAGAGAAAGGCTTTTTCCCTGGGATCACCAGAGGAGATAGACCAGTTTTCGCAGGAGTATGAAATAGTTAGAAGGCTGTGCGTGCCCGTGGAGATGCCAAATACGATAAAGGCAAAAGAAATCCTCTACGCAGCAGCGCGCAAGCAGAACATATTGGTTATAGAGATAGATGCAGAGGACATACAAGACACCTCCACTCTGGTTGAGCAGATGCACATAGAAGAAAGAGATATTGTGCGGAGGGAGGGAGTGCTTGTCCGTGCTATGAAAAGCGGGCACTGGCTTGTTGTGAACTCCAAAGAGAAAGAGAATCCGATCACTAATTACATTGTGTCAGAGTATGGGGCCATTCCCGGAACTAGCTCTGCACCGCACTGTAACTTTCAGCTGTTTATTTTCTCTAAGGACTACTCACCGGACTCAAACAGAGGCCTGGCGTATCCCATGCAGATGGTAAGGGAGACACCTGAAAACAAAGAGAATACAACAGAAACAAAAAACCCGGTGAAGGAAAAAAGCACCGGGGTCTTGACAAATAAACTTGTGCAGGCACTCATACAAAGTGTGCCAAATACACACACGGTCACCGAGGAGTCAGCAAAGAATATTGTTTCTACAGTGCTGCTGGCAATTTCCCGTTATGCAGATTCATACGAGATAGAATGTGTAAGCAAGGAGGTAGAAGAAAGAACAAAAATATATTATCAGCTGCAGATGATTATCGAGCAAATTTTAGTCAGAAATATAACTTCCCCAGAGGTAACTCCTCTTCACGCGCGTACTGAGCTATATAGAATACTCTGTGATATTCTTCTATCTGGCGTGTCTCCATGCGAGAGAGATGCAAAGGAAGAGTCGCTCAGAGACATGATGTGCGTTCGGTGCGAGGATGTCGAGTCGGCCTGGGGGAAAGCAGCGTACGATGCAACCAAGTGCCTCTTAAGCGAGCCAGAGTATGTGCTGACAGTTCCTGCAGTCCGCCTTATTCTGTGCATTCTAGAGGGCCTGTCCGCCACAAACTCGTTTTTGCTCATTGGTGAGACGGGGACTGGAAAAACCACCACAGTGCAGAAGATATTTGAGCGTAGAAAGATTCTAATTACAGCAAGGTATAAGGATGCCCGGAAAATGCTTTGTGTGAACCTTTCAAAAGACACTGATATTTCTGATCTTTTGGGGGCCTACCAGTTTGCTACATCTGAGCAGCTTGTTCTGCACATCAACGACCTAATTCAGGGATATTTTGAGCTGTTTTTCAACGAAGAGAAGAACAATGCATTCCTGCAAGAGGTTGACAAGGCTGCGGAGGAGAGAAGAATTGACGTGATCACAGACACAGCAGAAGACCTGCTTCAGAAGTTTGCTGCACAGAGCACGGCCAACCCTTCTTCTGAAAAGGCGCACGCCATATCCAGGCTGGAGAAGGCACTCGATCTGCTCAGAAGGAGCGAGGCAGGCGTGCAGAACATATGCATATTCGTGGAGGGTCCGTTAGTTCGGGCTGCACTGTACGGGTACTGGATACTTCTAGATGAGAGTAACCTGGCGCCCGCATCAACTCTTAGATACATTAACACAGCGATCCAAAGAGGGCAGCTGTCTATTATAGAGGAGGGAGGTGCTGTTGTTCCGATTGACAAAAGAACAGTTATATTCCAGTGCATGAACCCAGGGGATGACCATGGAAAGAAGAACATAGAAATGGATAGAACACTCTATCACTGGATAGATGAGATTGACAGATACCCCGCTGATATACTGTCAGTGGCGCAGGGATACGGAAAGGACCGCACGCAGGAAGAGATACAGAATATTGTGAAGTTTTATACCGAAATAAAGCAAATGGCAAAAAACCACGGGCTAAGAACGGGGAGTAACCGCGCAGCGCTCTTTGGAATACGAAATCTGATTAGAACCCTGAAGATGAAGAATATTTCTGTGGTGGAGGGAATAGAAGTAAACTTCCTCACACAGCTGTGCATAAGCCACAAAGTGCTTGGAAGAAAGCTGCTGCAGACTATCTTCCCCGAGGGAAAAAGAGAGACAAAGACATACCAGTCAACCGAGTCGTACATTATCACGCCGCAGGTGCAAGCATATATATCTGAGATTGAGTCTGCTATATCCACAGGGACTGCTGTGCTTTTAGAGGGCACTACCTCAGTGGGAAAGACTTCTCTTATAAAGTACATAGCGCAGACCAAGAACAAGCAGGTTGTCCGGATAAACAATCACGAGCACACGGATATAACAGAGTATCTTGGAACTTTTGGGGTAGCCGATGCAGCACAGAGTGGCGTACGTGAAGCAGATGCAGAAGAAGCTAGCCCGCAAACCAAGCGACGGTGCCCATCAGAGAGCGCCAAGGCCGGCAATGCACATCAAGCAGAGTTTGTGTATAAGGAGGGTGCTCTTGTAACAGCAGTTCGTAAGGGCCACTGGATTCTTCTTGATGAGCTGAACTTGGCCCCAACAGAAGTACTTGAATCTCTGAACAGGCTGCTGGACAGCAATAGAGAACTTTTCATTCCAGCAACGCAGGAGGTAATCAAGGCACACCCGGAGTTTGCACTTTTTGCCACGCAGAACCCCGCTGAGTCTGCAGACTACAGAAACAGAAAGCATCTGAGCAAAGCATTCCGGAACAGGTTCATTGAACTGTATGTAGAGGAAAAGAGCAGGGATGAGCTGGAAGTGGTTCTGCACGGGATGCGCGCAGGAAAAGTGTTCACAAAAGTCCTTCTGGATATATATGAAGATCTGCGGATTCTCACGTGCAACCGATCCCATGAGTATATTACACTAAGAGAGCTCATGAAGATCCTTCGCCGATTCACACAGGAGGTGCAAGCACCGTTCATTGACAGAATGGCGCGCTCTGAAGAAAGGCTCTTTTATTATACAATGCTTATTCTAACGGAAAAGTTGCGTGCACCAGAGGAAAGACAGAAGATAGAAAGCATCATATGCACGCACTTTGAAAAAACCTTCAAGAAAGCATTCACTTCAGCTGCGTACGCAGAGGCCATTTCAGTTCCCATGGAAGAGGACCCACTTGCCCCTCTACTTACACCAAGCGTTACTCGCACACTGAGAAAGATAGAGGCTGCGTGGGTAGCACAGGAGAACATTCTTTTGGTAGGTGCCCCGGGGATAGGAAAGACCTATCTTTCAGAGTACATATCTCGCAGAATGCAGACACCCTGCACGGTGATTGGCATGCACGCTGGCATAGAACTTTCTGACTTTGTTGGTGGGTATGTAGAGACGCCCAGGCACACCAGTGCTGAAGGCTCTTCTAATCCAGATGCCACCGCACCAAGATTCACATGGAAAGACGGGCCTCTGCTGGTTGCCATGCAAGAAGGAAGTGCACTGATAATTGACGAAATTAACCTGGTTCCAGACTCTGTTCTGGAGTCTCTTAACGAGCTATTCGATGACCGAGCAGTGCGAGTACACGAGACTGGGCGGCACATAAGGGCACACCCAAACTTTAGAATCATTGGAACAATGAACCCAGGAGATGACCATGGAAAGAGAGAGATGAGTAAAAGTATTTCCACCAGGCTAACCACAATATACATGGATAAGCTGTCAAGCAACGCAGAGGCAGTAAGCTACTTCCTTTTCTACACAAGAAAGTACGGCCTGCCTGCAGATGAAGACAGAGCATCCCTGTACTACAGAGCACTTCATAAAGCCCTGCAAATAACTGCAGTGACAATAGACAGTGCCCGTGAGGCAGAGGTACTGGCAAGATACGTGTCCAACTACCCGATAGACCTACATAATGCAGATGCAGAGGCAATCACACAGATACTCTGCATGGGAATAGAACTGGTCCGCCAGATACCTAGCAAGTCCATTGGAGAAGTTGTTGATACAGAAGAGTCCTTTGGAGTGCACCCATTTATTTTGCAGAAGAGTGCGAGCACATCTAGCAGCACATACACATTTGCTCCGCCTTCTGTTCAGAGCACTCTATACAGAATAGTGCAGGGCCTCTTCTGCAGATTTAATTTGCTTCTGGAGGGCCCACCGGGCACCGGAAAAACAAAGATTATTGAGGAAATAGGCCGGCGGATGGGAAAGCGTGTGACTCGTGTGAATCTAAGCAGTGAGACGGAGATGGCAGACCTGACCGGAAGAAACACCCCAACAGACAAAGGCATTTTGTTCATAGAGGGTGAGTTTATTCGAGCAATCACAAGAGGCGACTGGATCATTATTGATGAGATAAACTTGGCGACACAGAGTGTGCTGGAGGGTCTGAATGGATGCCTTGACTATAGAAGAAGAATATTTGTGCCTGAAATGGGATCTGTCAATCTGCACCCAGAGACAGTTATTTTTGGAACAATGAACCCGAAAGTATCCAGGACCGATGGAAGAAAGCTTCTTCCAAAGTCATTCCTCAGCCGTTTCATACGAATTTCAAGGGAGGCCTTCACAGAGGACGATCTAAGAATTATCATGAGGTGTGCACCAAGGCCAGCAGAGATTCAGAGCGCAGAGGCGGCAGAAGCACTTATCAACAGAATTCTTCAGTATAGAGCACGGTATAGCCTTAACTTAAGAGACTGCCTCAGACACATGGCAACAGGAAAGCCGCATCTTATTCCATACACACAGCAGCTAATCAATCTAGAGACGCCATGTAGTGCTATTATGTCTTATGCTGGGGAGTACCTTCCTTCTGTTAAACTAGACCATGCCATGTGCACAACCGGCCTAGACCGAGAGGAGATGGCATACCACGCAACAGAGACAGAACTGCAGGTAGGCAGCACGCGTATTTCATGCGATGTAGGCCTTGACCCAGAATATGTGATAACGCACGGAAGTATCCCTGCACTGGAGGCACTTATAAACGGAATGGTGCACGGCTGGCCATGTATCATTAAAGGCCCTCTAGGAAAAGGGAGACTTGCACGGTTCTTTGCCACAATCACTGGCAATCCACTCTGCGCGCTCTCATGCCATAAAGACATGGAGCCAGCAGAGTTTCTTGGGAAGTATGTGAAGGCGCAGGATAAAGAGAAGAGCATGCCGTTCCTGTGGGAAGACTCTCCGTTTATACAGGCAGTGGAGACTGGATCGATTATCCTGCTAAAGAATATTAACTTAGTGAAGAACGACGTGATAGATCGGCTAAACAGTTTGTTTGAAGTGGGAGGGTCACTGGAAATACACGAGAAAGGAGGCAGTGAGATACGAAGAGTGGTCACCCACCCGAATACCAGGTTTATATTTACACTTGCAGAGAGCGCCAAAGAACTTTCTCCTGCACTGATCAACCGGTCTGTCCAGGTGAATCTCCCTGCAACTCTTTCTATGGTAGACTTAGCAAAGATTCTGCAGATGAACAGCACAGAAACTGCAAAGAGGCTTAGTACATCAAAGCAAAAGAGAATCTCGTCTGGTCTACTGCATGCGCACATACAGGCAAGAAAAGTGCTTGACTACAACACAGTGCATGATACCGGGCTGAGAGCACTTCTGCCGCTAGATGACTTGCAGGATCTTAAAAGAGAAGAGGGCCTGAAGAACTATCTGAATGAGAAAAGTATCCTGCACTACATGAGAGATCTAGCACAGAACGGCCTGGAGAAGGAGTTGCTTGATATAGGCACGCCCGAGCAGATGGAGGAGGCTCTCCCGCTGATTATAAAGAATCTGGCAGAGCACAGCATAGACCCAGAGTACAGAGAAGTCTACAGAAACACAGAGCTACACAAATCCTTACAAGAGAAGTATGAAATATGCGCAGCCTTTGCTAAGGGCAGAACTGCAAGAAGCAAAGACAGCACTGCGCAAGACAGCACGAGCACTTTAGATAGTACTGCTAAAGCAGCCACTGGGAGTGCACCCGAGCCACTAGATGTGCTTAATCGGTTAATGCTGCTTAAGAATAAAGTTGACAGTGGCGAGAGCGCACTGCGCGCATACTTTGAAGCGATGGACATGCCCATTTTATCACGAAAAGAGGCTTCTGTGCGCATGGCTAGAATAAAGCTAGTTGAAGCTGTCTTTTCTACGGGAAGGACCTCATTTAACTCGCTTAAAAACCTGCCAATTGTTCAAGAGATAGCACTACTTCTAGATGGCCTTTCTGGCGAGCTGGAAAGAGAAATCGCAGACTTGGAGACTACGCCATCTGCATACGATGCCTTGAATGAGCTACTCAGCGCATGCCTACAGTATGGGATAGACCCTCTTATTTTCCTTGAGATACAGAAGATTGAGGAACAAAGCAAAATGCGCGTGGAGTGTGCTCTGAGGCAGATAAAGAAGAACTACTATCTGTACAAGTACGGAGTGCGTCTGGTGTATCCTCCCCTCCCTGTGGTAAAAGGACTAAATGAAATCCGCGAGAAAAGAAGGGAAAGAAACTTTAAACGATTTGCCTATTACTTACAGGGTGTAATAAAGGATGCAATGACTGCAGAGTATCCAGAGCTGCTTGCTTTCTCTTTGATAAGAAGAGACATGCACAAGTACTCAGATCTTTGGGAGTGCTTCTCATATGCCCTTCTGAAGAGTGGAATAGAGAGAATTGCGCAGAAGAAACAGGTGATAAATGTCTCTGAAATAGGACTGGCCACGCTTGAAGCATGTGACTCAACTATCACTGCAGAGAGCGGTCTTTCAAAAGTATGTAAAGTGCTTTTAAAGAACAACTCGTCATTCCTTTCTCTTACGCCGCTACACTCCCGATGTGTGCAGGTTCTTTGGAGAGTATTTTCGCAAGAGGCAGTCGACGAGTCAGAAATATTTTCACTATGTGGCCTTGTTCTATCAGAAAATTCATTTGCCAAAGACCTACCAGAAGAGTTTGTTAGTGGCGTATCACAGTACCACCTATCTGCTAATACAGACAAAATTCTTTCTGCAGCAAGCATTCTGCACAGTGCACAGATTGATCTTTCAATATCTGAAAAGAAAGCATACCACACAGTCTCTATTAGTCCGCGAATTGTTGAGTTAATTGACCAGGTGCACTTAGAGGTGAAAAATGCAAAGAACCTAACCGGAAGAAAGAAGCATGACTGGGGAGAGGATGATGGTGCGAAGGAGTACTTGATGGAAAGCATTGGAGCGCTTAGAGCTGCACACATCGCCACTCCTGCCCAGAAAATTGCTGCAGAACTTGACCTGTTAAATGAAAACGCAATTCACATAAACATACTGAGCACACCTTTAAACACCGCACGGCATGCAATATACAAGCTGTATACAGAGCACAGATCGTATAATATAGGCAGGTATACAGAGATCCAGGGCGCATGGCTGCTTCACCTGTTCAGTGCACTGCATAGGAAGGATACAAAAAATAGCAGCACTGCCATAGTATATGCAATTGAAGAATTCCTGCTACAATCTACTGTGGGGGACATGGAGAAGCGTGTTGAGATCATTCGGCAAATGGTGGGCGCCGGCGGGCAGTACCAGATAAACAATATTCTTGTATATTTCCTTCCATACCTAGAGTGTGTGCACCGCAAAAGAGAAAAGACGACAGAAGCAGTGAAGAGCCTTATAAAGGAAATAGAAACAGCACTGTCAATAAAGATGAAAACGGACGGCACACTAGTTCCTATCCGCGAAAAGTCAATTCTTATAAAGGCCGAGGCTATAAAGGAAAGCTTAGAAGGGCTGCTTGCTCCAATTATTTCTGTAATAAAGCCGCAGCTATTCCATCGGTCAGTTGCTTTAACTTGTGCTTGTGGCAGCGAAGAGTGCTATGTGTGCATGGCAAAGGAGGTAGAAAGACAAAAGATGTGCCTGGAGAAGGAGAGCATGAGTGTCAAACTGCGTGCGCTTTATCTTCTCTTTGAGAAACTGTCTGTTATGATGCCTGCCGGTATTTCCAGAATAGGGATTATTGGCGCAAAGGACTTCTACATGCACGTATTTGATGGAACAGAGGATGAGCACATTGTTCTTGCAAAGATAGTTCACGTGGGCACTGCTGTGCTACGTGCAGACCCTGTCATACACTTCCAGATTGCAACGCGTATTTCAGACACGACCATTAAGCTACTTAACTACTCTATGCAGGCAGACTTATCAGAGCGCAGACTCATTCTTGTTTCTCTTGGCCTATTCTTTGAGCTAATGACATTTGGATTCTGTGGAGACGATGAGGAAGATGGGCTAGATGGCCTGATTGATGAGCTAGAGGACGCGGGCATGCGCCTGGGAGATGGAGAAAAGAACATCTCAGAGAAGCTGAAGAAAGAGGAAGAGGTGGGCGATGACTACAAAGGAGAAAAAGACATGCAGAGTGAGGAGATTGATGAAGAGGACGGAGTCGACTGTGAGAATGCAGGAGAGGTCCAGAAGACCGCGGGTGCTGAGGACAAGTCTGATATTGAAGTGGACAATGGTTCTGTCTCTGATAATGAAGAGGAGTTTAACCAGAAGAACAAGAAAGACACAAATGCCACGGACGAAGCAGAGGATGAAGATGAAGGCAGCGGCGAGGGAGAAGAAGAAGAACCCGCAGAAGAAAGCGAAAGTGGTGAAGGAAAGGATGAAGATGTAAAGGAAATCGATGTTGAAGACAACCCAGAAAATCCAGAGGAGCCAGAAGAGCTGAACATACAAGACATGGAAATGTGCGATGAAGAAGGCGGCGAGTTTAATAAGGATGACTTGGAGGAGGTAGAAGACAACTGCTCGCTTGAAGAGGAGTCTCTTGAAGGCATTGCCCTGGAGACAGGAGATGAAGAAAGTAGCGAGGAGGAAGTATCCATTGAAAAGTATGAAAGCGAGGAGTATGAAAATAACGTAAAGCAGTACGACATAGCAGAAGTAGAAGTCAACCCAGAGCAGCTGTTCAATGACCAGGAAAACATTGATGAAATGGTTGGCAATGAGGAAGGAGAAGGCGCAGAAAGAGAAGTTGCAGTTGATAAAGGCGATGAAATAAACGAAAACGCAGAGGATGTAGAAGAAGCGCTTTATACCGGAGAGTACAAAGAGACGGCAGAAACAGAGGCTCCAGAAAAAGCACCATTTGAAAGACCTGCCAAAAAGTCCATCGACCCAATTGCATACTACGAAAAAATCAAGCACATTACCAACCCAGAGCTGACAAAGCAGCTAAGTGTGGTTCTTGAAGAGAATGAAAAGTCTGCGTATGAAGGCGACTACATCAGCGGAAGAAGACTGAACATGAAGAGAATCATATCTTACATAGCAAGCGATGGGCAGAAGAACCGGATCTGGATGAGAAAGAGCAAAAATCAAGGCAGGGAATATCTCATCAGAATATTTGTGGATAACAGTGGAAGTATAAAGAACTCGAGCATAGTGGATGCACTCGTAAAAAGTCTTACAAGCATAACAAACTCTTTAGACCTACTGAATGTGCCATTTGAACTGCACACCTTCAGCTGCACCGTGCACCCGCACAAGGACATGCGCAGACTAATTGAAGGACTTACTTTTAATGATAAAGAAACAAGAATTTCCTGGGTGTTTAACGATGAGTACAAGCACGGATATAACATAATCATAAGTGACGGTCTGTTTTATGATAGCTCGGTTTCCACCGGTGTACTCTCTAATACTCTGTTGCTACTTGTAGGCAATGGTGATATTATTAAGGAAATGCGAACAGTCAAGGCTGTAGTCGGTGAAGTGGTTATTGGAAAATATTTAGATACACTTGCTATACCATACTGCATAGTAGATGAAGACAATTTGCTTGAGGTTGTGTTCTGCAGAGAGTTAAAGAACATTCTTAGACTTGCAAGAAGAGCAGATAACTAAATAATAAACGGTTTAAATTCATTATTTCTTGTTTTAACATGGCAGTATGCATCAGTATATTTAGTAGCTGAAATTGTAACTAGATCTAATTAATTTCTGTATAAATCTGCTTGTATAAATTTAGATTTATTTTATGTGGACTAGTCGTAATTTATTAAAAATAAATATTATTTACGCCTTGCATTTTTAAGTCTTCATTTATTTTTCTTATTGTACACTTTTATTTTAAAGAATTATTTAGCTGGTCTTGCTGTTTAAAAAAAATACTTCTTTGAGCGCCACACGAATCACCTTCTGCTCTTCAAATGGGAGAGACTCAAGGAACTCACTTGACAAAATTTGTATTATTTCCTTTCTGTATAAATGGAATGATTTGATACAGTTTTTAAAGGCACGCGATCCTATTTTACTGCTAACAATTCTCTTAAAGTCTTTCATAAAACAGTCAAACACAAACCTTGCATCATATGAAATAATCCGTTGCACCACATAATTTCCTATCTCGTGCTGTAGAAGCCCTGAAGAGTATGGAAAGATGTGCTTCTTCACCTCCTCCATCAAAGACGGATTCTTTACCATGCTGACCACCAGCTGAATAACATATGTACCATACTTGTGCTTAGCAAGATAGATGAACTCTGGAGAAGTAAGCGCTGAAATGCAAGACAAAAGACTTTCCTGTGTCATGCCGCGAATCCTTCCCTGTAGAACAACATTGGAGTGCCTTCCACTTGCCATGGAAATAAATTCCTGCGACTTTTCCTGTTCATTTACAGAGATGATTCCTGTTTTTATTCTTGTTTCTCTTGGTGCCTGCTCACTCCCGCAGTCAAAAACAGTTTCAGTGATTTCCATTTTTTTAATTGAAAAGGCTCTCTCAAGCGCCTGCAGCTGTATATTTTTCTCTGGGACAGAAATCCTCAAAGGCGCTCGCATGTCTACACCAAATGATAGAAGAAACGCAGATTTATGTGATTGATAAAAAAGCAGAGCAGTTCTAATTGAAACAAATTTAACAACACACATTTTCTCTTCAACAGAAACAATAGGCCACTCTTTCATATGAGAACACTTCCTGCACAGAGTGTAAGGAGAAGATGGCTCATCAGATGGCATCTGGCCTAAAAATCCTTCTTCTCTTAGCAAACAGTCTTCGTGCTCTTTTTCCTTTCTTGCATTGATAAAAGAAACTTCATCTGCCACTTCCTCTTTATCTTCATAACATTTGGGCGTACATCTGCACATACCGCATAAATTATTTCCATCACATAAAAAGCAAAGCCTAAAACACTTGGCTTGTTCTTCTTTAATCGATCTGTATATAATACATACTATCCGGGTTGGTTGACATATTTGTCCCACGCGTTCTTTGATGGGGGCTTTGTTCTTTTTTATCTCAACTGAACTCTCCATAAGGGGTAAGTTATTGATTGGCTTTATTTTCAGACTTTCCATATGCTGAGAAGCATATTCATCTGTCCAGCTCATTATACTCTCCCTATCTTGCATTGGTTTAAATATACAAATAGACCCGTCTATTTACATACTGATCACTGAAGACTCTTCAATATTATTTTCTTTGCATCCATGGAATTACTTCCTGTGAGAGCAAGAGCTAATGAATGTACACCGCATGCAAGTGAGCTATTCTTTATACACGGCAAAAAATACACTCCCGAGTACTTTATCACCTCTGTCTTTCCATTTCTTCCTGGGTTGGAAAAAGACAGTAGCTCTAATCCAAAGTCAAATGTTTCGGCGATTCGTGTCTATGAAGACCTGCTCGCACAGATTAAGAAGTACTCGACAGAAATAGAGAGATTCTCAAAATTACCAAATGCACCAGGACTAAGTATATCTTTAGACTTTAAGATACTCAATTATTTACACATCCAAGACAAAGTCTGCTTTAAATTACCAATAAAAAACGAGCCAGAAATATATGCAGCTGATCTATTCCAATCACATTCCCTCCCAGATGGTGAAATACTCACCATCTTCATATTCTATATCAGAGAAAGCATACTGGCTCGGATAAAAGAAATACTGCAATCTCCAGAGGACCAACAAAAGAAAGACCCGGCAGAGCTCCAGCAGTGCCAAGCACATATATATCAGAATCGCATAGAAAGTCTTAACCAAAGCCTTCTGCGCTACGAATCTTTTGGAAAAGTGTCTGTTATGAAAGAAGGAGAGAAAAAAGAAAGAAAGAAAATACAGAAAACAAACTAAAGCTTCGAGGTATGCCCGGCGGTATTCTAAGAGAATAATGTAGATATGTAGTTTATTGCAATAAATAGTGCACTTATCACCAAAGACTTTTTTTAATGATTTATCTACAGAGAACATATCACAGAATGTAGTGTAAATAACCTACGGCTGCTGGTTATTCAGAGTAACAGGAACTCCCTCATACTCGTCAGAGTGTCCATTGAGTAGAACTCTTACAATAGAAGAAACATTGCTGTTTTGTTCTGCTGGTGTATTTTGCCCGCTTTCTTCTGTAGCTCCACTGCTGGCTGGTTCTGCCTCGGGCTTTACGAGGACTTCTTTCCGGCACACTGGGCATGCCTGTTGCCGGTGCAGCCACTCTTTCAAACATCCCATGTGAAGAACGTGGCCGCAGTCTAATTTCTTTCCAATATTCATTTCCTCATGACATATAAGACATATTTTATCTGCCCCCAGATCATCCCCCTTTACATCAGGACACTTCTCTAAGAGTGTGATGAGCGTTTTATATGCCAGCATAGATCGAGTTTTTGAGACTAAGTGTTTTATAGCAATCACTACCTCTCTCAGTAGATTTATTGGCATTCGGAAGTACATTGTTGTTATAACAAGGCATATTATATTAGCTAATATCTTGACTAGGCAGAAGCCAAAATCGCCATAAAATAGAAGGAATACTCTGTCCTCAATTATTGAGCTGGAGCTGTAATGGAGAATAGATAGAGAGTATAGGGACCTAATTGAATACGCAAATAGCGTAAAGAACTCAAATGCAAAGAGAATGGAGACTCCCGGTAAGCTAAACATAAGACTCACAAACCGATAGGCCAAAATTCCATCCACAAAAAACAATAAGCCCACTAGACCAACAATTCTCTCTATTCTATCATAGGTTGTTCCGCTTTTCTCCAGTGCTTCTATCCGGAAGCCAACCAACCAATGAAGAGACTTCAGCCCAAAAACAAACGCAAACAGCACGACGGTTTTAATGGTTATATTATCAGCAAACAAGGTTATTACTAGGCATGTATTTCCAAGATATCGTATTCCATTCTCATTTACACCTTCCTTTTCCAGTGCACTGAGGCTCCCGAGTGAAAATGAAACAAGTGCTTTGCCAAAGACATATAGCGACCCAATAAAAAATAAAGACAGTAAAAAGTGGTATACCCTACTTTCAACCATTCCGACCAAGGATCCATAAAGATTCTTTCCATCTATAAAGTCTGCCGTACAGATACCAGCAAGTGCTGTAATGTATACGGCCAGATATGCCTCATGCCTATACATATTCATGTAATTAAAAAATATAAAAAACCATTAAGACCATGTCCGGAATAAAAGAAAGCAAGCCAGATGAAGCAAATAAATCACCAGAGGAGATGCAGCGGTATACAGTTCTGTTATTCAGCGACGTGCCAGAGAAAACGAATCTGACCACTGTTCTATCACTAATAAAAGGAACAGACGTTCTGTCTATCCAGCAAGAAAATACGCTGGTCTATATTACGTTCTTCTCATATTATGAACTATACCACCAGTGGAAGAAGTTGGGAAGTGAAGTAACTTTAGAAGGCTGCAAAATCCGGGTGTGCCCAGTTGAAACAAATCTTTCAGATGAGGAAAGAAAGAGATTGCATTTAGCGCACGCAGCAGGAGGAACCAGGAATGTTATGCTGTCGAATCTAGATGACTTCATGACGGGGGAGTTTATACGCGAGGAGGCAGAGAAGTATGGAGTAGTTGAGTCACTAAAACACATGAGAGACAGAAAGGTGGCATACGTTGAGTTTTATTCGTTCTCGTCTGCAATTGAGTTTGTGGTGAGTGTGCGAGACGACAGCTTGTTCAAGAATGTTAAGTCCTGTTTTGCTAAGGACAAGTGCGGATCTGGCGAGGCAGATGACATAGCGCAGTATAACAACAGAACTGTATATTTCGGGAATATACCAGCAGACACAACTCCATCTGAAATACTGTCTGTGGTGCAGGGAGGAAGAGTTTTTATGATTAAGCTGATTCAAGAGAAAAAGTGTGCATTTGTTGGATTTTTTAGTTATGTTTCTGCTGCTGCTTTTATCGAGTATTCGCATGTGTTTTCCGTATGCATACGAGGAATGCAGATTAAGCTGGGGCCGGGAAAGGTACAGCCACTGCCGCATATTGCGCCAATTTTAGCATACCGAGGTGTGACTAGAACTATTCTTCTTAAAGTGGATAGACGATCTGTAAATGAGTCAAAGCTAGAACAGGAACTTTCTCGATATGGTGAAATAGACAAAATAGAAAAGAAAGAGAATGGACTGGTTGCTGCCTCATATTTAAGCGCGCAGGATGCCTATACAGCATATCAACACATGACTAATGATGCAGGGATTTGTCATATGCTGTGCGGATATGGGGAAGACCCATGCGAAACTGCATCTGCTCTTGACTTAATCATGGAAGTGCAAAAGAAAGAGTTTATGATATAAAACTACCTAGCAACTATTAAGAGACCCATGCTTAGATACTTTAACTTCTATACAATAGCTAAATACACTTAGAAAAAATTATTACTGTTCTTATACTAACATTCTGTCATATTTTTATTCCATCCACCAATATCTAATAAATATGTTTTAAGCAACTATACACTATATTTTATATTATTTTATAGTGAATTCAGCATATACTCAGTATAAACAGCCCATAGGCTCTGAGTGGTTTGGATTGTGTTATAAGACATTTATTTAAACGGAAAACAGTCTGTTATTTATGCAAGTAGATAAATAAATAATAAAACAAACTATTTATAGAGCTTTTTGTAAAAAGTCCAGTTGTTATAATGCGTCTGAAAATAACTTGTGCGTTCAGTGATTTTAACTATACCCGAACATATATTATGTATATATGCAGTGGTGGGTGTTTAGCGGCTGTAGTAGTATATTCTACAAAAATGCAATTATTGCTAAGATTTATATTTGGACCGGTTATAATAGATCCATTTTTTGATTTATTGTTCTAACATACTTACTAATTATTCTTTCGGTTTTTTTGTGGCCGTGCTCTTTGGCTAGCTCCTGCGCAGTCATTCCCCTGCTGTCCCTCAGCCTTGGGTCTGCTCCACACGCAAGCAAATACAGAATGATATTGTTTTTATTCCCTCCAAGAGCTGCATAGTGAAGGGGAGTTGCGCTATGATCTAAAGACCGGCAATTTATAAAACACGTACTGGGCTTCGCATGCCCAAATATTACAGGAAGAATTGAAGAGCTGGCTGTAGAAATATTGTCTGCATCATTGCTTTCAAATGAAATATTGTCAGAAGTAACTGCTTCAAAAAGAGCCATGTCTTTCTCCTCCGCTTCGCTTACTGCCGATAGAAGAAACTGCACTACCTCTCTCTGGCCATAGTAGGCCGCAGAGTGTATTAGGTATACTCCAAACTTGTTTACTATTTTAAGATCAAATACTTTGCCTTGGCTTATTTCATATACGCATAATGCATTTCTTAAATTCTTTAAATCGCCAATGCATACAAGGTCGAATATTTTTAAAAAGTCTTTTTCTTCTGGCTTTGCCGGATTGTCCTTTTTCTCTGCTTCTTTCTCCTTTTCCTTCTGACTTAATGAGAGATTATTTGTCATGGCTTCTTACAGAAAATATTTTAGATATAATTCAAAGCATAAATAAACTGTTTGGATGGATCCTCGAATCTTTGTCTTGTATGTTTCTCTTGCATATCATTCTTCTCATAGCATGCACAAACAAACAAATATTAAATATTTTCACATCTATACTCCAGCAGTATAAGAGGAACTAGGCTGTTTGCCAAAAATTTAAGTTGTTTATTTAATTTCGAAGTATATTTTATGCTTTTTTGGGTATGCTTTACAAGTGCACCATACCTTACAGAATATTATAAAAACAGTAAACTCAAAGTTTTATATAGATCCTATAATAATATAACACAGATATACCTCTAGGCTTTGGCCAAACATGATTTATATTATTTGGGATTGTTTCATAATCCAGCCACACTTTCTGTTGCAGGCTGTGTATATTTCTGGGGGCGCAATTAATTTTTTCATGAACACAGAAAGCATTAAGAGGCTGGCAGAAGAGGTAAAGAAGGCGCAGGACTTAATACAGGAAGCTCGTAAAGAAAAAGACCAGTTAGAACAGAAAACAATAGAAAGAGCCAAAGAATATGAAGAAGAGCTTCTTAAAAAGAAAGTAGAGGATGTGAAAAAGTACTTCAAAAGCACAAACGAAGATCTTGCCAGAATAGAAGAATCTATTATCCAAGAAGTAAAAGAAACCATTGATGACATTCGGTCTAAAGACAAATTGTGTGAAGATATAATGGAGGAGATTGTTAAAACCGTCATTAGCTAGAAGTGTTCATTGCAAAAATCTTACTCTATTATTAAGCATTTTTAGAGAATAGCTATTTTCTATAAGTATTTAGCAATAGCCATATTATTTGCTTTAAAGCGCAAGCAATGTATTTAAGCAGATACGAACATACAAATGCCAATAAATATAAGATTTTAATGTAGAACGCTTTTACTTGTGCCATCTATAAATAGATATAATGGCTTGTTAATGCCTTAGAATATACCACTGTCAAATGAATAGAGATATAATAATACATGGGGCTTTTTTAATAACAGAACTTCAACTCTACCCAAATAACCCGAATTTCTCTTAGAAATATATCAATTCCTGAGTTGTTTTCAGGTGTACGCAATGCGTTTTATCAAAAAATAAAAGAATTTATATTTTCGGTTGTTTTTATATTACCCGAAATTTAGTGATCATGGTTAAATAGATGTTTAATCAGTTGAGGCTTGCACAGTAATAAAAATAACGAGCCAAAGTATTTAATTCGAAATTAATAAAAAAATAATATAGGAGAACAGCAATAATAAGTCGTAAATTCGGCAATAGTTAGAATTTACTTAACCTAAAGTAAATCCCTCAACATAGATGTTATATAGCTGCATAAAAGGCATAGTACCCAATGGGGGGTTTCTCTCTATCTGTTTTTGGTAATTTTTCTGGATATTTTTAATAAATTCTTCTAGTGGAGCTGGAATGCACTGAAACAGCTAGAAATTCAGAAAATTTACAACAAATAGTAAAATAGATTATCTTATGTTATAAGGGGGCATACCCCGATGTAACCTGAAGTGCTCTGGAATATCTTTAAATATAATAGAAGAGTATTACTTGTAAATTTTCTGGATTTTATGTCTTACATGTAATAATATTCTTTTCGGTATACATGGCCCGCATTTTTTTAATTTGAATGAAGGCCATTAACATCGATCGTAACTCAGAAGATGCATTTTATCGGTACAAAATGCCAGAGATAGAAGTGAAGATAGAAGGCCGTGGGAATGGAATAAAGACAGTTTTGGTAAATATAGAAGAAATCGCCAGAAGTCTGGACAGAGACCCGAAACACATTACAAAGTACTTGTCATATGATTTAGGGACTCTTTCAAGCGTAGACGAAGTAAATGCAAAATACATTATAAATGGGTCTCATACAGCAGAGAAGGTTCAGGCATGCATATTCAAATTTATAGAAGAGTTCATACTTTGCAAATCATGTGAAAGAAATCCAGAAACTGTTTTATTCACTGATGCAAATAGAAAGCACATCCAACAAAGATGCAAGGCCTGTGGGAAAATAAATACTATAAAAACCCAAAACAAGCTGGGGAAAATACTTCTCAAAGAACTTCCTGACAAAGCCGAGTCAGACCGGCTAGAGCCACAGGACTTTGAAGAAATGGATGATTTTGAAGTAGACTATGCATTCGGAAAGTAAATAAACCCAGAATTTATTTTAGTGTTTATATGGTGCATCTAGCACTTTTTTCGGAGAGAAGATGCTGCCTGACCATTTCCATCTTCAATCACAAATCCTTTTTCTTCCATCTCTTTTCGGACAGCATCACATGCTTCGAAGTAAGCTTTTTTATCAGATGATGATTTAGTCAGATCTCTTATCTTATTTCTAAATGAGCCAATTAATTCGATAAGGCCTGTTTGGTCAGATGTACTGGCCTCCTCTTCTGCTTCTAGCCCTATGTTATGCATAAGCCTTCTTAAGTACATAGCAATTTGCTGATGGATCTCTTTAACATTAGTTTTTGCCTCCATACTGGCTAGCTCAACAGCAAATTTTAGTGCCTTTGGGAAATTAAAGTCATCTTTGATGGCCTTGTCTATTTCCATTGCAGTGTTCTCAAACTCCTCCATAATGCTTTTCTCTGCATCAGTGAATGGATGAACCGCATTAATAGAGTCAGTTTTTGTGCATGCAGTGTGCAGTGAAATGTATCTGAATATTTTCTTGTCCATTACTTTTGCTCTTTCCAGACTTTCTTCATTGTACGTCATTGGACCGCTGTATCGCTGAAGAATAAACATCAGCCTCAGCTCTCTTGCTGTTCCCTTCTTCAAAAGCTCTTCTACCTTAATGAAGTTCTTCAGACTTTTACTCATTTTCATTCCCTCAATGTGGAGATGCCCTGTGTGCAAAAAGTGTCCAACCCAGTTGTTTAGCCCGTACCCTTCAGACTGTGCAATTTCATTGTCATGATGTGGGAACATCAAATCAATCCCACCAGAGTGCATATCAATGCGCCCTCCAGCTATGTTTGATGCCATTGCACTGCACTCTATATGCCACCCTGGCCTGCCAGCGCCCCATTTGGATGCCCACGCCGGTTCTCCTTTCTTGCTGGCCTTCCACAACACAAAGTCTTCCTTTCTGTTCTTCTGCCCTAATGTTAGCTTGCCTTCTCCCTCCTCTAAAAGACTCTGCTGATCTTCTTGGGTGGATGCACTGCACATCAGCGGATACTTATATGCTTCTCTGTACTTCTGTACATCAAAGTATACAGACCCTTCACTCTCATAAGCATACCCCCTTTCCTCTATTCCTATAATGAATTTAATTATTTCATCTACATAGTCACTAACCCGCGTTGTATAGTTAGGAAGATCAACCCCAAGTGCAGCCATGTCCTCAAAGAACTCCTTTTCAAACTTTCTGCTGACTGCCCTAGTTGCCATATGAATTCTTTTCTGCTCCTCTGTATCCTCTGCCAGTTTAATTGAAAGTTTATTAAATTCTTCGCTTATATCTTTTGGAAGGTTGTTTAAGAACTCATTTGCTTTGACTATTATTTTGTCGTCAATGTCTGTTATGTTCATTATATATGTTATATTATACCCAAAGTATCGCTCCAATGTTTTTCTAATTATATCAAGTGTAATGTAACTACGAGCATGCCCAATGTGTGCCGAGTCGTATACAGTTGGACCACATGTGTACCATTTAAAGAAGAACCCTTCTATTTTCAATTCTTCTTTATGCTTTGTTATTGTGTTGTATATTTTAAGCTTATTTTGGCTCCTTGTCCCTTCTACTGTCCTGCCTGACATATTTACAAATAAAAGAAATTCTGTATAAATAACCCGAAATTAATTTTCCACTCTTAATCATATTTCATTTGTCCGTAAAAGAACTAATGGCCAAAATTAAAAGTTTTAATCATCCGTGCATAAATTAATCATTGTCTATACCTAAACTTCGCATAAATATATAATCTACACTGCAAACATGCACAGGCAAATTGCTTCTAATTTTTAACTCAATATTACTATAACTTATACCTTAAAGACAGGGCAGTAATATTAATAAATTTATGATATTTCTAGAAAAGAGAGTATATAATGTGCTATATGTTTATAATCAATAGCTAATGTTTTAATTTATAAAGTTTTTATTCTAGAAGTGCTTTAAATAAAATTATACGCACATATTTTTCGTTTGTTGTTAAACTCCCTTATAATACACACTGTGCAGTAGTAGTAGCATAAATAATGGATTGAATTTCTGACTATTTAATTGTTTTATACATCTGATAACATAAAAATGCTTAAATCGACGTGTATGACTGTTGTGTTAGCAGTGCTTACACATAGATTCAAAATGACTGTTTAAGCTTAAAATTAAATTGTACCACCAAATAGCGATTTAGGAAGAAAAATGTTAAACTAGAAGGTTCAAAGCTACAGATTATAAATACAAGCTAGCAATTAAATAAATTGTAAACTCTAATAATAGCTAATCATAAAAAATAATTCTATAAAAAGAATATGCTGTCTAGTTAATATTAAGTAGTATATATAATAAAATACTACTTAAATGTCAAAAAATATTATTTATTAAACTTCAAAGCATGGACTGATTTCTTTAGGGTTAAACGTAAAACATTTAGTTGAAGCACCTAGTTAGAAGGATTATGACCTAATGATATGTTGGGGATTAGTTCCATCGCATCCACTATCGCTGATTCAGATGCTTTAGCATTTTCTTTATCTTTATTAGAGTCATTAGCCAAATTCAATTTTTGGAAATCTAGGCCTTCACTACACTGCACCATGCTTTTTTCTTCTAAAAAGTATCTTTTTGATAGTAGTGTTCCTGCCATGGCCACAGCACCTATAACACTTATTCCTAGGACTACTTTCATTACTAAATTCATTTTTTTAGATTTTGCAAAAATTATAAATAGAAATAGATTAGATTAGATTAAAATTTGTTGTGTGCTAAGCCTAGCATAATAGAAATATTATGAGTTATTTAATTTATTTAAATTAATAGATTGCATACATGAACTAGATTAAATTACAGTAGAATCCAAAAGCTTAATAGAACAATCGAAGATGTTTATACTTCCTTAAAGGGATAAATTAAATTAAATTGTTTAGAGTATAAATACAAATCTAAAATTAAATAAAGGTAGTTGTTTTCTTAGGAAAAGGCATTCTTAAACTTTGACTTTTATTGAATTTGTATACGTATTTATAGACCGTAAAATAAATTTAAATTATGTTGTCATATTGTGTAAACAATAATTTCTGATCTAGTCTGAGCTGTCATGTTTATGTAAACATTACACTAACTAATGTCATGCTAACAAATGCTATTCTTAGCATACAACAAGGGTCAAAGTTTAAGAATGCCTTTTCCTAAGAAAACAACTAAATTGATATTTAAGAAAGCAGTATCCTATATAGTAAACACATAAATTGAAAATTTGTGAGTGTCTCTTTAATATATAGCCCGAAATTAATACATTGTGAAAATTTGTTTATGCTTAGCCTCTACAGCGTGCTCTCAAAATATTCTAATGTATTTTTGTCTAACGTGGTGTAGCATGTCAATTTATTTATTAATAGATACTTAAATAGTTACTGTATTCTTGTCACATAAATTCAATAAACCATAAATATTCGGGGGCTCAATATTTTAAATGCTATTATATATCTTATTTTGTGTCATAGCCATATTTACCGCGTCCGACATTATGGTTGCACTTTGGAGTGCAAAAATGCCCAATTCCAACAAATTTATGGTCCTTACAAACTCCCTTTTCAACATACATAGTGTAAGTTGATGTATTTGTATCATTCTTTTTCCTTCTTGGAATTGGTGGATTACTCTGTGGCTCATCGCTGTCTGATGATGATAAGTCATAGTAGCCAGTACTAGGATTTTTCTGTATTCCAATAGAGTTAGAACGACGTGTACTGCTGCTTGCAGTACTAATAGGATTGTTTTTAGTAATTCTACACCCACCTTTACCAATGTCCACAGTAGAGTTTATAATATTACTAGGAAATTCATTTTTTTTGTAAAATCCGTCTTCCTTGCTTTGTATTTCTTCATGGGCATCTATGGCAGAAACCGAACTGGTTGCAGTGTCTTTTTTTACAACACCACTTTTCTTCAATTTTGACTCAGATTTTTTTATGGAAGATGCTGTGCCATCTAATTTTTTATTTTTCTCTTTATCTGCCTCACTTCCTATTACATTCTCTGTCGAGTCATTATTCATTGAACTAGTTAAATTATTTTCTGTCTGGTTGCATGCTGTACTTGTTTTAAATGTGGTTTTTGAGGAAGAGGGGCCTATCCTTTCTATATACTGAAATGTTGCCCATGCGATTATTACTACGCAAGTTATTATAAAAAACCATAAGGCTATAACTCCATTTTTAGATAGCATTTTACTATTTTACAATTTTTTAATTATATTTATCTTTAAATATCATTATTTTATGTGAATTCAGCCAATTACATTCAAATATAAATCTATAAACACAGAAGTAATGAAAACTAAAATATAATTGGTTAAGCCACACATATAAGAATGTAAATAAGAAAGTTGCATAAAATACTTTAAGTGGGGTAATAATAGCACAAAGCATTTAGAGACCATGCATCGATATGAATTGTTCTTTTGGTAATGCCATTGTTTGTAATATTACACTTAATAATTTCCTATCCCTATACTCCTTTATGCTAAATGTATTGTTTTTGTTTTTTCTATTTATTTATGCATTTTGTTTTACTCTTATTCAACAGATAATTTAATTGTGAATATTCAGATTGTAAAATTAAACTTGTAAATAATTTAAATGCCTTCTTTGTAAAGACTTTAAATATTTTTAAAAATAAAATGCGTAATATAAGTACAATTTATTCAAATATGCTACATGTGAAATGAACTTTACAAATAAATATTGATTATATTTAATTTCGGGTTAAATTTTTAATCACAATTAATATATCAAATTCGCCTATATATACTAAAATACACAGAAGTAGATAAAACATCATGGAATTTAAGGTTGAAAAATACTATTATTTATTATTATTATAACGAATACAGCAAAGACAATTGTGCCTGTTAAAATGCTATGTTGTTTGTTATATGTTGGTATTGGTCATATATCCAGGTTCGTAGCTTCTTGGTTGAGGAGGCAATGAGCTTATGCACAAAGGCTGGAACCTCAACATCAGAAAGGTCTAGTCTAAACCGAGCTATTAAATTCTTCATAGTAGCAGGAGTATAGCACGAAATACCGCTGTGCCTGCCCAGATCAATCATAAATGCAATTTCCCGTGCGTGCTTTCTTAATAGATAGAATCCCTTGACCATTAAGTCTCTGTACATTATAAATGCTTCTCCCTCTGCACCCCCAAGCAAAGAAAAAATCTCGTCAGTAATCTTTATAGGGCTTTCTATATTAATGTTACCTGGTGAGATGTCTAGCATAAACCCAAAATCAATATGGATTAGATGCCCGTCGTCGGTTAGCATTATATTTCCATTGTGCCGGTCCTTAATGTTTAGAATGTATGTCACAAGAGAGTATCCAGCAAAACTTTCAACAAAATTCTTCAGTGCTTGAATATATCTATGCCCCTCTCTATACCCATACTTAAGAGAGAAGTAATCCACTAAATTGTTTACCCGCTCCCTTCCCAGCTGGTCCCTAGAAATAGAGTGAGGAATTACTTCAATAATACCCGACCCATACCCAGTTGCAAGAACCTTATACGGATACAAATATACCGAAAGCCCCTTTTCCTTGAAAATGTTCTGGAACATCTTTATAATCTGCAATGCCAGCACATCCTGCCGGCAGTCGTCTCCAAACTTAAAAATCACTTGCCGGTCTGCAGGCTCATTATTGTTCTTGGAGTCTTTCACCTTGAATGTGACCATATATGGAACCTTCTCTGCGCTCTGTAGCGACCTTCCAGACCCCTCGACAACTTTTATAATGGTCTCGCCAGTGGTTGGGAGATAACAATCGTCTGGAAATGTAACCTTGGATATCTCCTCGTTTATCATCTTTTTCTTTGTGTCTCGATCCACAGCGACATGCTTTTGCAGCTTTTCTGACACATTAGAAAACTTGCCTAAAAAAATATCCATGTCTACATACTTTTCTCTGTCCTCTTGTGAAAGGTTGTTCAGTATCGCATCTTCATAGATTTTCAAAGAAGAGTTCCCCTGCGCCTTCAGCTCCCATATAAGAGCATGTGCGGTTTTGCTTGCAGCTGCCTTCCCAAGCACAGTCTTAATTAGCGCCTCTTTAATTACATTTCCATTTGCAGCATAGTTCTTCCTGAGTAGCTGTACTATCTGCGGCGCATAAAAGACTAAAGAGTCACTCTTAGCAGCCTCGCTCTCCAGGTGCGTGAGAGCTTTGAACACATCGTCTTCCTCCTGCGAGTTTCCTATAACAGAAAGAGCTTCTATTGTGCTTAGCTTATTTATGTCTATAAAGAACCCCACACAGTTAAGTGTCTGCTTCTTTGCAAGAACTTCCTGTACTTTCCTCTCCCCATACTCTGTACTAAGGAATATTAGCTCATCGGTGTTCATGTCATACAGCTCCTGCTCCTTCAGACTCCTCACCTTTAAATACTTCTTGGTTTTTGTGAGAGCAGATAGGAAATTGTATGTATGCGCCAGAGGATACTCGTAGAAGGTTCCCTTTGCTGCCATATAGAGGGCATGATACACAGAAGGGTCTTCTTTCATATTGTATCCTGTTAGCACAGCCCTTTTAAGCAGCTCTTTCTTCTCTTCTCTGGTGGATACTTTCAGTAGAACAAGCAAGGTCTCTAGAGAGTATTCCTCGCTTAGTATCCACCTTAAATAGCTCCGAGTGTTTTCAATTATTCCAGGAGTGCTCCCCCGAATTGTTATGAGATCGTTAATCCACTCGGTATTTATGGCATACAGAAGATGCGCATACTCTTCTTCTGTAAGCGGTGTTTTGTTTGGGCATCTGTCAATGGATCCGCTGTTTCCAGATATATTGCCAAGCGCCCCGGGTTTATTTGTCTTTTTGGTGCAAACAGAGTATAGCCACTCCCATATCTCTATTCCCTGCATGGGATTGGTTGGAAAGGCCTTTATTATCTTCATAATAAGGTTTGATCGGTTTAAAAGTTCTTTTATTCCCCGTTCATCCCGCATGACTGGTAGAGCATGGAATAGGCCAAAGTCCACAATGTTTAGAACAATATAATTGTACGCTTCAATTACCTCTTCTTTGATCCGGGCCAGAATGCTTTCATAGAGAATTGTATACTTGTGGAAGGTCTCTTTTAGGTTGTACATAGAGAGCTCATTTCCGCGGAACGTATCAAAGCACTCCTTAAATCGAATATGAATTTCCTCCGAAAGGATAATCGATGGCTCTTTATGCATAAGAATCGCAAGTATCTCCACAATAATTTTTAATGAAAGTGGGTATGCGGTTGGCACCGCAGCTATTTTTAACAACTCACATGTATACGTTTTATAAAAGTCTATTGACTCAACACACACATCGTTGTGAACCATTGCAATTATCTGTGGCAGGTGCTTCCCCATATACTTAAGAGTTACTTCGTCCTCTAGGTAACTTATAATCCCATTATAGTTGTAATTCTCAATCTTTGCCTTTTCAACAGAGTATACTAAATTAAGAAACAAAATGTAGTCCTCATTCAGCTTGTGGCTGATGCCCACAACAGACGCCATCTTTTTCAGCTGCTTGCTTTTTATCAGCGGCTTTGGATCGCTGAAGATATACCCAGCAATTCCCACGAGTGCAGGAGTTTTCATTCGCAGAAGCATTAGCTCTGTATCAATTCCCCGAGGGAACATCTCTGCGTTCGCGTATATTCTTTTGTATATAAGAAATAGCTTGTGCACTATGAAGGGCGAAGTGGGAATAAACGGGACCATGTTTAGAATGTATATGTATGTAAGCTCAGCTGAGAGACATACAAAGTTAATAAAGTCACCAACTGCTTGGGTTCCCTTTTCCAGCGTGAATGGGTGCCTAAAGTACGTTGAGTAGAAAGTTGATATAAACTGCGGGTCAAATCGCCGTACAAGATGGTGCAAAGGTATTCCTATATCATGCATGGAAAGGAAAGTGCAGTAAGAATCAATGTGCTCTATCTTATTTGGGCTTCTTGATATGATTGTGATAAAACAGTCATTTATCTCTTTTATGCTGCTAGGATTCTTTGATCGAATCTTTGATAGGAATATAGAGATAAGAAGCGCCATGCCCTCTGAGTACTGCGCAGAGCTATCATACAAGTATATTATTTTTTTAATCAGCTTAAGCACTCTTTCCTGGTCTAAATATTTAATAAGTATGTCAACAGACTGGCTTATAATCTGTTTCTTCTGCTGCGGGGTGAAAGTGTCTAAACAGTTTGTTGTATAGAACGAGTAGACAATGTCTATCATAGTATAGTTTCTCTCTGTGCGATAGAGCACCCCAAGACACCTAAGAACATCATTCTGGATGTGCAAAATGTACTTGTCTCTAAGAATGGTTTTCCCTTCTCCGGAAAACAGAGAAAAGCAGTCAATAAGCGCACGGCCACGTAGAAAAATAGACAGCTGCATAGAAAGAGAAAAACACCCAACAAGCTCTGACTCAAGTTCCTCAATAAATAGCCCTCCTAGATACTCAATGTACTTTTTGTACTCTAGGTTTGAAAAAGACACCAACGCGTCTCTCTGCATCACAGGGTGTCTAAATATAATAGAGCTGCGAGCATACATCTCCAAGAAGCACAGACACAGCTCAATGCAATCCAGCTGGATATTTGCAAAATTAGACCCATCCCACTCGCCTGTAAATATTTTTGCAGTGTCCATTTCCTCCACAGTGGCCACAATGCCACCAACAACCTCCTCCGATAGTGTAGAGAAGAAAGACAACATGTCGTCGCCCTCTTCCTCTTTTGATGGTTCTTCCTGCTCAATGATCTTCTCTGCTCTTTCTCTTTTCAGCTTAAGCTCGTTTCGCAGCTTAGCTAGCTTCTTAAATGTAAATAATCCCGATCGTATTATACTCTGCAGTGGGTGCCGCGGAATATCAAACACCTCACTCCCGCTCTTCTCTGGCACTAAAACTGGCTCTGATTTGGCCTTTACTTCCTGCCCCAGTAGCTTTTCGTCCCACTTCCCCTCATACTTCTTTATCTTTGCAATAGCTGCCTCTAACACCGTATTAATCTGTACTAGCTCTGCTATGCCTTTTTCTGGAGCATTAAAAGCAGTGTCCAGCAAAGAAAAGCAAGATTCAAGGCCCTCGCTCTGCTCAACTGTCTGCACGTAAGCAATAAGTTTCTCATGAACAGATTCATTATAATCTTTCACATCTCCAAATAGAATAAACATCTCTTTTGACTGCTCTAAAGAAGCATTGTCTCCGATTTCCTCACTAAGTGCGATGTACTCCTCGCTTGTTATCACTTTCTTCTGTGGACTGTGCTCATCCCTCATTTGTGAAAAATAAAAACAAAATTGCATTTATCTATTCACGTATAGAATAGCTTTCACGTCAGAACCATCCAATAAATGCTTTAAATATTTAATCTGTGTGTATTCTAAGCAATTGTAATTTTATAACATATTCCCTTATGATTCTCTTATTTGGTATATGGCAGAGCTAGAAATATTAATAAATAAAGATGTACATGTCTTATTATTAAAAGAAATGACTTGTTTAAAAATATTCACACTTTCGAGCTATTTATAGAGCAGTTACAAAGAGGCACTCTGCCGCTAGAATACAAGATAAAGGAATGTAATTTATCGGAAAATACAAGCAGAACAATTGCCATCAAATGTATCTATTAATGTCTTCAGTTGATCTGCGTATGGTTACTGCTTACAGCGCCAAGAGTATATTTATTGCATGTTACAAGGTTTTTCTAGATTAACAGACTACATCCCCGATATAACCCGAAATTTGTTTTTGTGTTAAAGTGTATTTTATTTACATGATTGTTTATACTATTTCTGGTTGTGTGTGCTTAGCTTTTTTATTTGCCTAGTAAGCCCCTCTCTAAAGATTCCTGCTCTAAGCCTGGCCGGGGCTTCTTGTAAATATGCTCTTTCTATTCTTGGAACTTCCAAAAGAGAAGAGAGAAGAATTGGAATATTATTGTTTTTGTTGTGGGCAGGACTATAGCTGATTATTCTTGGTGTTGCTGGCTCGTTTGATGCAATCTTATTAAGAAGAGACTCTAAGAGATTCTCTGCATAGAGAATTCTCGCTGTGCGCACACTTGTTTTATATTTTGTGGTTCTATGCTTTAATTGGCTGTGCTTCAACACAAACCGTTCATACCCACTTAGGCTGGCATAAAGAGCAGACTGTGCATGGCTGGGTTTGTTATGTAGGCCTATTTTCTCTGGTTTAACTGAAAGGCTCTTCTTCTTGTGGCAGAGATTAAAAGAAAATCCATCTTTATTGCGGATTGTGCTTCTAAGAAGCGGGTATAGATAGAGCGCCTTCAGCCCATCTATTTCCTGCGGTGGGACTGTTTTATGCAATAGGTGGTTGAAAATTTCTGTGTTTTCCTTCAGCGCACTTTCATAGTACTCAGTTCTATTCGGATGTAGTATTATTTTATGCCAGTCAAGTATATTGAACTTCTTTTCTTTTAGTGCAGCTACTAGGCCAGGCGCGCCGCTTTCTTGCACTTTTTTAAGAATATCTGAGGAAAGCTGTTTTTTTTCTTTGGCAGACATAAAATATTTAATTTGCTTCTCTTTTCTTTTATATGAAAGATTTTATTGCGGTTATAGCCCCATACAAGGCCAACTGTATATTTAGACGAGAGCAAGTAGAAACAGGAGAAGTATTGAAGTCTGAATGCAATAAAAAAGAGCTGATAGTTGTTGCCACTGAGGAAAGTGACATTGCATGTAATTATGCACTGGCCAGCACAGAAGCGGGAAGTAACCAGACAGTAGAGATTAATGGAAACCACTTAGGAATAGCATCAATAAAATACTTCAAAGCAAAAACGCTTTTCAAGAAGGACGAACAAGAATTAGCTGCGTCTGAGCGAGTTCGTAATTCGCACGAGCTGTCTCTGCTGTTTGGAAGTGCTGCATTCTCCAGAACGTTTAAAAAGAGAAAACAGCTAAATGAAATATCAGAAAGTGTAGATAGCAAAGGAGAGATGCTTATTAACACCCAGCTTTCATCGGGCTGCGTCGAAAACAATGAAAATATACCAGGAGGCACAGGCGGGAAAGAAAAAAATAACAAGCATTCATTAATACAGCCAGTGTTCCCAGAGAAAAACATGGATGCATCATACCCGAATGATTTGTATACGCTAGAGTCTATATTTGGGTTTGATCCTGTGGTGGAGTTAAAAAGAAACGCAGATCAGATAAAAAACAACCAAATTAACTTAGGAGTAGTCACTGCAGAGGTTTTGGGCACTAACCACGTTTTATATAACACAGACGAAAAAACAGCAGCGTGGGCACTCTTATTTGACTGTATATGCAAAATAATTGCTAGTGTAAGAAAAAAGAAGCTGAGTTACATATATGAGACAGAAGATCCAATACAAGTCGTAATGATAAAGAAGCTAGTCAAGAACTTTATAGGAAACATACCCGTGGGAATATTAATACAAATAGACAAAAAAACCAAAGATAGGCTTTTAATTAGGCTTATTATTCTTATTCTTCTAAAAGACAACTGTATTATAGATGTGCAGAAGTACCGGCAGTGTTTCTTTGGGTGTAGTTTAGACGTTTTGAGGCAGATATTCAAAGAAATCAACTGCAAAAACGCAAAGAAAATTCGCATGAAGGTTGAAGAAAATCAAAACCCCAACTTGGTATTTGTTCTAACTTTAGATGACCTGTCAAAATAAATCTAATGGCTCTGCACACAGAAACAAAACAAAAAATGAATTTAATATGCAACATTTCGTTATACTTAACCAAAGAGTCTAATAAATCAAAAATATAGATTATCTACTTTAAGCAAATAATTATAACTGCTTTCTATACAATATAATTCTTCTAGAAAGTGAGATAGCTCAGCTGCCATGATATATTTGTATGCAATCCAGTGATATTATTGGCCATTGCAATGGATTGATTGGTTAAAGTATATATTAGGTTAGCAAATAACATTTATTGATGTGGGCTAGTCTCTATCATCCCAGTGGCCCGGTCTTTTTGGTGCACTGAGAGTGTCTTCGTTCTTTGTAATAAACATCTGAGAAACACTTAGAATATCTGATGAAAGAACTGCAACATACGAAAGCGCCCTCTCTTTGATGGCAGCCACGTCAAATATATCCTTTACACCATCTGCACTGCGGGAAGCCTCTGATACACTTTTTCTTCCAACAGTCTCTACAGCCTCTGCAAATATTTTGATTGCTATTTGGCGAACGTCTGTGTACTTCTCTGCCTCTGCGCTAAGGGCGGCCGCAATGTCTTTTTCACACTGCCCAGCACCCTTTAGAAGGCGAAGAGATCCTGTGCGCATAGACTCGTGTGCACATACTTGTAGTGCATAGACGGCCTTTGTGATTAATTTCTCGCTCTCCTCCAGCTGCGCAGGAAGAGTTCCTCTTAGAAGAAGGGTATCAATCTGACCTTCACCAGTGACCTTCGTATACTTTCTCTCTCCGTATGTATGCATGCCAAGAGATGTGCAAACTCCAAGATACTGCTCCTCCATAGGACGAAGAATATTTGCCATTCTTCCTCCAAAGAGCATGCAGAGCCTTCTTAAATCAAATTTGCTGTGTACTTTTAAGACCGCCACTTTCTTCTCATTCAAGTAGTCTAGCATTAGCCCGTCTATCGACCCGCTGCACACAATCATACCTACCCCATTTGATACTAATTTGTCTACAAACTCCCTGGTAGTTTTCTCATCGTCTTGTGCGTATGTCAGAAGATCCTCTGCATTTTTTAGCAAAACAGTCCCTTTGGTTTCCATATTGCTGATTGCTAAAGGACACGTGTATATTGCAGTCTTAATATTTTCACCGCTCACTACCACTCCAACCGGCGAGCTTTCCAAAAGCATGCCCTTGAACCGCTCTGAGTCTTCAACAGATCCCACATTTACCTTTGTGACCCGAATACTATCTACAGGAAAAGACCCATTCTTTGATATCTCAGAGATAGACTCCCCGAGCAGCTCAGATATTTTTTTGTTCTTTACTATCCCACTTGATACTTTTCTAAGAATCTCAGCATTGTCCAGACTAAACTCCTCTGTCTCAGAGACACTTTTTATAATCTCCTCTATCTGGTCACCGCATGATCTAAGCGCGCTTGCAAGCTCCGTTGGGAGTATTCCCTTCTCTATAAAAAGAGCACACTTCCGCAGCACCTCTCCCAAAACACACATTAAGAATCCAGTGCAGTCTCCCATCTGCGCCAAATGTGCAACGGGCTCAATGATCATTCTGAGCGCAGGATGCTCTACATCACACCCAGAAAGAATCGTTGCTACAGATCGGCTTATGATTATCTTCTTCTGTGAATTCACAACTAATTTGTACATACCATCCACACCGTATGAAGTCTTTACAATGTCGCACAGACTAACTATTCCTTCTATGTTCTTTAACACACAGGCAATCCCTGCACTCTCCGCAGTATTTGCCCGCATAAGTCTATTTCCTCCAAAAGCAGCTCCACTCATTTGTCCCGAAATAAAAATTAAATTATTTTCCCTTTCCCTTATAACAGAACGGCTTCACTAGCCCCACAAGCACAAAAACCAGTTCTAAAGAAAAATAACTAAAAATTTAACTATTTAGTCTAAAATTACACTAGAACATTAATTACAGTTATATTACCACTCTGCGAATATTACACCATGTGCTAAAATATATTTATCTCATTAGTTGCTCAATAGAAATTATAGACTACGCACCGCATCATATAACCCGAAATACTATACAATTATGGTATTACATTGTCCTTAGCTGCCTGCCTGTACTCAAGCAGATTTCTCGGGCTATATCCTTAATAACCGTATATAGACTGTATACGGCTGTGCAGCAGATTAAGGCATTTATAATTTGTAGTCTAGGCGTACATTCATTTTATTTAAGCGTTAGTATAAATATGTTAGCACCCCATAAATAGTTATTAACGCACCCGTAAATACTTCTTCTAATTATTTAATATCCAGAAGTAATCTTCTTTAAGTTAACTTCCTGCAAAATAAAGTTGTCTGTTTGATAGGCATTCATGTATTTTATGCACTCTCTACACATTTACTATATCGTTTAGTTTTATACTTCTTTTAATGTGTGCATAATTCATAGTACAGTATAAAAAATATAAGAACCAGTTCGTACTGTGTATTGGTTAATAGCTAGTCGTATATTATAAAGCACAGCAGAAAGTTATTTCATGGTATTTTATCTTTTACATCTATCTTTATAGTATGAGTGTGCTCGTATGCCATCTAGGCTCTAAAGATTCCTTTTACCCTGGGCTATTATTCAGGTGTGCCTGTTAGAGTACTTTAAATATAAAAAGACTTATTAAGCAGTTTGGCAATTAGCTGAATGCGACATATTGCATTTTTAATGACCGGCAGTTTGCCGGGATTATAAAACAGCTAATTATTTTATGTTTTTTCTATTTTAGGATTTCCCGCGCTTAATTTTTCCTTAAACATTTAATTAAAAAAATAACTTGGGCCCTGAAACACAAATAGTAGGCTGAATTCACACTGAATCATGTACCAATATGGCAAATTTTATTATAAATATGGACATTTCCATATTTAGATGTTATAGTTCTTAATTAGGAATAAAAGATATTTCCATATTAAATATAGAAAGTATATATAGAAGTAGTGAAACTAGAAAAAACAAGAATGACACCAAACATGATAATAAGACAAAGACCAGTTAAATTTATAGATTTCACAGAAGAAATAAGAAAAAGCTTTGAGGAGAAGAAGACACCAAAAAAGCCCAGAGTTAAGTTAGATCTTTGGCAGATCAGCACGTTAGAAAGGGCCTTTGAGGACGACTCACACCCATCACAAAAAGCAAAGACAAGACTCTCTGTTAGCTTGGGCATAACTATAAAGAGTGTTCAAATCTGGTTCCAGAACAGAAGAGCAAAAGAGAAGGCAAAGAAGGACGTGAGCGAGACAGAAAGTGAAAGCAATCACGAGTCTATTGAATGCGAAGTATCTGCTACACCTAAGACATACTTCCACAGCATAAAGAAAGCTAGCACAGAAGAAAAGACAAGCACTGGCCCTAAGCCAAGCCAAATGCCTTCATTGTTTGACTCTTCTGAATTTACTGAACTATCAATGAAATACGATGCGTCCTTTGTTGATGACTCAATTTCTCTATCTATTGACCAGACCCAGAATTCCGTCTACTCAGAGTATGATTCCTTTTTGAGCTCATTTAGCACGCCAATTATATGCATGTCATTGGATAAACCAGAGAAAGCAGAAGATACAGAAGCAGCACAAAACAAAATTGCTAAAGGGGCATGCCACAACTACACACAGGCAGCTCTCTTCAATTCAGCATCACAGCGCAAGTGTCAACTAACAAATGGGCATGTAGAATATGAAGTAGATTTAGAAAGAGTGAATTTCTTCAGTGAGTTGCATCATCAAATGAGCAATAATACCATGTAGAATATATAGCAAACCCACCATTCCAATATTATACAGCACTGTTCTAGAATAGGACTATAAATAAAGTATTTAAAAGTCATAAAATAGATGTTTTTATTCCTTCTCTTCTTTCTAGTATTGTATATCGTATACCTTGGAGAGTTTTTCTATAAAAAGCAAGCCATATTGTAAAGTATATACAAAAATATTCAAGTAGGGTCGTATGTTGCTTAAATATATACTTTTTACAGAAAACAGCCATGTATACTTCATATTTTGTATTATCCGAGCCAGGAATGCGCTCTTATATGCGGATAGTACTAAAAAGAAAGAAATGTATGCTGTCTCTGTACATTACGCAAACCTCTGAAAATGTAAAATAAAACAGCTAAAATATCTTGATACGGTTTGAATTACATATATCTTGATATAGAAATTGAGTAAATTCATATAAAACATGCTAATATCACATATCTATTTACCAAAATAATTTGTGTTGAATACTGAATTTTTTTAAGTAGTATATATGAAAGTGACCGTACTTGGTGCTGGGCAGGACATAGGAAGATCCTGCGTTGTAGTGACTATACAGAATAGAACAATTATGTTTGACTGCGGTATGCATATGGGCCACTCAGACTATAGACGATTCCCAGACTTTAAATTGCTTGGGCCGGGCCCATACACCGGTGTTATTGACTGTGTGATCATAACGCACTTCCACATGGACCACTGCGGAGGCCTTCCATACTTCACTGAGCGATGCAAGTACTCAGGACCCATTTATATGACACCACCAACAAAGGCTGTCTTGCCTATCATTCTTCAGGACTACTGCAAGGTTTATAACGAAAGAGATGATGTGGGCAAGTTTCAGCACCCTACATACAACGAAGAAAACATCAAGAACTGTATGAAGAAGATTATACCTATATCAATTGAGGAGACTGTGGAAATCGAAAAGGACTTTACCATAACCCCATACTATGCAGGGCACGTGCTAGGCGCAGCAATGTATCATGTAAAGGTAGGAGATGAGTCTGTGGTGTACACAGGAGACTACAACATGACGCCAGACAGACACTTAGATGGCGCGTGGATGCCTAAAGTATACCCATCGGTTTTGATAACTGAAAGCACGTACGCTCTTCTGGTGCGAGACTGTAGAAGGGAGAAAGAGCGAGACTTCATAGAATCTGTGGTACAGTGCGTCAAGAATGGAGGAAAGGTTCTTATTCCAGTTTTTGCTCTAGGCAGGGCGCATGAGCTGTGCCTGCTTCTGGATACACACTGGGAAAAGACTAAGCTGGATATTCCAATATACACATCTGCCACCCTAACGCATAAGGCCAACGATATATATAAGCAGTTTATAGACTACACACACGAACATATCAGAAGCACATTGCACAAGAGAAATTTGTTTGACTTCCGGCACGTGAAGCAGTTTGATTCAAACCTTGCAAGCTTGGAAGGCCCAATGATTCTGTTCTCTTCGCCTGGTATGCTGCACTCTGGGCCAAGTCTGTCAATATTTAAGAAATGGTGTGGTGACCCGAATAACATGGTTATATTCCCTGGGTACTGCGTGCGAGGAACAATTGGTGAAAGAGTCCTAAACGGGGCCTCACAGATAGAAGTGGGAGGAATCGTCTATCCTGTGCGAATGAAAGTAAAGAACATGCCGTTCAGTGCGCACGCAGATCAGAAGGGTATTCTTGCTCTTGTTCAGCAGTGTGAGCCAGACAATGTCATTCTAGTACATGGCGATATTATGAGAATGAAAAGAATGAAGAACATTCTGGAAACAACACTGGGTGTTCCTACACTTCATCCGCCAATTGGAGCAACAATAAACATTGAGCGGCCAAAGCACACCACAGCAAGCATTAACAATGAGACCCTCACATATCTTAAGGAAAACAAAGGGAAAACCATAGATGGTCTTATTAAAGGTTCCTTTATTGAAGATAACGGAAGAACACAGCTGGTCATTTCATCTTGTAATAATAATGTTGTATACGATGAAAAATAGCCTAGTTTATACACTACCACAGAAAAAGTCTAAATTATCTGCCATAAACAAACTATGTGGTTTATATTTTTGGGGTATGCTTTCTTTAGTAAGAGACAGGCAAGAATGCACAATGCCAATGCATTTAAGTATATAATCATCTGCTAATTACTTTAAACTCAATTTGGGTTACTATATAATGATTCTTTATCTAACCCGAAATATTTTGGAATTTCTGCATTTCACTTTTATTTTAACTATAGAAAGAATAACAGCCTGCATACAACAAATACTATATTCAACAAAAACTACTGTGTACTAGTAAATATTTCATGCAAACCCCATCTAGTAGCAGCCTAGTAACATATAAGATGTCACATTTCTACAGAATGTATTGAAGCTATGACATGTTTTAGTGCGATAGTTTGTATGCATGCATCAAATACATGTTTTAATAAAATGTAATTTTCCATCCGCCATACTTTCCCATTCCGTATTATAATTGGCATACATGTACTCTTTCTTGCATGAATGCATTCAGAATATGCTTATAATTTCAGCTTTGTTGTATTTCTAAGGCTTTTCTGTCTTTTTTTTGTTTATAGAACATTCCTGTATTGTATTAGTGCAGTAGTTTTTGTTTGATGCATGTATTAGGAATGAAACACTATGGTTTTATTTGAAAGAATAAAACTCGAGCATACTACTTTGATATGGGAAGCAATGACAAAGAAGAAAACACACAAGGAGACTCTACACCACCACAGGCGGAAGCTCCAGAAGAAATACTTACGGAAACAAACATGAGCTTAGATAAGAAAAAAGAAGAAGAGGAGTTCAACTGGTTTGAAGAAACAGCAGACTTTGGATTTGATGATATCGATGATCTTCCTAAGCACAAAAGCATTACAAAAAAAATTAACAAACTAATTTTACCCGCTGGTGCTGCTTTGATTGTAACGTGTTTCTTTGGGATATTTGTGCTTAACTTTATTCCAGTTAGACTGCGTGAATTCTATGGATACTCATTCAAACACATCCTTATCCTTACCTCTATTCTCACGTTTTTCCTTATTCTTACTAAGTTAATTATACACGGATTGTATATTCTTATTAGAGACAATATAACTGACAACCGCATCATGCACAACAAAAGACTAAAGGTAGAGCTGACCTTTGGTGCATGGTTCTTTGAAATGATTCCTCTTGGGATTTATCTTAATAACTATATTCCCTGGGCACAGAAAATTCTCGATAAAATGTTTTTGTGCGGGTTTCTTTCTGTTCTTGCATTTATTGGAAAAGGTATTCTGATGGAGCTCTTTAGAGAGCGGTTTCTTGCTAAAAGCCTTAAAAAGAAAGCAAAGGACATTGAAGTGAAGAATCGGATCGTTAATGCAATGCGGGAGTACTGCTACGAAGAGCACACAGAAGAAATACAGCAGCCCCTTAGCACATGCTTTTTTGTAAGCTGCATGACCGGGGAGGATGAAGAGCTTGTAGACTCAACAGGCATGGAGTTTGTTCGCGGGGACATTGACAGAGTGGTTGGTGACATATTCACTGCATCCATCTTTGATAAAAATCAGCTCACTCAGCATGAGCTGCTTGCACTGGCCAGAGATGTTTTTATGAAGTGCTCCAAGAATCAGGATTATATTACATTTGATGATTTCTGTGAAATATTTCCAACCTCGCAGGCCGCAATTCAAGCATTTTTATACTTTGATGTAGGCGAGAGCAAGACTATTTCTAAAAAAGGAATTCGTGACACGCTTGGTATGTTCTACTATGACCGAAAGAATCTTCAAACGAGCTTTGACAGTTTAAACAACTTCGTGCATGTTTTGGACAACTTGGCAACTGTTGTAACAATTGTTCCCCTCATTATTATATATCTTATTGTGCTGGGATTCCCTATTAAACAGCTTCTCGCCTTTTCTTTGAGCAGTGCTTTGATTCTAAACTTCTTTGTGAGTGGTGTTGCCAAAGACTTCTGCCTGAACGCGTCTTTTGTTATTACACATCCATACGACATAGGGGATGATGTGATCATTAATGGAAAAGACTATGTAATCTACCGGACAAGCCTGTACAAAACAGAAGTACTTGCCATTGATGGAGGGAAAATCTCTTTCCTTAATAAAGCGCTTGCCGATAAAAGCATCATAAACATGACGCGTGCGCCGCATAAGCTAATGCACATCTCTTTTAATCTTAAGCCCGAAATATCAAAGAGCAAGTTCAAAGTTATAAAAAAGCACATTCTGCACTACCTCCGGGCAAAAAATGAAATTTTCTACGAAACGTTTACAATCCAGTCACAGTCAGAAGCAGTATGCAAAGTGCAAGGCCATGCATGTGTGCTTGTTACACGATACAGGTCTATATCTAGCAAAATGGCCAAGCTAGAACAGAAAATAGAACTCGTTCGGTATGTAAAGGAGCTTTTAAAAGAACTTAAAGTTGATGGCGGCCCAGACAAAAAGAAGAAGTAATTATGCGGCATCCCACCACTCTATCGCGACAATAAATAAAATATAAACAGCTTTATAACTGTCTAATAAATGAAGTTAAATTTTAAAATGTGTCAGAATCTTACCACTCATCAATACTCAGACTGGGGCGGCTTTTATCGTCATTCACAAGTTACAAGGGTTATGAAAAATATTTTAATTTATACTTTTAGTCTTCCAGAATATTTATGCTTAATTTTAAATAAAGACTGTTCATGGTGCTTATGCAGTGTAGAAAGCTCTTCAAATATAAATTTAAAGTCTGCAATATGAACACATTGTGTAGAATTGCAACAATATAGTATTTTATGTAAAGTAAAGTATTAAATTTATTCTTCTGTCTTTGTGCATACTCTTTAGACCTCTACTTCGTTTCCTAGAATAGTTATTTCTTCAGTCCCTGCCTCAGTCACAATCATCATGCGCACGCATCCACCAGAGGAGTTATCTCTGTACATTGCATGAGAAACCATCTTTTTAACAAACTCTACTGCTTCTTCCTTTGTCATTTCCTCTTTGAATGTACTGTCCCCTAGCCCAGATATATACGCAGACCCGGACCCTGCAATTGACCAGTTCTGCTCTATCAGCGCACCACCCAGCGGAATAGTAAAGACATGCCCGCCAGTCTCATCTACACCCGCTACAATAAATCCTGCTGTAACTCCCTGGTCAGTTGCGTCCCATACAATCTTCTTTATGGCCACAGCCACATCCTTTACAAGTGGCTTCTGCCCATGGCAGTATATTCCCGTGTTCATAATTCTCTTTGCATAGTCTGCTATTGCCTGCGTGTCTGCTGCTGACCCGCACCGGCATGTATATACATTATCTATAAGCTTTGTGATCTTCCTGGTGACTCGGTTTGAGACATACGTCCCCATCGATGTTCTGCTGTCTGCCCCCAATATCACGCCGTCTTTATACTTTACTGCAATAATTGTCGTTCCTAGGCTTGCAGCCTTCTCTGTGTGCGTGCTTCCCTGGAAATCTACTCTTAGCATTCTGTAAATAAAAACAGAGAAATATAATATGAGCATTGTATACATACCAGCACTAACAAGAAATAGTCTGACCACATTTGAGGAGACTCTTCCCTCTCCTTTATATGCAAGAGTGTCAGAGAATGAATGGAAAGAAATAACTGTCTGTTTGAACCAATATCTTTTCAAAAGAAGAGACAAACTTCTGTTCAAAGTACTGGCTCCTGTTTTAATTGGAAATATTTTAAGAAGTATAACGAATGCGTATGTAGACAAGCAGGTGCAGAAGTATTTAGCCAAAAAGAACCTTATTCTAAGCCACCGCGGAATACACATTCACCACCCAAAAGACAGGCAATATTCTGGAATTGATGTGTCTATCTACAGCAGTGCCTCATTCCCTATTAATATACAATAATAAAGTTTTATTTTGCAAATAATGTATGCTAGTGAACAGGAATTACAGCCGTATTCATTTGCAGATTCTCCGGATAAAGTGCACGCGCAGGCATATGTAATGGGAACTACTGTGTTGGCCTTAAAGTACAAGAATGGAATTATGCTTGCATCTGACACCCAGCTGTCATACGGATCACTTGCTAAGTACAAGAACATTGAAAGAGTTGGGGTTGTCTCCAAGAACATACTCCTGGGCACCTCTGGAGAGTACAGCAACTTCCAAGAGATGATTAAACGCCTCCGCATCCAAATTAACCCGCCCGGCGACAAAGAGGTTTTCCTAGGGCCCCGCGAGTGTTTTAATATGGTGAGAAACTACATGTACGAAAAAAGATGCAAGGGAAGGCCAGAGATGAACACCCACATCATTGCGGGGATAGAAGAAACCGCCCCTCCAACCCTGCTTCCCTATGAAACTGACCCATCAGGAAAGTTCTTAGGAGTTGTTGACCATCTTGGCAACTTCTACTTTGATAGTGTTGTTGGCACTGGAATAGGAGCACATCTAGCAATCCCCATCCTACGGGATAGAGTAGGCACCAATACAGAACTGCCAGAAGAAGAAGCACACAAAATTCTCTGCGACGCCATGGCGACCCTATGCTACAGAGACTGTAGAGCCACCAATATGATACAGATTTCTAAGATCACTAAGGATAAAATTACAATATCAAGGCCATTTGCGCTTAATACTTCCTGGGATATTGCCAATATGATATAAGAAATAAATTCTCTTCTGTTTAATTTCTATCAAACACGGATATTGAAGACATATTTAACTTTTTCTTTTATTCTTTACTGTACTAAAGATCGATTTACTTTCTTTTTAAACTCCTTCTATAAAAATTCACTGCAATAATAATTCTGTGCTTGAGTTATCCAGAAATGCCTTAAACACTTATTACAAATTAACTAAAAGGAAATGTTCGCTGTTATTGCTACAATCCAAATGGATTTGTTGTACTTTTTTGGCAAAATAGGTGTATATTACTAGAATTAAATATCAGACAGCAGTACTTGATGAAAAGAGGAAACGCTTCTGTTTGCATAAAATTGGTTGGTCCTTTATAGTAGGATACCATTATGTTATGTCAAATGCCTAAGCATCCTGAATAGCCTGAAATAACGCAAAAAGATTAAATAAAAAAATTAGCATACCCTAAAAGAATAATGGTCAATAGTAGAATAAGTAGCAGCGGGTACTGCTCTATGCTAGAACAAGAAGCACCGAACGAAAGCAGTTTTTCTTCTATGAAGATTTATAATTTTATAGACCGGTGCATTACCAATATAACAGCTCAGAAGACCAGGTGTTTAGAGGGAAAATACATTAAAACTAAGTTAGAAAATGAAAAAATACGAAATAGGCTTAATAAAATAAAGAATAAGATAACACACCTTGCAGAAAGTGAAAATCGGCATAAAAATAGTCTTGTTGGTATAGAAGGCAAATACTACACGCATTTATATACTTTACTTCCAGAGTTTCTAAGAATTTATCCATCACCGAGTATAGAAGAGCCTATTCAAGAATATATATTGAACATAGTAAGAAGAATACTTGAGGAGTACATAGAATCAAAAGACTTTACAAATGATTCAGAAATGTATGTAAAATACATCCTAGACAGCACAGATGCGACCGATGAATTCAATCGCTTATATTACATAATACATGATTTTCTTCTAACTAATGAAATAGACAGCTTTATGGAAAGATTTAATACATGGTATTCGTACATGCTTGAATATAACTTAATGAATCATCCTAGGTATATTAAATATGTCAGCCAAATATTAAATGAAAGAGCCTTTTTAAATGATACATCATTCGCCTCGTTAAAAGTAGACTTGAATGCATTTATGACTAGGCTAAATTTAGAAAACCCATTATTGTATAATGAAGTGCATCTGCAAAATCCAGATACTCTGTTTAATTTAAATGGAAATGGGGAGTCTGTCATAGATACTGCTATAGAAACAGTCATGAAGTACAGATACATTCTTAGAACATACTTTGAAAACTCAAAGTATAACAAATCGCATAGACTAACAAATGAAGAAATTAAGAACATAGCTATTGTAGCTGATTACCTCACTGCAATTAGATCGTGCATAAAAGATGTTCACACAAATATTGACCCAAATTATTTATTTATTGATGCACAGTATTTAACCCAAAAGAAAATTTACAGTTCCTTTGTGGTGGAAGAACCCACCAATCCAAGATCAATTCTATACTCAGCATGCGTGGACAACAACGAACTGATGAATTATGTTATGGATGCCTCTATTTTAGAAAAGACCAAGTATGTTGAAAGACGCGGAGATAATTTGGAAAGACTTATGTTTAAATTGAATATTAGCTCAATAGATGAAAACGAATGTTTTAGGAACTCCGAATGCTCACCCAGCCGCGCCTATTCTAGATGCCCGAATAGAAGGATTATATCATGCACTATGGCAGAAAAATTATGCATTTTATCGATTATTTTACTAATAGTGTTGCTAGTATTAGTGTCTTTTTTTGGTATAAGAAAGGTTATTGCTTAATGCTAGCACTTTCTATTCTAATTTTGAACTGGTTGGTACTGTAGCGGTTTGACACATTATTTAACTTAAGAATATTCTACCGGGATTAGATAAAATAAAATTGGATTCTTCCAATGGTTATGCTAAATTTCTATTTAATAATCAAATAAAAGAGCACAAATAGTCTCAACAAACTTATTTCTCTTAAAATTATAGAATTATTTCAGGTTATATAATTAATATGCTTTCTTTATATATAGAAAACATACTAGTATACCACATTTCATATTAATACTAGCGTAAAAAGAATGTGGGCCTGTGATATATATCTTAATTTAAATTTCAGATCGATAGTAAAGTGTTTGTGCATATACTGCATTAATTATTGTGTATGTTTCTGTGTAATGTATGTGAAATAATAATTTTATAGTACTTCTTCTGTGTTAAATATTTTCAGATAGTTCTTAGTTATTTTTTCTATATGGTATTTTATAGCACTTACGCCTGTATTTATTTTATAATACTGTACATATAATGTGAAGACTTTTACATAAAATAAAATAAAGAAATAAATAAAATACAAAAACAGTAAAAACATAAAGAAGCTGTTAAATAACAAAACACCAGCACAGAGACAACTTAAATCATGTACAACAATAAACACATGACAAACTCACGGCAAAAACAACTGAATACAAACACACAATAAATATTATTGTCACTAAGCACTGTATACATAGCACAGAAACTAAATACCAGTAGAATAATTATCTTCAGTATTATTATTCAAAAAAAGTTCTCAAGAAAAATAGATAAGTTATAAGACACATTTGGTGCACCTGGTCTGAACTGAACTTGCTTGCATAAAAATCCTGCAATTATATAGGCATGCTATTCATAGGGGCAGATGACTGGTTTATATGTAAAATATTTTTAAAATCATTGTTTATTGTATATTTAGAAGTGCTATTTGTTTGTAAGGACCCATAATATTTATTTTCTGATCGCAAAATGATGAAATGCTCATTATAAATAAGTATAGAAACACGCACGATAAGATAAATGACAAGTAGCATAGAAGATAAGACAAGAATTTTTCCAAATAAGCTTTCTGGTGTTCGTAGAGCAATATACGCTTCAAACATATTAGCATGCATCAATGTGGTTCTATTCACATACTTAGGTATAAACCAGGGGATGTCATATATTAAAGCAGGATATAGTACAGAAAATATTAATATATACATAGCACTAGCAATTGCTATGATAATGGGTATTGCAGGAGAATATACAGTTATTAAAGAACAAGTTAAAAAAAACATTTATTATATAGAAAATCCGTTCAATATTTTTGTATGGGATAACTCTGGTTTTTTTGAGATTATAATGGGAGCTATGTCTACTTCATTGGCAACAGTTCTTATTTACGCATTCTACAATCAAAAGGCATTCTTACAGGGTGCTTCTGGGCTATGCATAATAATGGCAACAGCAACTTGTATGTATAATGCGTATCTGTACCATATGATACGTAAGAACTTTGTGCATCAATATAACTATGTTCTTAATATATATCTGAACAACTTGCTTCTACTAGGAGGGGTATCCCTTCTCTTCTTTTCTATTTCCTTTCTATTTAATATTTTACTATTTACAAATGGGATACTGCACGTAACAATAACCAGTAACTGAACTATACCCATAAAAACATCATAAATTAAATATTCAGTTGGAAATATACACAAAAACAATTAATTAAGATAGAATAAATTCTATTCAGAAACTATTGATAAAGCCTGGGAAGTAAGCGGAGCAAATAATTATGGGGGGAGTTTATCTTTTAAATAAAGTAGCTATTTATTGTATTAAGTCTATTCAACAGATTTTATGCTGTCAAAGTAACTACAAATTACATATTTATGATTAAAAATAATTGGTGCAATGCGAACCTTAAGCGCAATCGTGTTTTATGAGTCACTCAGAATAAAACACTTTCAATGATACAGAACTTTGCTTCGAATCCAGAAAAAACCCCAGATGCATCGAATGGCTCTGATAGTGTGCGACCAGAAAAGCGCACAAGCGACTCTTTTAAAGTAGGGGATGAGTCAAAGCCGTTCCATATGGCAGAAAAGTCAGACAAAGAGAAGTATATTCAGATAAGCAAAGAGTTTGAGGGAAAGTCCGTGCTTGAAAAGCCAATGGAGTACATTATGCGCCTTTTTGTAAGTAGATGGTTTGAAATACTAGTAGACATTTCTATTTTTTGTTTTGTTCTTATACCAGAAAATTATGAATTCTTTCACATACTGTATGAAAGGTATTTATATAATAAAGAAAGGGAAAAGGACTATAATGTCCACTCCTGGAAAGAGGTATTTGATTTACTCTGCCCAGTTATTGAAGGAATTGTCTGCTTCATACATACAGTTGTGTTTGTGTGCGAGGCATTTATAGGGATGGAAATTCCTCATGGTCTATTCATTTCTATATGCTCATCCCACATAACATGCATTCTGATACTAATACACGTTGAGCTTATAGACCGGCATAAAACAGAAAGCATCGACATGATCATTACATACAGCATAGAGTGCTTGGTTGTTCTACTGTCAATTGCCATCAACATTGCATACTTACAAACCGGCGAGAAGTACCAGTCACTAATTCTTATGTCGATTATTTTGACGCAGTATGTTTGCAGAACACTCACTAGGCTGGTCATGGCCTCGCACAATAAGTTTAGAAGAACATTCAACCATACTAAAACAAGAATTTTGCTGTTCTTGGGATTTTGCGTGCTGTGTATTCTTTTTGGATTAAGCCATATATACATTGCTGAAATTTCTTAACTTTTAATGGGTGGAAATTCAAAGGACCACAGCGAGCCAGCGCTAGAGAAAGAAATATCAAAAATGCACATAAACTCAGAGAAAGACGAAGATACATCTAGTGATTCTGATTTTGTGCCGGTTGGATTTGATTATGACGGGTTTAATACGATGGCAGCAGGTATACACCATTTAGAAAAGCCAGAGAACACAGAAAAAGCACAGGTGGACACGCTTTCTTATGAGATGCTATTAGCAAGGATAGAGAAGTATTTAAAACCATCAGACACAGAAATAGAAAGTAAGATAAAAATACCTATTTCCATTAGAAGAGATGGGGCCACAAAAACCTCTATCAACATAACTGAAATTTGCAGGGTGATTAATAGAGAAGTAGCACACCTCAGGCAGTTCATAGAGGTAGAGCTGTCAGTAAACTGTTCAATAGATGGAGAGGAGAGGCTTGTAATTAAGGGAATATTCCCAGAGGCACAGTTACAGAAAATAGTCAGGAATTACATTAAGCAGTACGTCTCATGCGGTATATGCGGATCACTAGAGACTGTTTTAGAAAAAGAAGATAAGCTTCTGTTTAAAAAGTGCATTACATGCAATGCCACACAGTCAGTCAATGCAATACAGCAGGGGTATAAGGCGCTTACAACTAAAAGATCGGTCTTAAGAAGAAAAGCAGCAGAATAAATAGTCTCATTCTTTTTTTTATTTATGGATTGGTCTGATTACTTCAACACGTACATGAAGATGCCTGGCATAATAAGGCAGGCCGCATTAATATATGAATCATCAGTTATTGCAAATGAATCAACGGATACCTTCCTTGACAAGCGCGCAATAAGGCGGCTCTGGCAGAAGAAAAAGCCAAAGGATTCTGTAATAATTGGAGGGGCAAAGTATCTTTACATCAGAGACATTGTAGATGAGCAGGATGGATACTCGATCAGTCTGTACCAAAAGGTAAAAGATGACTCGGATGACCCAGAAGAGGCCAATGTAATGTTTGTTAGTTGTATGGATAATCTTCTGTGGGTAGGTACATTCAATAACAACCAGAAAACACAGGTTATTTCCTTTATGGAGCCAATTTCATCGCATATATTCGCACACATTGTGCAGAATGAAGAGTAGTATGCCGAAAATACTGTAGGCATACATTGCATAAGAGCGGCATGCCTTGAAATACTTCAAAGGAAAGAGAAAAACAAACACATCCTCTAATAATAACAATACTCCTTTCATAATTACATAGGAATATAAAATATCTGAGTAAGTGTGCTAAAAGTGAAATAACTCGAAATTCTGTGTAAATATGCAGTAGGGCAGAATCACAGCGTATAGTAAGAAAAATCAATAATATACTAAATATTTATGATTGATATACAGTTTTTATTGTATTACTTACTATACACACTATGGCTCATTATTACATGAGCAAGTAAATCTTATGCTACAAAGAAATAAAAGGGTTTTGATTTATTTTTAGTTATTTATACTGCATACTAGTTGTTTTCTGTGTATTTAAGCACATGCAGTATAGATGACGAGTGTATAAATTTTATTACTGGTATGTAGTGCTTCAGACATTGTCTATTTAATATAACCCTGCATAGAAGTGAACTGCATGAATCATTACTGTAATTATTATACAAATGGACAAAGGCGTGTACTAATTGGTTAGAAAAGCCGCCCCTATAACAAGAATGAAATTGAGTCTATTAGCAATAGAGGGAACTAATATGGCTATAGCGAAGTATGGAGACTATTGCAGGGTATAAATACAAAAGAAAATTTGCAGAAAATGGAAAACATTCATGGAATAGTGCAGTTAATTTTAAACGAAGAAGTGTCTGGAGCAGAGATAGAAATGGCACTTAGCACCATAAAAAAAGAAGAGTATACCATTCCAGAGCTACTTCTTCAAGACTATCTAAGAATAAAGAACAGAGAACTGCGGCTGGAGAGCATAGGATATACAAGTAAAAAAGAAGAAATATCCCGGATAATAGAGGAGTGCACAGAGTATCTTACTGCCATGATAGAGCTAAACAAGAACAAAGAGATAGCTCTTTCAGATAGAATAGCCACTTTAATAGAAAAAACTGTTTCCTCTCATTATATAATAGGAAGAGAGGAGAAGATCTATCTAGCGCAAGAGAAAGAGAAGATAAAGAGCGCGCTGAATTATCAGCCAAGCATCAACACTGCACTGGTCTACATATGTGTGCTAATACTAAGTAGAATTGAAATGATAAAAATAGAAAAGAGTATTTTAGACCTTCCACAAGACACGCTGGATGGTACATCCCAGAGCAGTACGACAAGGCCGATTTCTGTGCATAAAGTAACCAATCCAAACCACTCAATAAGAATAACAGGCCAAACTACCACGGAAGACATACAAAATATGCTAAGAAGAGACAATTCGTATACAATGACAATAGAGCAGTATGGAGAAAGAATGATGAAAATGATGGAAGAACAAGGAATATCACTAAAACCATCCACTTTATCCATGGACGAGCCACAAGACACCGACATACTCACTGATCTAGACACCGTTATAATTAGCGATGCAGATAAAGAAATAGAAAGAAAAAATAAAGAAAAGGATGAGTCTATCTACGGAGATGGAAATAGAATTGGAAGAAAATAGCTCAAAGTTAGTTTAAATTAACCTAAAAAATCGCATATGTTTTAATCATACCAGATAACAACTCCTCAGTAATATAACCCGAATTTCAAATATGCAAATTCTACACGTATATTTAATAAATAAAATGTAAATCCAGTAGCAGTCTGATTCATACTCTAGTTTAATGCAGCGCAATTTTATGCATGCCTGCAGATTACCCGAAAATAAAAAATACATATACAAATGTGTATGATAATATTAATAACAGAAAAAAATAGCATATAAATACATTCTAATAAAGCTTTCTCTGTTTTAATGAACTTACAATAATCTTTACCAGTGAAATCAAGTAAATAAAAAGGTTAATTTATAGGTACTATAATTATATTTCATGCACAATTTATTATACTGTATGACTATCGTATAAAGAAATATAGAATCAGGAACAATATTATAAGAATAGAAGCATAAAATACATACTGCATAACAACTGCTTCTACATGCATTTTCCTACTCTTCTTTCTAAACTTTTCTGAAATATTTTGTAGCTTATGACCAAGCATTTCTAACTGCTCTATTTTGTGCCCTCTTTGTAAGACATTTGTATAATTCTGGATGCATACCTCTTTGGTTTCTTTCAAGGTTTCTAAGGTTTCTTCCATCCCCCTGTCTTTGCTATATTTCTTGCTTTCTTCTTTTATCACGTCCTCAAATCGTATGTAAGACAAATCACTTGGTACGTCCAGCCCATAAGTCTTTTCAAATAAGTCCTTGAGCCTCTCAAAAAACAAAGAAATAGAGGTTTTAGAAAGGCCCACTTCCACTGCGCTAAGAATAGTTATACTCTTAAACTGCTTGAAGTATATAATTATCCCCTCCTCGGCAGACTGCGTGCTGCAGAATTGTGTTTCATTTGGGAACTTTCCTGGTATGCTAGACATGTCATCCAATACTTTAGTGTGTGTGCTTTCAAAGTATCTGGACAATGGGCACTCTGCTGACACAATTATTCGGTTGTCAGATGGTCTTACTATTTGAGTAAATAAAATAGCCATATACGATAATTAATGAAAAAATATATTTATACTAAGAATTTCAATAATATAAGATAAGACCTTGAAATAACCAGAAACTAGAAAACCCCAGAAATTATTTAAATAATGCCGCTGAATAGTTGAAAGAGGGATCTTTTTGTGCACACCTAAGATTTCTAAACTACATAAACTCATAAATATGCATATAAGAAATACCCGAAATTAATAATCTAAAAGTATAATATAATTTATTCACTACTGGTTTAAACCCCTACATAATGTTTATTCGGGTTATACTTCATGTATATGTCTATTTAATTTAAGATTTTTGGGGATGCGCCTTGCAGTATATCTGTGTGTCTTTAGATATATTTCAGTTATTTCTTGTCATACTGGCATATACTCAGAAAAGTGCATACTTAATGGATGTTTTCGGGTATCAGCCAGTTTTGTTTATGCATGTTTCTGTGAAATATCCTACCTTTTTTTGTATAAACATGGCTTTAGCGGTATTATAGGCAGATTCTTGACCTTTTTTGTTATTTTTTTAAAGTTAAAGAAACAGAAAAAATTACTTTCCAAATCCTTATTTAGAAGACTGAATCCATGCATGGTTACCGGCCGCACAAACTGTTCTATCTTGTTTAATCTACTTCGGACCTCAACTATCTTTAAAAGACCACCCGGTTTTAATACTCGGTACGCCTCTTTAATATATTCACTTGCATTGTTTCCCATAATTGAAAGACAGAAAACCACAATATCTACGGTCTCATTCTCTAAAGGGAGGTTTCTTATGTCGGCCTGTGTTATAAACTCGTCATTTTCTGGCTTGACTAAATCAAAGGAATGCACCTCCCTCTCCTGGAACCTTTTTGCAATCTGTGCTTCCCCGCACCCCATGTCAGCAATTACGTGCGTTGCATCTGCATTCATAAGTTGCTTTATTACTTTATCCACTGGGTTAAATGGCCATCTCGCCACCTGCTCTTTGTACCCCTCGTGATACTTTTTAAATAGCTCCGGGCTTATGTCTTTCTCCTTCTTTCTATACATCACCTCATTTAGCACTCTAAACTTTGCTCCCTTCAAACTAGACTCTAATTTCTCCAATAGTTTATTTGGATTATTCGTTGCCATAAAAAATTTTACCAGCAATTGCATATAACCCAAAATCCTCTGGCATATAACTTAGTGTTTTAAAAATAATAAGAGCTTGAAATTTATTATAATATTCCGAGGGAACTAAACATGCACTGCTGGTCATGTCTTTCTTTTTATATGAAATTCTCTTCGCTTTATTAATAATGCACCTGCATCCCTAAATTCTAAAATATTTATAACTATGTGATCGCATAGTACTGTGCACAGTTAGTCTAGCTCATCCATTAGCCCAGTTCTACTCCGGTATACAAAGGTTTTCTTTGGCTTTTCTGTTTGCTTGATTACATTCAAAAACTCTTCATCCGTTATTTGGTATATACGCTGCGTTGTGTATATTTTGTATAGCAATTCTTCTATCTTGTAGTACCTCTCTAGGTCCACTGCCTTGATATTTAAGAGCCTAGTCAGAGATTCTTTGCTAAGCATGTTTCTGACGATCTGTTCTGTTACATTTTCTTTCTGCTGTCTTTCTTCCCCGGTAGTCATTAGAAAAAAATCCATTTCATTTTTATGGATAGAAATTATGCAGAAGGAAGCGGCAGTGCACACGCTGGATACACTCCAGAAAGGATTCCAGATTTGGATAAGAACTTAAGAATATATTTAAAGAAAGAAATAAGAAACTACACAGATGTTAATCCAGAGGAAATAATCTCTAAAATAGAAGCTATGGCACATGAAAATATTCCAAATGTAAAAGAGCATTTAGCAAGCACATTACAGCCAATTCTTCAGGACAGAACGCAGATGTTTGTGAACAGGCTGTTTGGGTATCAGAAGAGAATGTGTCGTGACAACGGCCACTGCCGAAGGCCTGGCTGCTACTTCAAGCACTCGCCTGTAGGCCTTCCCATGATGGAAATTGATGAACGGCCTGCTCTATCTGCCAGAGAGGAAAGATTTATGGGAGCAAACAAGGGAGCCATAGAAAAACAGAGAAGACTTATTGATATACTCAGTAGGAGGACAGATCTGCCAAGCGATGTACACTCTGTTATTGAGCAGCTAAGAAGGCTAATATACAGAGGCCGCCCAATGCCTGCACAGCAGCAAGACACTTCTACCCGGTTTATTATTAACAACCGCCAGGACTGGATGACCACTGAGCACTTGCACACATATCCTGGCGTAGTGAGTGTTACAGAAAATGGAATAATTGAATGTGCCACCAGACAAGATGCCGAAAGAGTGTTTAATATGATCTATAAAATAGATAAAAACAGCCATCCAACTTGGATAGAATAAACCAAACGTATTTGTCTATCTTGCTTAGTTTAATTTAGATAAGAAATATTTGCAAAATAAATGAAGGATTCAATTGGTGTAAAGAGAGTAATGGCCAAGGCAATTATTCCCATGTTTTTGTGGTTTTGTGTTCTATTATACAACCAAATGCCAGGATATAGAGTGCATGTTATTGATAAACCAAGCCAGGCAGTGCATGCACCTGTTGTTGTATACTCACAAAGGAACATACAGGAGATAAAGAAGGAATGCATCTGCTGGATGGGATGTCTATGCATCCAGGAACATGTGAATAAAATACTAGAAGCAAGTGCCGTGCGCGGTTCATTTGTAGATGTTCTTGTGCACTCTCCTGGCGACCTTAAGTTTATTTTAGAGCATAAAATTACACGCTCTCCGCGTGTATTTCCAGATGGGATAAGTCCTAGATCGAACGGCAGTTCAACGTATGCATTATACACGCTGGCAGAGCACATTAATATGTTCCAGTACTTCGCAGATGGTTTAATGTATTCACTGTTTGAGTTTTGCACTAAATTTTCTAAGGAGAGAAAAAGCACTTATATCCAAGGACTAATTGTATTGTTATACGTTCTGGCCACAAGCAGGAGAATGTGCTGCTTTTCTGCACAGAATAAGAAAAGAACGCCGGAAAAGGAGCTGGAAATACATTAAGAAAACTACTAGCATATATTTTTAGTGAATAAAGAAGATCTATTGATAGTTTTATTTAATAAATGCATAAATATGCTCCTTTATATAGAGAACGCCCATAAATAGCCTAGAAAGGGTTTGTGAAGTATAATTTATTAGAAAAGTATTTTTCAGGTTATATAAAATTTACATGTGTGTATCTTGTATATTTGCGCATATCCAATGCACTGTAAGTTTTATTTATATCTGGAGATATAATTGGTTTGTTTTCTGTGCTTTTATTGCTCAATTGTGCCAGAGTATACAATTCTAACCAATCTAATTAAATTTCCCGTTACTTTTGATTATTGTTGTGGTTTTCTTTCGGGAATGTTTAAGATGGTGAGCATATTTGGATATTATTTATAGTAGTTAAATATTATTTCTAATAAAAGAAATATACACTAAAATTCAATTTGGATGTACGCTATTTAAATTTTAAAGAAAATATTCTGAAATTATTACAAAACATTTAAACAAAACTACAATAGTTACATGTTGATAATGTGAGCAAATTGGGCATAAAAACAAGATTTCATAAATTGAAAAACTATAAGTTGTTTGAACAATTCTACTGTAGTATCTGGGCTATTACAGTTTGGTGGGTAATATATAATCTAGTCGGCATTTAAAGGATATAGTAAATATTATATTTGAAGGTAAGTCTAATTTCGGTAGTTCTTTTATTGAATGCATTGTGCAGGGTTTAAAATATTTCCTTAAAATATAGAAATCCTAAATTATATAAATCCAGATAAGTATGTTTGTATCTAAGTTGATGTGATTTTCGGGTATGCTTAAAAAGTATGAAGAGTTTCTTATATGCACAGAAAAATACATCACATAAACAAATCTTTGTTCATTATTTTACACCAATCAAATTATATGCACTGAATGGTGCAAATTACATACTAGACTATAATTGGTACATTTCACATAACCCCCTTATATAATATAGAAACAGATCACCCCCTTAAACGCATGGACACATCAGTAAGCACATCAAAATCGGTTAGAGTATTTTCCAAGAGCAAAACATCTTTGGAAAAACGACAAAACAGGCTTAAAAGGCCAGAATCATCAGAATACATACGCGAGCTATCCAGATACATAAAAGAACTATCACATCTAGAGAATAAAATACAGAAGAGAAGTATTTTACTGCACCATGGGTATAGCGAACTAAACAAAATAACATCATCTAAAGACCCAAGCAATCTACAGAAAGCGCTAAGGACAAAGCTAACACTCTTAATTGAAAGAAAGAACCGGCTGCTTGAAGAAATATTTTCAGTATCTGGCCATTTAACCGCACAGAAGAAAGAGCTTGAAAAAAGAAAAAACTCAGAATCATCAGGAAGAAGCTCATCCAGATCTTTGCCCAGCTCATCAGTTAGCCTAGGAAGCATCCAAGCTAGCTTGAATGAGAAAGTTCTGCACCATTACTTCAGATATAACAAAACACTTTCTGAAATAGAAGAACTAGCGAGTGAATCACTCATTAGCAAAGAAGACAGAAGAATAATCTACTCAATTTTCTTTCCAACACACTCAGATGACAGCTATCCATTTGCCACGCACTGCCTTCGAAAGGTGTTTGGATCGCGCGTATCCACTGCAACAAGCTTTATGAAAGAAATATATAGAAAGAGCTCATCGCATGATATACATATGTCAAGCAAATCAGATGCATTTGAAATTGTATCTTGCTATGTGCACTTCTTAAGACACCATTCTCTCATTTCATCCAGTTTTATATTTGGATCAGTATGTACTATATGCTTTATTCTGTGGAAGAGTATTGAAATATTACTGAGTGAATTTAGCAGTTCAGTGAGTATAATGGGAACGGCAATTTTATTTGTGGTTCTGTTTGGATGGTCAACCTTTGGTATACTGTCTATTTTCTTTTCCTGGACATTTGGTCACTCCCACAGCGAGTTGCATATGTCTTCATCATCTAGCAGTAGTAGTAGCAGTAGTAGCTCAAGCAAAAATGATAGCAGCAATCTTTCATCTAGTATTAGCAGCGGCTCTAACAGCCTAAGCACTAGCAAGAGTAGCTCAAGCAGCAGCCAGCAAAACAGTAGCGAACATTCTTCAAATAAGAGTGGCAGCAGCTCTAACAGCAGCAAAAGTACAAATGCTAGCAGCGACAACTTTTCTAGCTTTTTCAATAGTCTGTTTGGAAGTAGCAGCAATAGTGGAAGTAGCGGAAGTAGCAATAGCTATTCATCTTCTGTCCCACTTAGCCTATCAAGTAACAGCAGCAGTGGCTTAAGTGGCAGCAACAGCTTAAGTGGCAGCAACAGCAACAGTAGTAACGGTATAAGTGAAAGTAGCAGCAGAAGTAGCAGTAACAATAGCAGCAGCAGCAGAAATCTGTCTTCTTCTGTTTCTTCTAAATCTAGCAGCCTGCCTTCTGAGCCAGTGCTATCTATAAGCAGAAGTATCAGTGACTCGCCTTCCATCAGTGAGCTATTGAATTCATCAAGCAAGAGCGCATCAAGCAGTAGCTCTAGCTCGCGCCCCAGCCAGTCAGTAGGTAGTTCGTCAAGTGCTAATCTATCTGTTAGCAGTGGATCGTCTGCTTCCTCAAGTATAAGTAGCAGCAAAAATAGTAGCGAATCAGTTATATTAGGCAGTGATTTTCTAAAACTCTTCCCTCTATTTGTGGCCAATCTTTCCACATCATTGATTTTGTGTATGGCATCAATTGGCTCTATAGACTACCTTCTTTCCTCGTACCTTCCATCATATTCTAGACATATTTTCTTACTTATATGCCTTTCTTCTTCACTTCTATCAATCTATGTGACAGGAAGAAGGTCTCTTTCTATAGTTAAACTATCTTCAAAAGGGTCTTTTATCTCAGTATTCTCTCTGTCTGTTCTGACAGTTTCTATGGTCCTTGGGATAAGTATAGTATCATCAGTGACCATTGGGGTATTAGATCTTTTTACTCAAATACGTAAATAAATAAGAATTTATGCAACTGTTCAATTACAATACAATACCATTTAAGATATCCAAACAAATAATCCAGCTTTGTCATAATCTAAAACAATATCCTGAAATATCTGAAATAGCACCAGATGTCTGCTTTAAATACAGCACAAACGCAAACACTTTCACTATTTAATAAAGTATGCAGCCTCTATTCCAGAAAAGTAAATCCAATATCCCGAAATTACAGCATAAATTTATTCTGTGTCAAAATTGAGTAAAAGTATTTTTATTCATGGAGCAATTTGTAGTAGATGATCTTCTAATTAAGCTAATGGCGAAAAGAAAGGAAGTTATGCACAATTTATACTCGGAGTACAGCCAGAAGATAGAAGTATTTCTGTCTAATAATTTAGAAGTGCATGGTATAAGTATAAATGCATACTTAGAAAGCATAGACAGAAAGAACAAAGAGCTGCAGGAAAAGAAAGAGAGAGAATTACAAGAAATAAGGGAGAAGAAAGAGCGAGAAGAAAGAGAAAGGAAAGAGCGAGAAGAAAGAGAAAGGAAAGAGCAAGAGGAAAAAGAAAAAATGAAGAAAGCGCTACAAGAAAAGAAGGAGAAAGATATGGGGAAAAAAAGAAAGAATGATAAGAGCACAGACGCATCTAGTAAGAGAAGAAGGTCAATGATAGTTACATTTGACGATATGTCATTCTCATTCGGAAAGGATGAGCTAGAGCAGTTATCTGGGCAGGATAAGTCGGTTGATCCTGAAGTAAAGAATATTCTTGTAAAAATGAATGACTTATTCAAGCAGCTTGGAAAAACAAAGAAGTAAATAAATACAAAATATTATACAAGTTTAAAACCTATCTATAGCTAAATTGTGTCATGTGAATTTATTAGTTAGATACCTAACTGGCATCTTGAAGAGCAAAGAATCTTTTTTACCATGACCTTTCTCCCATCGAAAGATGTCTGGGGTTTAAGAGCAACCCGAGGCTCGTATGCAAACCATTTATTGCATATGTCACACACCTTTCCATTTTTAGCAAATACGCACTCTTTATGCGGCCACACTCCAGGACCAGGTATTGTATATACACTGCACAACTGATTAAGTGTGGGGCAGGACTGAGGAATAATCATTTGTTCTTTTTCATATGGATTTCCTGTTGCACGGAGTGTTGCAAGTGCTGGGAATAGTGTAAATAACTTGTACGGTATATGCTTAAGCAGGTTGTCGCTCAAATCTATGATTTCCAGCGGATACGAAGTGCATGGATATACATTCACGTCTAGCTCTTCAAGTAAATTGTTCTTTACATTAAGATATCTTAGTTTTTTTAACGAAAATATCATTGGTGGAATTTTCTTCAGCTTGTTATTGCTAAAGTCTAGCTTTTCCACTTTTTCTAATTTGCATACCCAAGAACCAAGCTCCTCCAAACGATTTCTATATACAGGGAGTATGGTCAGTCTCTTTAGTGCACCCAGATCAGGAAGACGCGTAAGTGAATTGTTGCCCAATCCTAACTCTTGCAGAAGGTACAGCTTGCCCATTTCTGTGGGGAGTTCTTTTATTTTGTTATTACTTAGATTAAGCCACACCAATCTGGACAGCTTACATATTTCCTTGGGCACAGTCACAATGTCATTGTTGCTCAAATCTATCTTAGTAAGATTTTTTAATAATGCAATCTGTGGAGGAATTGCCTGTAGTTTGTTACTGAAAAACCCAAACTTACACAATGAAGTCATTCCAAACACACACTCAGGAATCTTTTCAAATCGATTCTCACTAAGCCCAAGCCCAGCCACATTCTTCAGATTTGCAAGAGTATTCGGCAGGTCTCGAAGTCTGTTTCGAGTCAGGTCTACCCAGGTTAAATTAGTTATTTCCCCCATCTCCTCTGCAACCGTCTCTATCCAGTTGTCATTCATTGCAAGCCGTGTAAGACTTGTCATCTGCCGAATTTCGCTGGGAATACTTCTTATCCGGTTATTGGACACAATCAACCAATTTAACGTGGGTGATGTAAATACCTCCTCTGGTATCTTCTGCAGACCCTTTTTCCCTATGTCCAGCGATAGTACCTTCTGCTCTGATTGTGTTTTGTTAATATAGCTTACTTTGCCTCCCATTTTTTGTATATCCCTGGGCCTTCTTAAATATCTAGATAAAACCTAGTTTCATTGCTATGGAGATAAGGCCAGGCATAATAAATATACAAAAAACAAAAATATAAGAAATATTTTATTTATTGGTCATGAATGCTGTACAGTTTTATCGTCAGAATTCACACTTTGCTATCAAAAATATCAGGATATTTGTGCATTTCTTGTATTGTATTAGAAAAAAGATCTTCATTGATGGGGACTTTAAATGAACTGTGGCCAATGACTTGAATTGAATCATTTGATACATCTCCGAATATTAGAACTTTTTCTCCCTCATAGTCTGATAAATTATGCTTTAATGAAACGTCTTCATCTGTAAATACCAGAGGCACTTTTATCCCATCTTTTCCCTGGAGAAGCAGGTCTTCTTCTTCAACTATAACTTCTCCCAGAACAATTACTTCGCCGGTTTTACTTAGCACATCCTTTGTCAGCTCAGAGTACATCTGAAATAAAAAAGTATAACAATAAAAGAGCAATGAATAAAAAGCAATAATAGCAACAGTATTTATACAGAAGAATTGGCAGAGAGTAAGAAATTAGTAGAAGCTAGAAATACTGTATATTAATATATCTAATAATAATAAAGTGTTAAGTAATAAGAGAATAATAAGAAAGAAATGTATTGTTCACTAAATTATGTAGTATAAATCTCGGGGTATTGCTGCGCATATATAAACATTTTATAAGAGCATCTTTAATAGGCCAGCCATGATTCTTTTTATTGGATTTGGCAATGCGGTTATGCACCAATTTTTGTCGTTCTGGATCATAATCACTGTTTATGCCGTGTACGTTGTTTAGTGCTATGCGGCTGCAAAATATCAGTTATTTAGCTTTGGGCTTGAAAACAGTGAGTAAATTAGAACTGAATCGGTCATCATCCAGAAGAAGTAGCGTGGCTGCCCATCCTCCCCTTAGCCGCAATTCTTCACAAAATCCAGATGGCAGTTCATTTGAGTACTGCGCTGAGTTTATGTTTAGCTTGCTTGTTTCCCTAACTAGCATAGCAGACACATCTTCTGACAGTATGTATAGCTCTGTCTGCCGGACGGTGTCTTCAATGGCCACCCGCTTCAAATTCATGAAGAAAGAGAAGAAGTCCTGCGCCAGAGGGATATTGGCACGGAATAGTGAGAAAACAACCTCAACCGTTCTAGTGTGTGTATATTCTATGGATAGCCAGCAAAGTAAAGAGAGCACGCTTAAAATTCCTTTACTGTTTAGCGACAGGGATGTTTGCTGACAGATTAGCACTGAAATAACAGAGAATAACAACCGAATCTCTGTGTCTGGATGCGATCTAATTCCTATAGCTAGCCGCTGCTTAAAGAAAAGAGAATTCTCAAAGTATGTGTGGGCAGAGTACGGCTGGGACAATAGATACTTAAAAACGGTCCTTTCTAATATAGCAGATCTAATGCAGCACTCTAGCAGGTCCATCTGCACCATTAATAGTATTTTTGTGTTGCACTCATTCAGCTTTCTTTCCTGTTGCTGGATATCTATGCTTACCTCTGATCCAGCCAGAAGCGACCTGTCCTCAACTCTGGATAGATCAATTGAGAAGTCGCCTCCTTCGGTGGTGCACATTTGCTTTATCTCTAGGTACTCTCTCGGGGTTCCGTGCTCTGCGTACTCCTCTAGTGTACCCCACCCAAGCCCTGTATTGTATTGTGCCACTGTAATAATACGCGCAATTCTGCAAAACAAATCAATGCCCACAGCTTTTGTCAGGCTCTTTAGAAAAACAAGCAGCTCTTTTGGAATAAGTCCTTTGGGATACTTCTCGCACAACATAACCACTAAGCAAGGAGGAGATCTCTCCTCCACAACCGCTTTTGCATCTGTGTCGCCTATTGAAAGAGATATTCTTATAAGATCAATCGTTTTCTTATGGGCATCGCATGGATCTTTATCATAGGATAGAGTAATGCCCAGAAGATTCAGCGCAGCTGCGCACCCTATCAAAGTCTCGATGTCTTCTGGCTGTTTTACTACAGCCTGGTATATTTCCAGAAGTATTGCCTGTGGTATTCTGTCCTCCACCTTTAATGCATCGCTTGTTAGTCTTTTGAAAAATCCTTTTACCATATCTAGCTGCACTGCGTGGTCTTGTATAAATATGGACAGCAGGGTGCTTACAAGTATTCCATCTGTTTCCTTTTTCCGGCAGACAAAGCACGGTACTTCCGACGATGCAAGCATGTCTCTGTGCATCTCACCTGCATATGTTTTGGCAAGTATGCCAAGTGCCTCTTTTCTTACCTCTACGCTTATGTCTCGGGTCCTTTCTATAATATCCTCCATTAGCTCAGGCAAGTGCGTAATTATGTCTTCTTGGTCAGCAGCACGAAGCATATCCTGCCGCACAGATGCAGATGCATCCTGCAGCCTCTTCTTCCATGCAGAAATTCCGCTAATCCGTATGCTTCTGGCTATAGCTGTGGTGTAAAATGGGCTCTGGGCCTTTTTGTATAATATAACCGGTATTTCGCACCGCACCCAAGCAGATCTGTCTTCCTCCAGTGTCTCCAGATACTTTATCACCTCATGCCGCACCGAAGCCTCCCTTACAAATTTAAGAAATTCCTTTTTCTCCTGGCTTGTTTCTATCGCCTTCTCAATTAGTTCTACCGTAATCACCTCTTTATTCAAGGAGTTGAATCTTTTTATCAGCTCTGTTTTTGACCGCTTTGAGGAGAGAATCAGTTCATTTACTGCGGGCATAAACAATAACGGATAGTTACTGATAAAAACACCCAGCGTGGAAGACCCTTCTGCAACTCTCTTTACTATTTTTGCTTTTATCTCTTTTCCTAGATCCTCCTCCTTCTCTTCTACAATAGACTGAAGCATGTCCCCAGACCATGCATGAGAAATATTTAAAAGCGCCAGCTCTGCCAGCGCATTAACTATCTTTACATCAGAAACAAGAGTGACCATCCTGTACGATGCAATTATCTCCAATGCCTTTTTCTCCTCTGGGCGCCGTGGCCCTCGCTGTATTAACTGCTTAAAAAGATCCCTCAGCATCTCGGGAGTAAACGGATTGTATGGAGCAGCTATTCGCAGTGTCTCCACCATGGAGTAGAGCAGATGCGGGGGTTTCCTTATTTTTTCTTGCCTTAACTTGCCAGATATTTTGGCTGCAAGGTAGTCTATGTTATTCTCCGCAGCTTCCTGTTTTATTTCACACAGCACAGCATACATTTCCTTTGGCGGAAGCTCAGCAGCTGCCAGTATTTGGTTTTCTACAGACATGGGAGAAAATTCTTGAAAAAATAAGTACGGTAAAAAAGTGCGCTAACCGGGAATCGAACCCGGGTCTTAACCTTGGAAGGGTTGCGTTCTACCATTATACCATTAGCGCCCACAAGTATCATTAGAAGGCTCTTTACGCGCCATGCGCCCTATTTATTGTGAGTCTGGTAATACATTTTTTTATGCCAAGACAAGCGCCCAAAGCCAACATTAAACCAGCAAACATGTTTGACGACAGAGTTGTCAGACTAACAAAGACAGTCAAGCCGCAGAGCATGCCAAAGCCTGTTTCTGGCGTCTCCTCTTCTATTCTCTACAATGAAGATACTGGCGTACTGAAAGTTCTTAAGTTCCAAAAGGGATTTGGTAAAGCAGTAAGAATGGCCAGAGAGGGAAAAAAACTTTCGCAAAAGGACCTTGCCACAAAAATAAGCAAGCCAGTCCAAACAATTGCAGCAATTGAAAAAGATGATGCAATATTTGATAAACTCATTTTTCAAAGACTAGAAAAGGCCCTAGAGACAAAGTTTGATGCAATGTTCTCTGTTGGTAAATAAAAATCAAAATATGAATTTTTGGTTGTTTTGCGCTATTATTTTCTGTATTAATTTTGTAATTTGCAATAAATGGGCTTAAACATATAAAAATAGTCATAAATAAAAATAAAAAGCTCAGAGAGCCCGATGCCTATAGTTAACCATTTATTAAATTTATAGGCATCCACATAAATTGAAATATAGATGAGCATAAGACAGAGAAAGGAATTCTCTAATAAAAAGCATCATATTTAGTGTTTATCTGAAATAACCCGAAAACCGAAATTATGCCGTCTATATTAATTAGTGCCAATCTGTTGATTATATGCTCTTAATACTCTTAAATTAGACTTTTTTTGAAATTGCTTAGTTGGCAAAATAGACGGCCTTTGATTGATTAGTTCTCTGGCAAGGTTATTCCAAGATTTTCAAGTATTGCGCACGGCTTCATATTTGATCCTTCTGCCATTTCTGCAAGAATAGACTTGAAGTACTTCTTCACCTTCTTCTTTAGAGCTATTGTATCTTCAAGCGCTTTTTCTAGTTTCTTTTTTTCTTTTGGATCTATAGTTCCTGTATTTGCTGCATACTTCTTTATCTGGGCCTTCTTTTCACTAAGCTCTTTTCCCACACTTTCTAGCTCATCTAATAAATCACAGTCTGCTGGATACATTTGCAACTCCTTTTTCTCTTGCCGCAGCTGACTTACCTCTTCTTCCAGCACCTTCTTTTCCTCTATAAGATTCGCCATCTTTGCATCTAGCTCGGTAGTGTCGGTGTCATTATCTTCTTTGGTGTGAATGGGGAGAAACACAGAAGTTATACCTGCTTTCTTCTCTCTTATTAGGTTCTGTTCTGTTAGGTACAGAAGAATCTTCTTTACAGCGGATTGTCCTACAGCATATGGCCCTGTTTGAAAGTTTAGACCCACTTCTATTGCATTCAGTGGCTCATTTCTCTCTATTATAAATTTGAGGATCTCCTCCTGAATCTTTGTTGTGTCTGCACTGTCCTTTACTTTTTTTTCAACTTTCTTTTTCTCAGCTTCCTTTCTCATTGCTGGTGCGGTAGTGGTAGTTGCTTTTTCTGCAGATTTTCTCTTTCTGCGCGATCTATTTGTGCTCTCTTCTTCTTGCTCCTCTGGAATCAAGTCTTCCTGGTCTTCTTCCAAAAGCTCCTTCTTCTCATTGCCCTCATTGGCATCTGATGAGTAGTTATCTGCCTGATTATGCTTTAGAGTACTGCTTGGCTCATCTGAGCTTAAAACTATTTCATTGTTGTTCTCTTCTTCAGAGCTAAGCACTATTTCTCTGTCCACCATATAATCACTTGGGGATGTGTTTTCACTATGGATTTCTTCTGCATTTACATTTCTTCCTCTTCTTTTTGGGCTGTTTCTGCTCGATTCCTGGTTTGCAGCCTGCCTTTTTCCTCGTGCCGATGGTCTTCCTGCCATAGAAATATTTTAGTCAGAAAATTTTCGGGTTATATTCTTCTGGATTCTTTTAAATACTACTCTCTGTGTTTAATTATGCTTAGCCGAATTCTGAAATATATATTTTAATTTTCTCTATGCATAATATAGTATGCTAAATACTCAAAATTCAAATAGCGTGCAGTATACTGCATATTCCATTGCCAATAAGGAAGCTTTAAAGTAAATCCGTATTTGCATTGTATATAAGCTATAGTAAAACTAGCAGCTAGCCTAAGCATATTTGTATTTATTCCTGTGTTGAAATAACCCGAAATGTTAGTGTTATTGTGCTGAATCGCATCTTTCATGTTATATTGGTATAAAATAACAGTGTTTTTAGATGTTCTCTATTTTAATGCTCTTTTTGCATAATACCCCAATAATTAAAGATCCTTAGTGCTTTATATATGTTCAAAGTATTTACAAAAATCACGGCTTCTGTTTATATTAGCTCTTTGTGTGTTTTATATTTTTCTATTTTCATTTTTACTATAAAAATAAACCCGTTCACTTTCTTTCAGAAAGATTTGTTTATGTATGGGTTTGTTTTATAATAAAAGTGAAAATAGAAAAAACACACAATTTAAAGACACACTGTTCTATCACATAAAGAAAAAATACATAGAAAACTTATTAACTGGATATAGAAGAGTACAGAACGTGCTTACTGTGGATAAAGATTGATGCAAGAGAAGAAAAAGAAAACTTGCTGTATAGCATTTATTATGCAAATTATTTCCGAATGTCCAGAATAATCGGGCGGGGGTCAGAGCTACAAACTAACAGACTATTGTTTGTCGGGGAGAATTTAATTTGGTAAATTGCTGCACCAATGTCAAACTCTTTAACTAGCTCATTTGACCGAATATCCCACAGTTTTGCCACAGGATCCAATCCACCCGATGCTAGAAGCGTTTGGTCTTTGGAGAAGTCCACAGTATAAATAGGCTTTTCGTGCCCAATCAGGAAATTCAGTGCCTCTGAGCGCTCTGGTGACCAGATCCCTATAGTAGCATCAAATGACCCGGATGCAAATATATTTTTTGCAACACTAACAGAGTAGACCTCTTGAGTGTGTCCGTTCAGTACATTCAGCGGCTCCTTTTTGTTAAACTGCCATATCTTCAATTTTGTGTCATCAGAACAGGAAATAATCCTTCCATCCATCTCTACAATCGAATTTATTTCTCCATCATGCCCAGATAGTTTGGTTACTTGGCCATCTGAAGGGTACTTGTTTATGCAGGAAAGAGTTCCATCTGCACTGCACGTAATTATACCGGGGTCCAGAGAAAGAATGTCCATGATTGCGCCCTTATGCAGTGGCCATGTCTTTACATCTACAAGTGAATTATTTTCTATTGTCCACTTCTTGCACAGCCCATCCCATCCTCCGGTTAGTAATTCGTCTCCTTTCAGCGATACAGCCACAATTGGCCCTCGGTGCCCATGCAGAGCCTTCCACTCCTTTTCATTCTTTGTCACAAATAGCTCTCCACTATGGGTTGCACCCACCACAGTAGTGGCCCGAGTAGAATCCCCAAAGGGCGAGTCTGACTCAATTGCCACTCCTGTTATTCCATGCGCATTGTTTTGGTTGATTCCTACCCTCCACTCCTTTTTTACATTTGGCAGATTCCATAGGCGCAGAAGACAGTTTTGACTGCCTGTCACCATTTCCCCATTTTCGGCCCATGCACAAAGACTTACATCACTCTCCTGGGAGTCCAGGTAAATAGGATGTATTTCTATTTCTTGCTCTATACACATGTGCGGCGTAGATATACTGTACTTTGACGTGCACTTCCGTATCCCCGTTGCCATATTTGAGTGTTTCTCAACATACTCCATTTCTACTCCCTTTATTACATAGTTCTTAAGCGCATCTCTTTGCAGCTGTGGGACAGATGGATTGTCTTCTATCATAGTTTCATGCCCAAATACATATGCCGAGTGAACGTATCCTTCTTCTATAAGATATCTGTATACTAGATAGTTCAGCTCTGTGCTTGTCAGTGTAATCATCCGAAAAAAATAGTAAGTCCTATGCTAAATATATTTCAATAATGAATACGTTAGAAGAGAACCAGTATATTCATAGGTAGTATTAACAAAATACCTGGCAAGGCCCCTACCACACATAAGATTGCTTAAATGTACAAATACAGCAATAGTCCGAATATTGCATGGCTAAGCACGAGAAGCAGCATAAATCAACATAAAAATAGAGCATGCCGGGAACGCTAAAGAACTAGCCTATTTAATGCGCAGACGCGAGAAAATAATTAACCCGCTTTAAATACGTACATAGTCTATGAAATACTTCTGTATTGCATATCGCTTAAAACGCCAATCTTAATATCATGAAGGCTAGCAAAATAACCCGAAAAACCTGACATAACCCGAAATTGCATAGTCTAATTAGTTTGTTTCCATATAAAGTATAAGTTTAGAATTATAAATTTTATTTGTTATGCGAGTAGGAGATATACTGAGTCTTGTGCCAATGTCAGATATAATATTTAGCAAGGAAGACATTGCCTACTACAATAAACTAGGCATGCGGCAGACAATTTTGCAGATGCTGCAAGCTTCTTATATGATTTGCAGTGCATACATGGTGTGGATGCTCGTGGCCGTCATATGTAATACAAAGTCCCCCATTGTGGTTGTTTTGAGTGAGAGTATGTATCCAGGGTTTGACAGAGGAGACATTCTTCTTTTAGCTAAAATGAGAAGTGAGTACTATGCAGGAGACATTTGTGTATTCCAGCTAGCAGAGGAAGATATTCCAATAGTCCACAGGGTAATAGACAAATTATATTCAAAAGCCCCAATTGCTGGATGTGAGGCAACCACTAAGAACCCGTTATCAAATCACTTCTATTACATGACGAAGGGAGATAACAACCGGTCTAACGACACCTTCTTATATAGAGAAAAAGGCCTCAGATATATAAATTCTAAACACATGGGAACAGTAGTGTATGCCTCTTTCCCTCTGTTGGGAATGGTGACCATATGGACAGGATATTGGAAGTGGCTAAAATATGTAATTATTGGAATTCTAGCAATTGATGTAGCATTCACAAGGGATAACACAATAAAAATAGCTAGACTGGATGAAAAAGAAGAGAAACAAGAAAGTGAGGAAGAAGAAGAGAAAAAGAAAAAAAAGAAAAGCAAGAATAAAGTATAAATATTTTTAGTATAGGTACTGATATTTACTTAGAATTAAAGATGCATTGTTTACGTTGTCTTTGCAGTATTATTCTTTGTAATACACCATTATATACACTAGCCTGACATGTAGAAAGGGCCTATAGTATATGTTTATTTATATCTAGCAAATAGTGTAATAAGTATATAATCCGAAAAATAAGCTTAGTATTGCCTGTGAACTAGTTGTAATTTATTAAAAATAAAATATTATTTATGTCTTACATTGCTTAATAAGACAATATATAACTCTAAATACAAAAGATAGACAGAATGCATCTAGAAGTATATAAAATATATTCATAAATAGAATATAAATGATCTTTTATTAATTTACTCTTCTAGGCACGGCAACATTTTATACATATATCTTATTATTTGCTTTATTTTAATTTCAGATTATATTTCAGATTATCATTAAAAATAATAAGAGCCCAGTGGGTTAAATATACTACAAAATGTAAACATCACTATACTACTATATAAGGCATAAACTTATTATTGATAAGGTATATCTACCCAAATGGATTCTTTCGAGTATTTTATTAAATAAAATGAGACCTTCTAAACTCTTCGGCAAAGAAGGGGAGCGGTCTCTCTGGAATTAGTACAGGGTCTGCTGGGTGCTTAACTATATTCTGATTCCACCCAACTGCAGTTAAAAACATGCTTTTCTCTTTTGTATAGCACACCGAAATATCTTTAACTGACTTAAAGGAATGCGTATCTCCAATAGAGTCAACTTCACACAGATTTCCTGTGCACTTGTTATGAATAATATCAAGAGAAAGCATTAAAATATCAGATTGCATGGCAAAGGGAATTCCGGTATAAGTAAATGTAATACCATCTGAAAAAGGTGTTTTTGTTTGGATTATTGCACTTAAAACAAAAGGCTCGCTGCTAGAAAGAGAAATAAAGAAGTTTCTAGCGCTAAATAACTGCCGGGGCGTAATAAGGATAGATCGCATAGGATACGCTGAACTGTGGCATATAAACCCAACCATCGGAACTAACGGGTCTGAAATACGAATTAGTGTAGAAAGTATGTCTTGGTTAATTGCAAAAGATGGAGTTTTATCTGCTTGATCTAACTGCTGTGTTTCTGTACCTTTCTGATTGTTTGCTGGGATAAACAGGCCATCTAGGCCACTTGCATCCTGGCAGGAAAATTTATATCTATTTCTCCAGTCTGTCATATTTTTCCACTCTTCTATATCATGAGGCTTAACAAACAGTTCTTTTATATCTATTCCAAAGGCAATGCTATCAAGAAAATTGTTCATTTGGTTAGAATCTGCTACTATTTTGCCAGAGATATTACTCTCATTTTTTATGCGCTCGCAAACTTCCATAGCTAGCTTGCTTTCTATAGAAGCCCATTCTTCACTGGGCAGGGTTTTGTAGAATAAATCAAGTGCCTCCATGCCAAAAAAAGACACATGCCGCACTATAAGAAATAGCCGGCGCATAAGAGAGTATGCTGGTGCAGATTTCCCCCAGTGTTTATAAGGATTGCCTATTTCCCACGGAATACTGGCTAACTCTATATTTATATTGCAGGGCATGCACATAGCATTTATATTAGACTTTGCTAGGAGTGTGCATGTTCTTGGTAGTGAGAATACATGGTGTATCTTATGTGCTGTGACTATTTGCCCAACCCACTGAGCAATAGTTGCAAATTTAGTATCTGCTGTGTATTTTCGCCTATATATCTCTCCTGTTAGTATGTTTATTCCCACGGCAGACTCATTGCTTATTTCCAACAGAAGTGTGCCGCGCGAGTATTTGAACATGTCTAAAGGAGCAAACACCTTTTTTTCCTCCACAGAATATCCCACTAGTCGAGATATCCTGGACTTTAGCAGATTCAAGCTGGGAAGATCTGGCAGGTGATGCAATAAAGATTTGTTCAAAAGAGTATCTATATGAGAAAGTGCCTTGTTTGTTATCCCAACTCGATATTCACATATTCTTAGATCAACCAAAACAACACACCCGTGTGCGCTGTGTGTGTACGAAGATGCAGATTCTTTCATTTCTTCAAGATACCTTTCACATTCGTCTGAAATATTATCTGTGTCAATATCACTCCACCGGAGTTTAAGAGCAATCCACCCATTAAATAGAGACAGATCTGGAATGTCAAATAATATAGATGGAAGAAGAGTTTCTGTGAGAGATGAGTTCAGATTCACTAAGCTGATTGATTGAACTCCATGCGTAAGAGTGGTAGTTTCCAATAACTGGGCTAGTTTCTGTGCTATTTCTAGGTGGATATTCTCCCACAGCCCATTAGAAAAAAGCTTTTCGTAACTAAGCCTAAGTGAAGAAAGCTTTCCATAAAGATCTATTCGCGTGCCCGAAATGCGCATTGGATGGCCTACTTGTACTTTGCACCGGTTGATAGTAGGGCTCCACCAAAGCATAAACATCTTATTAGGTAGCCTGGAGGCTTCGCTTAATCGTGCCTTTATTACTGTTTTTGGGGTGTCTATATTACATATTATACTTTTTGAAATGCTTGGATCTTTTGCAGTAGACTCGTACTGCTTTTGAGTGCCAGTCCACTTCTGTTCTACTAAAGGCAGAAGATTTCCTTGTGCTTTTGGATCTGTGCAGTCTGTATTTGTAAAGTGTATTGGAGAAGAGTCAATAGAGTATGCATTTGTGCGCAGAAGAAGGGAATTATATCTCTCCCACGGCACCCAATACCCATCGTGTATTTCAGTGGTCCATCTTTTGACTCCAGACAAATGATAGTTTCTAAGCCTCCACATAGCATCCGCTCTAAACCGGGCTGGCTTATGGAGAAATGTTGGCACCCTTGGTATTCCGCTTTGATTTATGTACACCCCCGCCTTCTCTAGTGAACTTATTACACAGCGCAAAGAGTCGGCTATCCTCTCAGAGGAGGCTTTACCCATCTCAGAAAGTATCTTGTTGTATACTGCGCTGGATAGAGCAATCTCATCTTTCCATGGAGCAGTTGCCTGCAATAAAACAAGAGAAGAAATCAGACTAAGCCCTCCAATTTCCTTTCCTGCATAGAACATAGTATTTGAAAATCTTTTTCTCATTCGGCTGTTCACCGTGGCCATAATTCTCTTCTTTATCTTTTCTTCATACCGCTGGATTATTCTCCAAAACTCCTTTGTAAGGGCTTCTCTAAAGAATAAAATGATCTGTACTATAAGGCGATTCCAGCGATCTGCTGCAATAGAAAAAGAGCTTCCTGTCATATCATAGTATATGTTTCGTGCTTTTAAATGAAAATGTTCCCGCAGTGCTTCTTTTGAGGATTGAAGATGTGCAGAGGTATGTGTTAGATTAATATAAAACTCGCCCACATTTAGAGAAACTGGGAAAGAATCTATTTTAACACTGTTAGTGATTTCTGCCAGCTTTCCTTGCTTTATTTGATCCTGGTTTCGCTCTTTTTTACCTATATTAAATAAAAGAATTGGCAATCTCTCTAGTCTTCCCTCAAGAAGAGAAAGCTCTCTAAGAAATTCAGAATTTCTATAATAGGAAGCATTGTTTGCACAGGGAACCAGAAGATCTACTAGCAAAGATAGTTCTGGCGTACTAAAATCAAAGAGCCTTTTAGTATGAAGAATATATGTGATATTTCCACATCTGAAATATTCCATAACAATATTGTTTTTAAGCTTACATAGAATTCTGTCAATTCTTTGCAGAATAAGCTCATTTACTGTGGAATAGAATTCTAGGCCACATGATATGCCAAGCCTTTGTGTTGCAGTAATATCCTTATAAGTAAGTGTAGAAGAGCACTTGGAAATAATATATTTGGTTAGAACACCATCGCATATATCACTAATACAGTTAGAAAGCGATATTCTGTCTATCTCTCTGGATGCATTTGTTAGATCAATAGATGAAAAATAGAGAGACTCTGCTCTTCCCAGTTTTTCCTCTAATTCGTGCTGCTTTTCTATTATTTCCCGCATACTCTCTGCGTATTTATACAAAGTAACAGGCAGCGGCTCAGTGTCTAAAGGAAGCGTTTTGTGCACCAGAAGATTGTTTTTGTGCAAGTGGTATGCCATAAGATGCTCTAAAAACGAGTCCGCCGTCTTTTCTTCAATTAAGTACATGTACGTAAGATCGCTCGCTGTGTACTTTATAACTATTGGAGCACTTTCTTTATGCTTTGTTAGTCTTTTAATGATACGAGCGAGTGTTTCTGGAAGTGAGTTCATAGATGTTTTGATGTACTCCATTTCTCTTTTTTCCTCCTGGCTTAAATGTCTTTTGTATGTGCTAAGAAGCCTGTTCAACGATAAAAACAGAATGTCCTGCATGATATCTGCTGAATATAGGCCAAGTGAAAGAAGATTAACACGCCCTGCTTCCTCGTTAGGAAATAGACAGGGAACAGAACTGCATTCTCCAGAGAATTCCTTTTCTAGCGCAAATTTCTGTGCTCTCTTGTTTAACATCATTGACATGCGAAGAACCCGGGCCCTTATCTTTTTTATCTCTTTCTTGTTGGACATTCTGCAGTTAACATACTTGTTCCATTCCTGCACTGTTTCTTTATACCAAACAATCCCCAGGCTTTCTATCTGTTTTATTAAAAGGTCCTGTATTTTATATACATCTTCACTTTTCAGTGATGAAAGACTTTTGCTCGTAATCTGTTCTTTTATATATTCTTCATGGCTTTCTTCTTTTTTCCAGCACTTCCAGGCATTTTTTAACGTGTTTTTGATTATCTGTAAATTTATCTTTTGTGGCTCTATTATTTTTAAAATGCTTTCAAATATTCCTTTTTTAAAACATATGTCCCTCGCTGATTTAATTCTTTGTTTGGTTACACTTTTTTTTCTTCTCTGCCTTCCTTCTCTCCTTCGCTGCACATACTCTGCTAGGCGCTGAGAGAGCAAAGGAGTACATCCTAGAAGAAAAAGCGCCCAAACCCGCCATGGCTCACACCACATTAAGTTGTACGGAGCTTTTGTTTTTTCTGTGCAGACATTTAACAATTTTGCCATCTTTGATGTTTCTGATATCTGTCTAATTGTAGAATACTTATACCTGTATATGGCGGTTGTTGTTCCAACGTGTGTGAATTCTTTGAAAAGCATTTTCATTGACTCTTCTTGCGAAATCTCTCCTTTCTTCTTTTTCTCTACTATGGCTACTATTCTTGCTAAAAATTTAAAGAGCTCCTGTATAACATGAAATGACTGTCCCAAGCGGCTTTTCTTTTTGTCTTTTGTGCTGAGCGTCCTTGATGCATCTAGTGTATATGCATCTGATACTTGTAAGTGCTTTAGTTTTCTTTCCTCAATTACATAACTTAGCATTCTCCTGCCTTGAGACAAATATAGCCTGGCAAACTTGGTCCACTCCATTACGCTTTTAAACTCTTTCTTTGGCGGTATATACCTAGAGTCTTTTTTATTTTGGGATTTTACTTCTGATTTATCTTGTATCACTCTCTTTTCTTGTTTTTTTATTTCTTTTTGCGCTTTAACTAGTAGAACATTGATGCTTTCTCTGGACATAGGTCTTCTTTTTGTTTCAGTATCTTCTTTAAATAGGTTATCATTTGCACTTTTCCTGTCTTTAAGCACTTTTCTTGCACTGTTGTACAAAATTGGGAACAAGCTTTCTTTGCTCCTCTTTTGTGATATTTTTATTATAGGATACTTCTTCCTTAGCTCTTTGTACTCTTTATTCGTATAATTTCTTGTTTTAACTGGATATGTAATGCGAAATGCGCACCCATGCAGAGTGTAAAGCCATTTGCACTTATAATTTATACTGTCTTCTGACTTCTTCCAGCTACAGTCCAATATTATTCCATCTGTTGTATATACACATGTAAGCGCTCTGTCACCCTCCCATGGCATGGGGATTGACTGGACCAAAGAAGAAATGATTTTAGAAGATGCAACTAGCCCATCAAACAAAGCGTTCTTATTTCTTCTTGGTGGATCTGTAAGCATTTTTTCTAAATATACGCTAGGTAATGGAATTACTCCCTGAATTATATCTTCTGCAGTACTCTCCATTCTAAAAATTTTAATATTCTTAACAATGTCATTTATTTTTAGCCTAGCCTATGTTAAGCATTCTTATAAAAATGTTTATTTTGCTGAAGCTCTATTTTGTACAATGTTCGTCAAGTTTATCTGAATTTGTGTGCAAACTGGCTATCAAAGACTGCCCAGTCATAGAATCTGGCTTTTCTATCTGCATAATGTCTAGTATGGTTGGTGCCACATCCTTTAGGGAATAATTATGGCTTGATTTAAAAACAAAGTCGTCTCCAGTGGTGACTAGAGTGTCTTGGAACAGGGTGTTTTGTATAACTATAAGTGGCACTCTGTTTCTGCTGTGTGATTTAACCACACCTTCTTTATTCTTCATTATTTCTGCATTTCCGTGATCAGCAGTTATTATTAGATTGTAATTATATTTTTTTGCTGCTGTATATATATTATGTATCTGTTCATCTACAGATTTTACTGCAGCCACAGTTGGCTCAACTAATCCAGTATGGCCTACCATATCACAGTTAGCAAAATTGGCTAGAATAAAGTCAATTCCTTCTGCCATACTATCCTGAATGGACTGTGACACCAAAGAAGCCTCCATTTCTGGCGCCAAATCAAATGTAGAAACCTTCTTACTGGGGTGAATAATTATTTGCTGATTTTTTCTGCTTTTGTCCTTTCCACCATCAAAGAAAAAGGTTACATGTGCTTGCTTTTCGCTCTCTGCAATTCTTACCTGCCGCATTCCTTTTTCTTCAATAATGTCCCCAAGAGCATCGCTTATAGAAGGCCGCTCAAACAATACTCTCGATGCATCTTGGTCGTTGTACAGCCTTGTCATTGTGTATGTTGCTGTGTATTGGCTGAATTTGCTGTATATTTGTCTAATCCTGTCTGCACGGAAATTTGTTATAATAACAGGAAACGTGCTTTCTATCCAACCAGCAAAACACACAGGCTCTATAAACTCATCTGACACTCCTTGCGAGTATGAGCTGGCAATGTGTGCTCTTATTCCTTCTATGCACTTTTCTCTATCTATATTTTCGGCACTACCATTCGTATTTGAAGTAGTTATTGCATTAAAGTATGCATCAGTTCGCTCATTTCTCTTGTCTCTGTCCATTGCATAGAATCTCCCCGAAACAGAAACTATCCAAACATTATCTGGAACGCTTTCTATAAATGCATCAAGATATTTTAGATACATCTCTGGCTGTGTGTCTCTTCCATCTGATACACTGTGAACGTATACTTTCTTACAATGCTTAGATGCAATTATAGCTATGTCTCGAATATTGTGCCAATGCCCATGTATCCCACCATCTGATAGAATGCCAAATATATAGACAGAGTCTATGTCACTAGGAAACAGCTTGGCAGCAATTGATGAAGAATCTCCTGCCAGTGTGTTTCTGATCCTTACACTGTCTTGAACTATCACTCGGCCTGATCCCAGTGTTAAATGCCCTACTTCTGAATTACCCATTTCATTATCTGATAAAAGACCAACATACGCACCATGCGCATACAATAGTGTACTGTAGTACGTGTTACAAAGGGATCGCATAGTTTTGGGGTTAGCCAGCAGCACCCCATCTATTATGTCTGGAGACTCGGCTTCGTTATACCCCCAGCCATCAAGCACTATTAGACAGCATTTGTTTTCCATTTAGAATATTTTAATTACTAATCGAATGAAAATATTTAAATAAGGCATGTTGATTATAAATCTAGCACCAATTGATCAATCAGGGCGTACTTTAGGAATTGCAAAGTATGTAAGCAAAAATCAGCGCGCAGTTAATATAGTATCATATCGAGGATATAGATCCCACTCTGAGTCACCAGAAAAGCTGTTAAATATTTCTTATGTTGAAAATATTATATGCAAAAACAAGCCATTTCTTCTTAAAGGGCTATTTCTTATGATCAAATATATTTACATAACAGCCATAAGTCTTATACACCTGTATAGATATAAAATGCATATATATGGCACCCAGCGGCGAGCTTCTATTAGAGAAGATATATTTTATAGCCCATGGGGCACTGTTATATTTGTTGCTCCTCCTACGCTGACTCTTGTAGTTCCTGTTCTATTTGCAAAGTTGCTTGGTATTCGGGCCATAGTAGATTGGCACAGAATAGCCACAGGGTGGATGGAAAAATTTGATATTTTAGTTGCTAGAAGAGTAGAGAACATTTGTGTCACACCTAGCATGCACAAATATTTTATAAATCATCGCATTGGGTCTCTGCATCTTTTGACAGACATAGAGATCCGGCAAAACATCTATAAAAAATCAGATGAAATGATCTTTCCAAAAAGTAAAACAAGAAGAGAACTATTTACATTTTTGGCTAAAAAATATCCTGAATATAAAGATGTTCTGTCTGGCATCAATATGTCTATGCGCATGGGGGTCTGCAGCACAAGCTGTTCGAAGGAAGAGAACATTGAAAAGCTGCTAAAAGAAGTAAGCCGCATATTAATTCCATCTGGTGGCATTTTGTTTGTAACAACAAAAGAAAAGATATCATTGGAAAAAAGCAGCGTCCAGATTGTCCATCTATTTCTGGACTACACGGACTATTTGGATCTTCTTTCAGTTGTTGATTTTGGCATATCTACGCATGAGTGTAGATTTGACTTTCCATTAAAAATAGTAGACTATTTGCAAAGCGGGCTAACAGTGCTGGCGCATGAAACAACTCCTACCTTGAAAGATCCATTGGAAGAATGCAGAATAATTCGATATAAAAACAATAACCATATGAGAGAATGCATATCCAAACTATTTTCAGATGAAAGTTCTTAAAATGCTCTAATATTGGCATAACACAGAGTCTCTAAAATAAAATATCTAAGAATGCCAACTCAATGAATATGTTAGTTATAGAAGAAATCTCTCCAGAATCTGTCCGGCGTTAGTATATTACTATATAAATTAGCATGAAGTTTTTAAAATATTATATCTATTTAATATATACCCTTCTAGCCTGCGCCTGCTTGTTTAGCACTGTGTTTTGGTCTTATCATATTCATATACGCATACGTAGAATCTTTTTTCATATGAGAAAGAGTATAAACTATAAACAGGATGCAATCCATTCAATTTATTGAATCACTACTCATTTTAAAATGCTTATATGGTTTTATGTATGCTATATATGTTGACTTTCGCTCTTAAATAATATGTGTGCAATTTCATTGTCTTAATGAACGATTCGCTGTCAATAAACAGTAAGAAACTATTGAATGAAGTTGTTTTTGTATACAAGCATTATTTCAGATTTTCAGGTATGCTGTTGTAGTTAGGGTATTATAAGCACCGACAATTATGCAAACATAAAAGCATTTTTATCAGTTACGAATTTCAAGTAGCAAGAGTATAAATAGAATCCTTTTGTTTTTCTGGATAGCCCAAAAATCAATATCTTTTAAAACAATCACATATATTAAAATTTTTTTGCTTTTACACTTCTTTTTCTAACTAAGTTTATTTTCAATTCTTCCTAAATACTGTTAAACTCCATAAAAAAATCATTTTGTCTTCGCTTTTTATTAACCGCTAAAAAAGGATATTATATAGTCAATCAACCCATCTGCCGGGGGAGGAGTGGCCGGCTTTTTTTCATCCACATGTTCATTCTCCCAATCTGAATAACTTGTTGAACCACTATCCTCTTTAGAACCAACAGATAAATGGCTCTTCTGACTTTTTGAGTCTGTTCCACTGCCACTTTCATTGTTATAGAGCAATTTTTCATCATCACTTACATTATCAACTTCATCGTCACTTTCATTTGTATTTTCTAACTCGCCATAATATTTTTCATCCTCTCCGCCTTCTACTAGATTCTTTTTTGCTTTATAGGCATTTTTTAGCATATAATAAAAATATTTTCTAAAGAACTTATTTATATCATCAATATTTGAATATTGCTCATTAAAATTCTTCAATAAATCGCTGTGCTCTTGTTTCAGACATGCTTTTTTCTTTGTGCTGCTACTATTTTGAATTGGCGACTTTTCTGGATTTTTAGTTATTTTTCTGCTTTCCAGGGCTTCTTTGCTTTCTTGTGGCTCTGTGCTTTCTGTAATCATTTGAGCTGCATTTCTATCTTTATTTACACAAACCATTGAATTTTCTTCAATCACCTTCACATTTCCTTCTAATGTAATTGGGTTTTCATTATCTATGCGCATATCCTTCATTGTATCCGATATAGAAGAAGCAACTATCCCTATCATGGGCAGAGAGGTCATAGAACTAGAGTATCTTACGAAATTGGCAGAAAGAACTGCTGCGCCTGCAATGGCAACACTTTTAAAGGCAAATGTGCCTACTATAAGTGCAATCAAACTATAGTACCATTTTCCTTTCTCCATAAACATTATTATATATAGCAGTCCCATATGTGTAATAGTCAAAATAAGCTTTATAGTTAAGTTCTTGCTGAATGTCTTCATAATTTTCGAATTTTTTTCTATATTTATCTATTTGTTCAAATAAATCTCCTATTTTTCATCAAATATATACTGATGTTAACTTTAAATCGATTCTGATATCTTTTTTCCTGATGCTGTCAATTAAAGATTGTTTTTGCTTTGTATTTTGCTTTATAAATAAAAATAATAATAAATTATTTATATCCTTTGTATTATTTGGTTTATTAGTTTGGGCTGTTACTGATTACTTCTTAGAATACTGGAAACCGCAGTACAATTATTCAAAAATAAAAAAATAAATTATTTGTCCTCCATGCAGCAAAGCGCAGCGTGCGAAGAGACTTTCCCAAAATTAAAATTGGCAGCAGAACATTCTTACATTCACATAATAACGAAGTTCGTAAAAATTGATGTTGAAATAGTTCCTGAGCTAGATACAATTCTCACAGACACTGATGGAAAGAAAATAAAGGGCCCGGCCAGATGCATAGCGCATTTATTCCGAGAGAAAAATATTGATGAGGAAACAATTAGCAGCATATCCAGTGTAATTGGGCTTAGACCGCAGCAGATGCTAGCATATGTGGCAAGCGGCCCAGAAGAAAGAATAGACAACATCCTTGCCATATCAAAAATAAGAAAGTGGCTTTTTGAGGGACAAATTCTAAACAAAGTTGGAGACCACCTAGTAGACAAGCTAGCAGATATACATGAAAGATACCAGAAAGTGTACTGCAGAGAGACTGGAGAAATATTTGTAGAAAGAAATATGGTCAGAGTAATTGCCGATTTCTACAAGCTGGTGATCCTTTCTGGAAAGATTGAGTCAATTATGGACCATCCAGAGGCAGATACTCTTTTCATAGAGAATGTTGATTTTAAGACAGAGAAAAGGACAATAGTAAGTGGTTTAAAGGGAAAGTTTGAAAAAAGCCGACTTCTTGATGCGTGCTGTTTGTTTACTGTAAACCTAAAATCAGTTTCCTTTAAAGGAACCAAATCATTTGGAATGATTTTATTTGGAAAGAGCCAAGAAGAAAACAATGGATCTGTGATATTTACCGAGAGTAATGGAGATAGACTGGGTCTGCTGAACTATCCACTTAACAAACTAGTTCCCTTCTCTATTAAAACAGGCGATGCGTCTAGAAGAACTCTTGAGGTCTTTTTTGAGCGGGTTTCTATAAAAGGAGGGAAATTGGTTTACAATGGCCTAGAAACAGAAATACAAGGAAAGCCAGTTTTGGTGGAAGGGATAGACAATGGAACAGTATCATAAGATATGTAATAAATAAATCATTTAGTTTATACCAAATATTTCAATAATACTTTTTGTATACTAAGACTAATATTAGTATCGTAATACATGAGTTATCTAAATGTTTACATGAACATGGAAGTGTCAATTAAATCATAAATATTTGTTGACATATTGTGTCAATATAAATTAAATTGATCATACGGTCTATAAATACGTATACAAAATTTAATAAACATTAAAGTATCTTAATGACTTTTTCTAAGAAATCAACTATACTTCTAGTGCTTCTAGATGTTTCGCCCTTCAATTTGCTTTGGGCCCAGTCCTTCTGTTTTTTTGGCATGTTCTTATGTTTTTTGCTGTGCATATAATAACTGAGTTGTTTTATTTAATGTTTTAATATTTAATATCGTAAAATATAAAAGATGTCTATTCATTCTGTGGAATAATTCCTTATATACCAATTTAATTCTAAAAATAGAAAAAACACAAAATAATAATATGAATGTCATAGTAAGAGGACAGACTCCATTATACACATAAAACAGCACATACGTATATCTATTTACATAGAAGCAAAAATAGACCTAAAGGGCAAATTTTACAAAACCACCTATAAACAGATAGATCGCCATAAACAGTACATAATATGCTAATATATTATATTAATTATTATATCTATATTAATGTTAAATTGCATATTCTTTTTATTTTTCTATTATTTGACTATTAAAATGAGAATCTTCTTCCTTTTCTCACTATTTTAACTCTTTCTTTCTTTCTTATTTCTCTTCTTCCTTTATACTTTTATTTCTATTACTACTATATTTAATACAATAATCCTATAATCCTATAACAATTGTATACCTAGTCAATTCACACTAATATAACACGCCTGCCACTCTCTTCCATCCCATACTAGAATTATAGATACCCACACCACCCGAACTCATAGTTAATAATGACATATTTGCACCCACCCACACAAGTTTGTATATTATACGCACACGTCCTCACCAACCACCTCCTCCATTTATTCCTGCCCACCTCGCATACTATATATTCTTGGCCTTCTTTGAAGAGCCCCTTTGCAGAAATAACCTGACAAAAAACTCTGCTGCAGGGGTATGAAAAGTGAGGAAAATGCCCAGAAATTGGCCCAAATATTCGGGTTATGTCGGGTTGCAGGGGTATACTTACCTTAAAGGGAAAAATTGCGTCCCAAAGAGGAAGTGGGAAATATGTGGGGTATAAATAGAGAAGGAATTTTAAATTTTATCCACAGGGCGAGAGACTTCTCAGCCACAGACAAATACATTGTTTGGCCTGGAAACACTCAGCCCTGTGGGTCAGTCCGAAACAAAATCACCTGTGGCCAGATTGGTTGGCTACGTGTTCGGTGTGGGGGCCAGCCGGCTTGTGGCCCCCTTGTTCCTTAAGTTCTTCCTTCATCCATCACTTCGTCAATCCTATATTTCAGGAATAAAATTTAAAAAATATCCCGTCAGAAAAAAATGAGAAAAGTATAATTATAGTATAATTAGTCAGTGTATAGCTGTGCATAGTAGTAATAGAACAAAAAGAGAATAAAGTGCAGTGGGCTAGGTATGCACATGCAATATAAGCACAGTTTATTATATTATATGCTAGTTTATAATTTAACTTTGCTAAATTATTTAACTATTTATTACTTACATAGAAACAAGACATTAAAAATAATTTGTAAAAACTCTTAAAGCAATACATCCACACACTAGAAAGCTATACCAATTAATAACCACTTAACAAACAATTATATTTTAAACATCAAATAAAGCACTTTTATTGAATTAGTTATTGCAGTGTGGTGTGTTTGGTTTAAATTCAAAATAGAAGGAGTATCTGTAATATAGTTGTATAAATGTATTAAAATAGCACTCTATTTATAAAATAGAAGAATTGTAGAAAACTAACCATAAACTGTATAGTTTAACTATTAATGTAGAAAGTTGATTTCTTAGAAAAAGTCATTAAGATACTTTAATGTTTATTAAATTTTGCATACGTATTTATAGACCGTATGATCAATTTAATTTATATTGACATATTGTGTCAACAAATATTTATGATTTAATTGACACTGCCATGTTCATGTAAACATTTAGATAACTCATGTATTACGATACTAATATTAGTCTTAGTATACAAAATTAATATCAGTTTTATCATATAACAAATATAATTATTTATTTTTTTACATATAAACAACATTTAACCACAATGAAAAAAAAACATATAACTAATAAAATATGTAAACAAAACAAACATATAAAAATTCTACCATATGAAAAGCCAGATGGTTCAACAACAGGAATAGGCCGCCCATGGTATTCTAATATCCCATTCAAAAAATGCTGTAGTGATATGCCTTCATATTCTAATACTCCATCTCTAAGCAATTCGTACATGCAGATTTATCCTTTTTCTCAGCATAAAATACTATCTGCCGAAGATAAAGATAAAGATACGACCTCAAAGGATATTACTATTGATTATATAGACCAAGAAAAAACAGCAGATTTTTTTACCCAATATTTCACCTCCAGTGTTGAGGATTCTGCATATTTTGAAGATACTTCCAATTCCAATCCCGAAAACCAATGGTTAACTATCTCAATAAATACCAATACCTCCGCATACTCGCATATATACAACAACTATACATCTAAAAATTGTAGTAATTCTCCGAATGCAAAGGTGCCCTGTATAGATAATTCTGCTATTATTGAATCTACACTTGACAACAGCCCAAATGGATATGCTACTATGAATCATGATAATTTTGACATATCCAAAACTTTAAGCAGCTGGCATACAACAATAGACTCAAATAATTTAAAAACCACCCAAGTGAATTCTACAGCGAATGATAATTATGCACCATGCACAGATATATTGTGTATAGAGCATACTAAAGAAGATACTCGAGAGAACTTTTCTAATATTAAAAAGTTAGTTAAAAATACAGTGCTTCCATGTGGGGCTATTCTATTTTTAGGAATGCTTTTTCATGAGATATATTATAAAAATATAGTAGGTATAGTTTTATTATATCTCGAAATATTCTTAAGAATGATAGTATCATACAATTAGACTTAAATCACTGATTTTTTAAAATTAATAATCACTTGTTACATAATGTCTACCATTGTTTGTATAACATTAAATGCAGATTTATTTATAACCGGCCTAATTATAGATGTAGTTCTAAATAATTTTTTAAGTATTTTTATTCTAATAGTAAATATATATATTCTTTAATTGGTAGCGTGAAGAGTTTATATTTTAAAGTATACCAAGTTTAGGGGTTTAAATGAACATTTATAAGATTAATAACCATAAATACTAATTTTATATCAATACACATGTAATTCTTAGAAGGCCGCTAGAATAGCCATAAACATTCGTTAACTTAATTACATAACAAATATTCACTGTATAATACTATTTTTATTAAATTTGTTACTTGATTCTTAGATAAATATTATGTATATCTTCATGCAGTTTCTCGCTGTTTAAAGATGATTTTAAGTAGATTATGATGTTGTGTATGATTTATTTATACCTAGGCATGTTTTATAGCACTTTTTTCTTATAAATCTTCAAAAAACTCCTCGAGCTCTGTTGGCTTTTTCACTTCCCAGCCGGAGACCTCCTCTCCTGCATAAAAGTATAGTTGGTTTTTATAAACAAAAAGGCCATCTATTCTTTTGGCAGGTATCTGTATTCTAGTAGCAGATTTGTACGTTGTTATTCTATAGTACTCGTTGTTGTGTGACACATACAGAGAATTATGTATTTTTTGCACATCTGTTATCTTTCTTATCAGCTTTTTTTCTTTTTTTAAGTCGTTTATGGCTTTGCTTAGAACATATGGAGTTCCATATGCATCTAAAATAACCATTTTATTATCTAACTTGCCTAAGTATCGGATTGGCTTTCCTATTTCATATGCATCTTTTGGCTCAGTTTCTCCTATTTTTGTTTTAAGAAGCATTCCGTCCTCACTTGCTGTGAATATTACTCTTTTAAGTATTACGATGTCAACAATTGCATCTTCGTGCTCGGTGTAGTCATACTGGCTGTCTTCCTGTTTTACAGTAATTTTTCCTTCATAATCGCCATACACCATCATACTTTCGTCTTCAGCTATTGAAAACGCACATGTTTTGGAGAAATCGTCTTTGTGTAGTGTATAAAGAGTGCTCTCTTTTTCCTGTTCACCTGAAATGCTTGTTCTATAAAGTGTGGTGGGCGTAATTATATATACTTTCTTGTCTATTGTTTCTGTGTGTTTGATAACTTCCTTCAAATCAAATATTTCAACATATCTCTTGTCTTCTGGGATTTCTGTTATTTCTGCTGTGCGCTCTTGTTTTTTGAATACTTTTCCATTCAGCAAAACCACAAGCATTTCTTTTCCAGTATGCACAGAGAATATTTCATCTGGAAAAACAAACCGCACTTTTTCTGTGTCATTATTTCCTTTTGCTAGTTTTGGGCATTTTACTGTCATATAATTCTTCTTTTGTGTCTAAAATTTTAAGCTTTTATAAAATTAAATAATGTTTAGCCGCTGTTTCTGCATATGCTCACCTGTCCTATAAAATTAATTATTTGTTACTACCTATGCGCAAATACTGGTTTGCATTAATAATATGGATTGATTAATTGTTTATCTAAAATATCCATCTAGGTGCTGATATATTACTATTATATATTAATAATTGTGTATTAAAGTATAGCAAGCTTTACTTCAATACTGATAATATAACCCGAAGGACATTCTATTTCATAGCCCATCTGAATTTATTGGCACTGATTTATTTGGCAGTTTTATCGACTTCTTTCTCTTTATATAATCTTTCTGTGTTTCTTATACTATTTCTTATTATTTTTAATTTTTAAACCCATTCCTAGTGGAACTATAACAGATTTTTCTACGTACACTTTACATTTCTACAAAATATATGAAGGCATAACACCTGGCACAAAATAAAACAATCCGAAATATATATAATATGATATACCCGAAATTATAAAGAAAAACACTGCGTAGTATTTTCTAAACAGCGCGTATTTGGCATTAGTTCAAGGCTATATAGTTAGTGCTCTATAAAGAAAAGTCCGGAAAATTCCAGAACCATATTAGAAATATTCTAGAATAAACCAGAAGGATAAAAGTATAAAAGAATAAAAAAAATAACAGAGCATGACATACGGGCAAGGACTCAATTCACAAGAACTAACAGAAATTATACAAAAGGCAGAAATCATAGCGAAGGAGCAAAGATCATACACTTTAGACCCAGTGCATGTTCTTGCTGCGCTGCTAGATAGGGGCAGCAAAGAAGTAAAAAGAGCAATCAAGAACAGTTATAGCGAGATAAAGAACACGGTAAAGAATTACATAGAGGGCCAGAGCAAAGCGCTTGGGCATGCACAGCCAAGAATAAACGAAGCTGAGCTGGGCATATTCATAGGGCATATAAAGGAGATATCACAAAAAGAAGGCACGCCAATAAAGGAGGTGCATATATTATACGGAATACTAAAGACGCCGAGTATTGTGCATATACTTAATCAAGTGAATCTTAAAGAGATATTAGACAGAATAGAAAATGTGAAAGAAAGAGAGGACCTAGCAATAGAAGACTTTGCCGTTGACATGATACAGCAGGCCCGAGACGGACTATTTGACCCTGTGATAGGAAGAGACAAAGAAATTCGTGCAGTGCTTGAAATACTGACCAAAAAGATCAAGTCAAATGCAATGCTTCTTGGAGAGCCAGGTGTAGGAAAGACAGCGATAGTGAACGGGCTAGCGCAGTTAATAGCAAATGGGCAGGCTCCTGCTTTGTCTGGGTGTACAATATATAGTGTAGATCTAGGGGCGCTAGTGGCAGGAACAATGTACCATGGGCAGTTTGAGGAGAGGCTTAAAAAGCTAATTAAGGCTGCAGAAGAGTCAAACAGGAAGGTAATTTTGTTCATTGATGAGATACACATGGTTCTTGGTGCGGGGAAGACGCAGGGTGCAATGAATGCCGCCAATCTACTAAAACCAGGTCTTGCGTCTGGGCTGATTAGGTGCATAGGCGCCACAACATACATTGAGTACAAGCAGTATGTTGAGAAAGACCCGGCATTTGAGAGAAGGTTTGTTTCTGTAAATGTGTCTGAGCCATCAGTTGAGGATACAGTTACTATACTGAGGGGGCTGAGAGAAAGGTTTGAGTCATACCATGGGCTGAACATTCTTAATGAAACTTTAGAATGCGCAGCACAGATGGGGCACAGATACCTAACAAGCGGGCACATGCCAGATACAGCGATAACCTTGCTGGATGCAGCTTGTGCATCTGTTAAGGTTGCGTTGGAAAGTGAGCCTTCAGATATAATGAATATAAAATCAAAGATATGGGCAGCAGAGATAGAGAAGGAAGCAATTATATCAGACAGCAAGAGAGATTCAACAATAAAGACTGAGGAGAGGCGGGAGAAAGTAGAGACAAAGATTAAGAATCTGCAAGACAAGCTTGTTCCAATGGAAAAGGAATACTCACGAAGAATGGAGCACATCTTAAAAAGAAAGAAGTTTAAGACAAAGCTAGAGGAGTTGAAGATAAGGCTTGTAGAGGCAGAGAGAACAAGAAACACTGCAGCCGCATACGACATAAAGTCATTCGCAATACCAGAAATTGAGGGTGAGCTGAGAGAACTAGAAAAGACAAACGAGCAGGTCTGCATACGGCCAGAAAACATTGCTGAAATGGTATCCAGCATTACAGGAATTCCTGCAAAAAGACTTACACTAATGGAAAACAAAAGATTGCTTGAATTAGAGTCCAGGCTTGCAAAAAGAGTGATAGGGCAGGAAGAGCCTATAAAGGCCCTAACAAATGCAATCATAAGGAACAAAGCAGGATTTGGCCGTATAAACAGACCAATTGGATCATTCCTATTCCTTGGTCCAACTGGTGTGGGAAAGACCCAGCTTGCAAAATCACTTGCCTATGAGCTATTCGATGATGAAAAAGCAATGGTGCGTATTGACATGAGCGAGTATATGGAGGAGCACTCTGTAAGTAGACTAATTGGCGCGCCGCCTGGATACGTGGGATACGAGACAGGAGGGTACTTAACAGAGAAAATACGAAACAAGCCATACAGTATTGTTCTTATTGATGAGATTGAAAAGGCGCATAAAAGAGTTTCCAATATATTCCTGCAGGTACTAGATGATGGAAGACTAACAGATGGGCAGGGTCGGGTGGTAGACTTTACTAACACAGTGATACTTCTCACTTCAAATCTAGGATCTGGAACTCTCATAGCTGGAATGCAGAAAGAAAAAGTCATGGAAGCAGTAAAACATTTCTTCCCGCCCGAGTTTATAAATAGGCTTGATGGCATACAGATATTCAATCCATTGCGCATAGAAGGCCTCTTCGAGATAATTGAAATATACTTAAATGAAATTAATGAACGGCTAGAAAAGAATAAGCTGCACATAAATATATCTGATGATGTAAAGAGAAAGATAATAGACGAGTCATACAGCATAGAATATGGTGCAAGGCCGATCCAACGATTCATTGAGCAGACAATTACAACTGATATTTCGAAAATATTCTTACAGATAGAAAGCAGTAATGGATACGAAATAATAGCAAGAACACTCGATGAAGAGTGTGCAGTAATTGATGAAGCCCCAGTGTACAAAACAGAGTACTTTGCCTATTACATAGCAGACAGTACCTTACAAAAAGAATCTATTCAATAAATCTCATAATTATTATTTTTACTACATATTTCCTTTTACATACATATATACCCATATAATAATTAAAAAATATTGGGCCATTTACATAAATAATATTATGTTGCTAAAAATTATATAGTTTCTGTTCTCACACGGCAAGCTAACAATTCATTTTATAATTCAATCTACACAACAACCCAACTTAACAAACAAGAATTTATTGACAAGCACCCAGCACAATCTATTTCCTTCTTGCCCGATGTATAATTATAATTTGAGTTATGTGTATATCGCCTAGTTATAATTCAATTCAGTATACCAGAACAATAGCCCGAATTTAAAATTATATTCGGGTAACTTAGTTTAGTGGCAGAACGTCTAATAAATTTAGAAGGCTTGGGTTCGATTCCTAAAGTTACTTGGGCCCATTTATATTTCGAAAGTTGGAACAACCCCATGTAACTAAACTCATGCATGATTTATAATTTGTGGCCCACGTGAACAAACGTAATTGTTAAAAGGCTGATTTCCTCGTCTAAAATTTCTCGCAACTGATACCTTTCATTTCTTCGTATTATAGTGATAATTTATAAAGCAATTATAAACTTTCTGTTATTTGTAATAAATAACAAAAAGTTTTTATACTAATAATTACAAATAATAATATACTAAATAATGTAAATGCACAGGCCTACTAAACATAAAAGTATTTAATTCTAAAAATAAAAACTGGCTCACTCCAACTGCCTTTAAGATTTACATATTTTGTTGAATTCTGTGTTATTAGAAAGATACTAGAGACTAACGCATGTATTGCTGTAAAAAAAAGAGCATAGACCAGACAATAGCGTACCTAGCAAAGTTATATAAATAACAAGCAAATATGACATAAAATACTACACTGTATTATACATTAATACTAATACTATGTATTAACTGCAAGACAAGTTATAGTTTCTTCTGGTATGTCTATTTAGAATACGCTTCGTATAGATAAGAGCCCTTTGCAAGACATATTTCCATTGTTTTATCTTTAAAAAACGATGAGGAGATTTTTAGCCCCTCAATAACATCATGCAATAGTATAGAGCTTCCAATGGATCTTCCTGCCCAGTTTGAGGAGATAGAAGAAACATGAATGTGGGCTCTGTAGAAGGTTGGGTAGTAGTGGAAGTATACCATCACTTGGTCCATTCTGTATTCGTATGTACTGAGCACTTTTTGAATGCTTGCTTGGATTCTTTCAAGGAGAGGAATGTGCTCCTGCCGTAGCTCTCGTATTGTATATATTGCTGGGTCTTTTAGCAGAACAAGCAAGTAGAGTGATTCAGCGGTCTTTCTGTCCCATTTTAAATCTGGGCAAATAAGAAACTCACTGTCTAAAAAAAGAACTTCTTCTTTTCCTTCAGTTATGCAGGGAGTAGAGTGCCCAGCGGACTGGCTGAAAATAGTATCAACCCACTTGCAGTTAGGGCTGCTTCTAAGGGCCAGTGGAAGCACTTTATCGGCATACATACTAGGAGTCTCTCTAACCATGGTATGCTCTGAGGCAGTGTATTTTTTTATTTGTGTTTCTGTGGCAGGGTGTATTATGGCATACTTCACTGCCTCGCTATTTTCAAATGTGCCGCTGCTGTACACATCATTCTCATGTATAAGATGACTTTTTTCAGGATGTATGAATTCCTGGCTAAATGCCACTTTGTTCAGTGTGAGAATTGCAGGCTCATTGTCAATTCTCCCCAAAAACACTTTAGAAATATTTCCGGTCTGTGAGTTTATAATAGACTCGGCCACAAATCTGTTCAATTTATCTTTTTTCTCCATGTAATAATAAAAAAATAAACCAATATAACCCGAAAATAGACCAAAACGCGCCATTACAAAAAGACGCCGCTATAACATAAAAAATGATAGAAGCTTAACAGTGCTATTTGATATAAAAACTAATAGCCAGAAAACAAACCAGCGATTCATGCTAGATGCAGATTCCATGACCGAAGCCATTTATGTTGAAGAGGTATAAAATATAATACTAAAGCGTATAGCAATAGTATAAGTATACTAGAAATGCTCTAGGTATACTGAAGAGTATTAATATGCCTTCTGCACTACAAAAAAGCCAGGGCAGAAGTTTTAGTGCGCATGGCGCATGGTCAGATTGGAGAATACCACATCGGATGACTAAAAGGCAGCAGAGCCGGGTGGTGGTACAATATTAGTGGCAGCGCAACTTGCCGTGCACGAAAATTAAAGAGCCAGATATAGCCATAGCTAATGAAAAGAGTTTATTATTCCTGTTCATTCTCAGCTGTAATATCGGATTTAAGTTTTCCGTAGAACTGCTTCTTCTCAGCAGAGGTTTGGAATCTACCACTTCCAATCTTAGAGGAGGTGTCGACGAACTTGATGTTGATGGTCTCAGCATTTCCGCTCTTGAACTTTCTTCCAACTATCTTTCTAAGGACAAGAACTCTCTTTCTTGGTCCTACTACAGATCCCTTAACCATGATGAACTCGTTGTTTACATATCCGTATCCAGCGAATCCTCCCATTGGGTTGATTGTCTTCTCAGTAAGATCGTACTCTGTCTTGCAGGAGTCTGTGGACTGCCCATCTCCAACTAAGTATACTCTCTTGTTCTGCATGACTCTGTGGTGGAAACCGGTCTGACCAGCTCTTGGCACGGAGTACATGACTCTACTTGGATGCCAAGCACCAATACATGCAACCTTTCTAAGACCTTTGTTTGTCTTTCTTGGGAGGATAGTAGTTCCCCATCTCTTGGTACAACTCTGGAATCCCTTTCCTTTGGTTACTCCAATGATGTCAATCATTTCTTCTTTAGAGAAGCAGTCTGGAGCGGATATTTCCTTTTCAAAGTTAGAGAGAGCAAAGTCAATCTTGTCCTGGATGGATCCACCATTCAGCTGGGACTCCATGATATGGGCCTTCTTGGTGTTAAGTGCCTTAATCTTTGGTGCTTGACTGTGGATTAAAACTCTAATAACATCTGCATTGTCTCTGATGGCCTGGATTTCCTGCTCAATAACTCCATTCTTGTACTTAAGTGGGTAGTTAGAGAGTGCGGTCTTCTTGGACCTGTAGTATCTCTTGTAGTATCTTCTCTTAACAGACTCGTCAATGTGCTCTGCAAGAACTGTCTTGACATTGACCAAGCCTCTTGGGGTCTTCTTGTACCCAACTAATCCGAATACTACACACTTTGGTGTCTCCAGAATGGTCACTGGGTCAATTATTTCCCTCTTGTTAAGCTTGCTGCCTTCTCTCTCTCCCACTCTTAATACGTGGGTCATACCAGCTTTGTATGCAAAGTATGTGGTGAGATGCACTTTCTGTGTCTCATCATCCTGTGGGTAGGATGGAATTCTTGGTCTTATTCTCTCTGCCCTCTTTCTTGGAAGGAATGCAAGAGAACCGTGTCTTGGTGCTTCATACTTTCTATGACTCATACTTACAGGGATAGAAAAAATTTAAAATTATATACAACCGAAAAAAGAAACAACAAAGAAATTATTAAAAATAGATTTAGAAATAGCAATCGTATTCACTGAGAATTACATAGGCGTCAAGCGCATCCCCATAGCAAGGGAGCTATGAGAAATTCTTCTGAAATCATTGCCAATAAAATTTTATTCATTCTGGGCAGTCCAAAGAACTTTTCCAAATGTATTAAATTATAAAAAAGCAGAGCACATCCGCATAAATTAATCATATCCATACGTCTCCACACCACAGCAATACTCACTCTCTGGTGTTATTCAGCCACTTACAGTGAACTGATTCTACCAAAGAATAGAAGCATACCACCTTCAATAGAATAACAAATAGAAAGACTCTCACCCTATGCGCATATAATATAATCCGGTCCGCCTGGAAATACTTTGAACTCTGAAATTCTACTAAGTAACAAGCACTCATTCATTACAGCAGAGGAATTTCTATCATAGGACATAGTGTGCACGTATAGCAACTAAATCAAACCCACTTCATATGAGCCTCCTTCTTGTACAGGACTATTTTATTCATGTTTATATATTATGTTCTTGCTTCCCTTTTTTTCCACAGCACACATCCATATTCGCGTCTTATATGTCTTATACAGTTCTTTAACTAACTCTCTGAAGTCAATTCTTTTGTCGCTTTTAAAATGGAATGTCAACTTATTGCGGTCCCACTGGTATTCAGCACTAACTATCTCCATGGGCAATTTCTTTTCTTTAACCATTTGCCTACAATTGTTTATGGCCGTCTGTTCTAACTCGTTTTGTTCAAGTAGCAAAATCTTATCATTATCTGTTGCAATTCTATATATTTTCTTTGCGTCTAGAGAAGATATATTGTTCTTTTCCGCCACCTCTGATATGCACTCGGGGTTAATTGATTCATCGATGACAGAGCCACAGTCCTCTCCTCTGTCTGCCTCTATTATTACAAAAGTACCTTTGGTAAGAAAAATACCTTTATATATACCAAAACACCTGCATCCACTGCCAAACTGTACAATGCATATACTGCCACCAAAGTACCCACCTGCCCTGCTTGTCTCTCCTCTGATTGTTTCTGCCGCCCTCTGTGCTACTGACTGAAACAAAGCCGGATCCAAAGAGTGCCGCCTAAGATGTGCCAGGCTAGCTTTTTCTGAGTATATCTGGTGGGTTGTTCTAGAGCCAATTGCACTGTGTAATTCCGCCGTATTGTTTATGAGTGGTGCTATCTCTGGTAGAGAGTTGTACAAATTTATGTTATTTAGGGACATACTTCTTTTTCTGCCTTCTTTTTGGTCAGCAAGTGTAGCTGGCTTAGGCGGATGGCTATTTATACTATTCGACCGCGTTCTAAATGAGTTTCCAATCACCTTCCAGTCTTTACTATTCATGTAAGACCAAATATTATCACTGATGAATGGGGATACAGCAAATGAATTCTCTCTGTCTTTCATAAACCACAAATATTATCTAATAAAAAATAAAAATAAAAATAGATTAATTTCTACGGGTAAAAACACGTCAAAATCAATCAAAAACAAAAGAAGTGCAATATAGATCAGATTAAAAGATCAGATAAACAACTTGAAAGGGATATCTTGCTGTTTTACAAGAACTCAGCGCAGTATTTCTTTAAAATAAAGAAATTTCAGGCGAGCAAAAAATATATCTCAACATATCTGGATATATAGCTAGAGGCACAGTCGATTATACTTGAAATATACACTGGAAAAAGAAAAAAATCAACCATTTTCAGGTAATTTTCTATGTTTTTTACTCGGGTATAAAAATATTTGCTGCCTTGGTAACATAGGTTTACTGCACAAAAAGAATAAAACATTAAAAGTTATGTAAAAATAAAAAACTTCTACGGCCTTTTCTGTTAAGTGTTTAAACAAGTTGCTATATATGAATATATATAACTTCTTTAGGCCGTTTTATGTATATTTCTATGTTTTTATGGTGCTAAAATTGATATATTTGATGTTTCAAATTTAATTTTATTCAAATAGCTAAGAAGTAAAATTTCGGGTTATATGAATGTATTGATACTAATTTAAATTACTCCAAATATTTTATAATTAATTTTAATACTGTAAATATTCTATTATACATGTCAGAAGGATTTTATTTTTTTGTATGTAATAACTTCTAGGATATTTTCAATTGCCATAACGAAGTAGTGTGTATAGAGAATACTTACAGATGTATTTTAGACGTATTACTATAGCAATTCATTCAAGGCTAGTTTTGAAGTATTGCCAAAAATTCATCGTATGCAGCCTTTACTGCTGGATTTGATTTAACAATTTCTCGTATGCTCTCTGTATAAAGCATATGCGGCCGGTTCTTGTTAAATGCAATCTTTGCATTTGGCATATCGCACAATTTAGTATATATTTTAATAGTCAGCTCCAATAGTTTTGGAGACTGAATGGTTTCCATCTGTACTAAGACAGAGTTTAAAATCATTGAAATTGCCATAAATCGATCATATGTTTGGCAAGAATATTCCAGCCCTTCCTGAACCGAGATTATAAGATAGAACACCTCGCTTGCCTCTATTTTTGTCTTTTTTCGGCCTAATTCCATATTGCGAAGACATAATGGCACTAGCTCTGTATTTTTGAAGAACTCAATTAAGTGCTCTATCTTGTTTCTTTGTAGTATGCACTTAATTATCCTTAGTGTAATGTACTTTAACTCTTCTATCTCTTCATTTCTAATAGAGGAGTTGATTATTGGATAGAGAAACAAAAGTAAATTTGAGTCAATCGCGTATGATATAAATTTGTCCTCATCTGTTAATAGAATGATTATTTCAAGAACTGTATAGATGTTTTCTGGAAGACATGCTCTTTCCAGAGTTAAGTACTCATATATTGATGAAATATCCTTAAGAAACACGGTTAGAATGCCAAATTCTTGAACTATTCTAGATTTACATTCGGCCTTTTCCGATAGAATAGTACGCAGCTGCTTAAGTGACTCGTCTTTATTTTCATTTCTTATAATGTGGCCGCAAATATCCTCAAAGACTGCAGAGCTATTAGTCATTATAAATAAAAAAATAAAAACATTCTGTAATAAACCCGAAAGAGTTAAGATGCCAACCAGTGCCCCTACTCGAGCAGAAGATACGGCAAAAGACAATCATGTAAACACTTTTATTTTGCTGCAATAAATTATTACAGTCATAAACATATAAGAAAATAATAGTATTTATGCATTTATTAGAATGCAGCATAGTGCATAATCGAGCCTCTAGTCTAATTAATGTATGTATACAAATAGATATAGTGAATCTTAAATAACATGAAATCTTAAATAAATATTCAGGAGATTTTTAAAATACAAATATAGATGAATTATAAAAACAAGCAGATAGAATATATTAAACAGAAGAGGTTTTCTGAGAATGCGCAATAAAAATAATTAGTTTAGTACATCTGAATTTATTAAACATGTTAAAATTTTTATTAATTCTCATCCTTATGAGGCTTTAAGTTAGTTTAATATTACTGCTTCTGTTGACCTAAATCAATACATATGAGATTTTCAGTATACGTGACTTGTAATATGAAAAAATCCGGCAAAATAAACACGTGTATATAAAAGGTTAATACTAGTTTACACTAAGCTTACTGTGTCAATAGTAACTATACCACCTAATTATATTCTTTATTTTAGTAAAACATGTATAAAGTTCTATTTATAGCTGCTTTTTTCCTTGAAGGCTCAGACATACGAAAGCTTGTTCTTTATTTAATCCACGTTGTCCTTATATAGGCGACTTCCCATCATAAATGCTGTTACTCACATATTTTAGCACTTCAAAAATCATCATTTTATTTGGCATTCTGGATCTCACTATTCAAAACCAACATTTATTATAAACCACTGAAAAGCATTTATAGCTTCATAGGAATAGCCAGAAGAATATTTTAATTTTTCATGTGCGTTATACCTTTCTGAGTTATTGAAACATTTTGTATTTAGTCAGTCAGTGTTTAGGAATATTTTTAGATGTAAAAATATTTATTGAATAGTGCCATGACCAACCGGTGGCAGCTGATTAGAAGTCCATACGCATTCTAATAGGCTTTAGCACGATGGCAGTGTATGGCGAATGTGTATTAAATCATTGTTTTTTCATTATTGTATTCTACTCTCATATTAACTTAATATAACTTGCTTGCTGCTCGGGTATCAAATTTTAAATAAATTAAAATTCTGGAGAAATGTCAAATACAACAAATAGACATAAAAAAGATAATTTTTTATTTGAAAATGCATAAAATAAGGAAGAAAAGGCAAATAATTTTTGGAATATTACATATCTTACTAATAGCAATGAAAAAGGCCAGTACTCAAGGCATGCCGTATGCCGAGATTATTAAAATTCATGAAATTGAAATTATGTGTCAAAATTCAATACGTATAGCAATTTCTTTAAAGGGGGCGCTTAACCTACTTTACCCGTATTTCATAGAAGAAAAATTAATTATGAAAGAGTATTATGAAAACTTAAAAAGCAAAGAAAACCAAGAAAATTCTTTGGGAGGACTGCATACTCCAAAAAAATCTATTAATATACTACCTAATATAGTGAAAAAATTTATGCCAATAAAAAAGAAAAAGCGTTTAATACTAGAAGAGTACTACAATATGTGCAACGCAGCCTTTCTAGACATGTTTATATTTGAAAATACTTCCGTGCCAAATATTGTGAATTCAAATTGTGATAAACCCAGCAGTGCCCATGTAGAAAATACCGTTATAGTTATTAACAAGCGCAAAAAATATTCATTTTCAAATTTTCTTGCCGAAGAAAAAGTTGAAAAATATTCGAATTATATTCTTGCTTCGCTGTTTCTTCTTTCTGAGGGAATAAAAGTTCCAATAAAAATATGTTCATGCAAGAAAAAACAAGAAATAATTCTTATTCTAACGAACTACCAAAAAACAAAACCAATCTTTCATATTGAAATAGACAGAACTTTAAATAAGTACTTGCCGGATGTATCTAGAATATTCAGGCTATTTAAAAAATATACAAAGATCTGCAAGTTACTGAAGCCAGAACAGAGAAAAGAGCCAAGTACATTTGATGAATTTAAAGCAAATGAATTTTTAGGCTCTCTAAGATTTCTAATAAGGATGTATATATATAAATTTTATACAAACTGTGATGAGCTTAAACTATTTTATATTGAAGTAGACAGGATTCTCTCGGATATTGTGATTAATACAATGACTCTAACTATACCTATGGATTCGTTTGCTATAAATCAATGTGCAGACTCGCTGTTCACAGAACTATTTGAATTCACACTTGATGGGTTCTATAAGTCAGAGAAAGAATTTGAAAAGATATATAAAAAAGTGTATGAGGAAGTTAATAATGAAGTTAAAGTATAGCATATTAAAGCAGCACAGTATAGAGTAATTAAATTCATGTAGATCTCGTATACTGCGAATTATAGTACTAATAACTATATATTTATGCATAGTTATTTCACAAATATTATAAGAACTAATTCGGGTTATGAGAAGAGAATATTATAAATAAAATACAATATTTAAGACACTTCTATTATATAGCCTATTAATAATGGCAAAGAGACAAAATAAAGACTAGGCTGATTAAAAACCTTCCTTCTATTGCAATACCCCGAACTAGCTTGCTTAAAGCAGCTATGTTTATAATATATAGTAGACATTGTGCAATGATATAATTATAGGATATGTTGTTTATGCACCCATAAATATTTACACAAAATTAATATAAAGTGTGGTGACACCATCACCCAAGCGCGCGGGTCCGATACCGATCCGCCAATGCGCCGCCGCGCGCGGTGATCCCGCCATGACAAAAGGCCGGGATCTAAGAATCACCGATCAACTTTGGACTATATAAGTAGCACGCACCCAAACAAAGATGGGAGAAACCACGGGACAACAAAGAAACATATTTACTAAAAGGCTCAGCGCCAATAGTGCCACAAGGACTCCGCGTCCGCGCACATCCCAATATTCTAATAATCACAATAAAGAGCATCTCTCAACACTATCTCTATCTATCTTGGACTATGTTATCCAGGCGGCAACGGTGCCTCCTCGTGAGCATGTCATAAAGTAATCATTCTATATGAATGAATGATATAACCAGAAAACCTTAAATTCTATAAAAGATCCTGATATAACCCGAAAATCTTTTGTTATGTTTTTATACAGTGGACAGCACAGGTTATAGTTTCATAATAAGCGCACTGAGTAAATATAGAATTGCCTCTATATAATGCAGCATAAATTATTAAAAGTGCTGGAAGGCATTCAAGAGGAAGCTGGCTTCTATACATAATGAACTTACTTAAACGGAATTCTACTTGTCTAAATGCCTTTATTACATTTTCATTCTTTTTTCAACTATTTCTTGAATCTTCCTTACAGTTTCACTAACTGTTAAGCTTGTATTATCTATAACTATAGCATCCGCTGGCTTAACTAACGGTGATATTTCTCGGGTTGTATCAAGATAGTCTCTCTCCTTTATCTCTCTTTCGATTTGCTTTAACTTATCTTGGTTTTCTATAGAGTCGTCTTTTGATCTCTCCTTTTCTCTTCTAATGGCTCTCTCTTTTACAGATGCCTCTAAGTAGATTTTTAGTTCAGCATCTGGAATAATTTCAGATCCAATGTCTCTTCCCTCTACTACTACCTGGGGATGTGCGCTTATCAGGCTTTTTTGTATAATTTTCACTCTCTCTCGAACTATTTCATACTTTGAAATAATACCCACGGCAGAATCTATTCTGGGAGTTCTGAGCTCTCCAATTATATCAGTGCCCTCTACAACCACACTGCTTTTGGTTATTCTAGGCGAAAATGCGCTGATTATATCAGTAATTCTGTTTTTCTTTTCTTTTATTGTCTCTTCCAGCTCTAGTATAGACTCATTTGCAAATTTGCTTAATAATATGTAAGAGAGTGCACGATATATCATTCCAGTGTTTATATGCTCGAAATTCAATGTTTTGGCAAGCAATCCGGCAAGTGTGGTCTTTCCTGCCCCTGCTGGTCCGTCAATTGCAATTCTGAATTGTTTTTTACCGCACGCGTCCTTCATGGAATAAAATATTTTTAAATTTGCAACTATTAAAACCGATAACATTGTTATTTATCTGTTTTATTTATAAGAATGACGTACTGCCAGAATCAGATGGATTCTTTTCACTTTATAGCCGAAATTAATATTAAATTGTATAAAAGATCACTTTTTAAATAATGCAATATAAATTCATAATTAAATACACAATGCATACTTTTAAAATATAAGCCCCTGCGAAAGAATGGTCTAGCAGGCTTTATAAGTTTTTCTATTACAGTTTTAGGTGGCAATAAAAAAATAATGGTGTTTTGTGATAAATATAGTAAATATACAGTAATACATCACACAGGTGGCTTGTTATATAAAGAGTATATGTATATTATTCTCTATATAAATAATTAGTTATGCTCAAATATTTTTAATATTAGTGTGCCATAGTATTATATACTGAATATTTTCTGTACATTTTAAATACAATTAAAACATACAAAATCACAAAACAACCCAAAAATATTCCTAAATCTATTTGATGGCCACATATGAATATGCCTATGCATAAATATGAGTCATACAATAAGAACTCCGCACTTTTATGCAAAGATCAAATCCGCGTTGCTGTGGGATAGATGTTTTGTATATCCAAAATTAAACCGGTTTTATTCTAAATTCTTTATTTTCCATACTTACTCTGGAATGCTTGCTGCTTTTAACCATCGGGGCGCTTTCTTGTGCAGAGGCCATATGGAATAACCCGAAGAATAGTATATATATCTTATGTGTAAACTCTGTTTTTACATTGATCTATTTTGTACATTAATAATACGTATTCAGGTAATCTATTTCCTTTTTGGTTAGTTCTAATCTGTTCTCAGGCGGAGGCCCTGCTTTTAATAGTTTTCTAAGACTGCCAATGCTCTTTCTGCATAAATATAAGTTCGTGAATGAGGGAATCTTCTTATAGAAAAGATCGCTTTTACTAACTATCTTTGTAAATAAAATGTCTCTGAGTATTGTTTCGCTTATATTCAGAACCCCTATGTCAAGCCGTTTGTTCATTTCTCGGCATATGCTAAATATAGAGAAGATTGTCGTAAGATGCTGCGAGAGATAGTTGTCCCTCTGCAGAGCAAGCTCAGTCAGTCTTCTCATCATCTGCAGATCCACCTTTATCTTCTTTATCTTCTCTATTGAGCTGTCAGACTTCCTTGCCTTTCTCTGGGTTTTTAGCTCTCTCTTTCTAAAGCACACGAATGGAAGAGTGTCTGCAGGCATGTCAGCCTCCTGCGTAATTATATCCTCTACCTGCGGCTGCTGCACATCCCCAATATCTGCTAAATAATTGCTGGGTTCTTCATATACACCACTTTGCGAATTGTCCGTCTTTCTTTTTTTTATTCCGTGCTTTGTGGACTTTTCTATTCTCGGAGTGGGTATGTCTGTAGCCCGCCGTGAGATGATTTCCTTTAAGTGGTGCTCTTCCTCCTCTTCCTTTTCCACGCCCGTCGCGAGTGCCGGCCCGGTGTACTCCTGCACACAATCCATGTCAATCTCTCTTTCGTATAGTACACTCAGCTTTTTGTCATTTTCTATTTTCTTGCTTCGCACTCTTTTCATTCAAATAAAAAGTGGTTCTCTCTAATATACTTTACAAGTCTGTGTCTGTACCAGAATGATATGAGTAATAATTTATTTGAAGAAGGAGGAATGGAATATGTAAAAGACCTAGGAGGCATGCAGAGGAAATGGTTATTTATTCAATTTCTTAAACATTTCAAAAAGCCGAATTGAACTCTTACGGACTCCCCCAAATGTCATACTAGATCTAACACTGCTTCCTTGTACACTGCTTTCTCTTTTACATAATTTGTTGTCCTCTTCTATATTGTAATGTGTTCCTGTGACATCTACATACTTGCTACACTCCTCCAAGCCAGAGACTTCGTTCAGTATCGCAAATACACCAGCAACTATCTTTATTTCAGATTTGTTTATCGTATAAATTGACTTTTTTAGGAGAGACACATAGAGCCCGCCATGCTGTATGGCCTGGGTTCTTATTTTCGCAAAGAGGCTAATTCTTTTATGCTCTTCAAACTGCGACCTTTTTTCAAGAATACCCTTTTCAACCATTAATTCCAGAGTGCTGTTTATGTACTCACGGAACTGCAAATTCGGAGAAGATGCTATTTCCAGCAAAACTTCAAGCAGCCCTAAAGACGAACACTTTTCTAGATGCATAATTGTTGATTCTAGCTCTTTTGAAATAAGCAGCTTTAAGTCGGCAGGAACTGTAGATGTTCCTATCCCCACCTCTTTTTGAAAAGTTCTTCTCAGTAGGGAGTGAAATAAATTTTCTTTGTCTTGACACTTGGTCATAAATAGCTTGAAGTACTTGATTGTTAGTGCTCTTTCCTGAAGGTCTGCGTCTGTAAGGACTATTTTTCGGAAGAGTGTCTTCTTTGGAAAGAGAGACCTTAGAAGAAAGTAGAAACTTTTGGCTATCTGTGCAGTGGGTACGGTTGTTTCTACCTCGCTTATGAACGACACGGTTTGAAGTAGTAATAGAACATACATACGTCTGGTTTTTTCATTATTAGCAGACTCAAACATTTTAAGCCGCCGCGATGTAAGAATCGAGTTAGACTGTTTGATAAGGTCAGCATAGCAGTCACTGCTTATATAATAGTATATAATACTGTGCATGTTGTCAATCTCTCTTTCACTTGCTATCTCTAAGGCCTGGTGCACCACTGTAGAGAGGATAGACGCTGGCGCAAGAAGATGGAAGTACGTGCTGAATATGTCCTGCCGGATTTCCCTGTTAAAGGATGCTGCCTTAATCAGCGCGCGGTTTAAGCTGAATATTTTCTTCTCTGGGTGTCGCACTAATAGACCAGCTGCCTTAATAATCATAGAAAGAAGAGTAAGCAGAAACATATCATTAAACTCTGCACGCCCCATGCTATCGGACTTGACAATAAAACCATTCCCTGTAATAAACTCCTTTCTGACGCTTTCAGATGTGCTGTTTCGTATAGACAGTTCCTGGATTCGGCTGGCGTCTGGATTGTACAGTGTGTCCTGCTGCGGGTCTTCAACCTCCTCTGCCCTATCAAGCGCCTTTTCGCCCTCTCCTTTCTCCAGCAACGGGAATATGGAAGAGGAAGAAGAAGTTTTGTCGTCTGTGTAGTTATAGGACATTTCTGCAAAGTTATATGAGGCCGTTGCATCTGTGCTGTATGACTCATCGTCTGGGTCCTTTATATTGGACATTCTTTCATCCTCTGTGCATTCTTTTTTCTTTATGTTAATTGTTGATAGAGTGCTCCAGTTGCATGCATACACCTGGGATATTCTTTCGTATATCTCTGAAATCTCCATTTTCTCTCTTTTCTCTGAGATAAACCCACTGTCTATTGCACTGCAAATAGCAAAAAATATCTGGGAGGTAAGACTTTCTGCCTCAGAGCACCGCGTTCCTGCATATGTAAACAAAACAAAGCATCTTTTTATCTCCTGGCAGCATATATCAATGAATCCAGCAGGGCACGCCTGCGGACCTTTTTTCATAATCCGCAAGATAACCTTTAGGTGGGTCTTGATAAGCTTTAAGGCAGCCACCTCAAAGGACGCGCAGAACATAGAATAGTCTTGAACTAGATGAGAAGATATCACAAGCGTAGTTAGATGCTTTTCAAACTGATTTGACTGTGCATACTTCTTTGTGTAATCCTTTAGTATATTAATGGTTTCTGAGATTTTCATGGGTTTCTGCTGCAGATAATGTTTAAAGAACGACAGCTTCTGCTCATCCACTGACCCGTCTCTCTTATAAATTTCTCTTAGAAGCTTCTCGTGCTGCGGTCGTAAGTTCATGATCATGTAAACTTAAATAATTTTCTGTGCTAGTCTTATAGAAACATTTTAATATAAAATAAACCAAACAATTGAAATGCGCGGCCTGGCCAGAAAGCACCATCTTAATAAGAAGAACGCTCGGAAATAACCTGTCCGTTATAAAAACACCCCAATACAACAAACAAACTGCATTTAGATGAGTCTATAATCACATGTTGTTCAGCATAGTATTTATAGTAACACAAAGCATTCAGTGATAGGATATTGTTTCTGTAAATATAGTAAGACTACACTATAAAAGACATTATATATAAGACATTATATACATTACAAAAGAAGAATTTAACTGGCGCTCTGTAGTCCTATATAAAATATTTTGTTACTTACCAGCACATAATAAAACACTGTATCTAAAATGTCTAGCACAGCTGCATATAGTATAATAATTTAATAAAGCCCCTAGTAAATATTTTTGAGCACATTTTATTCATCCAATGTATATGCATCTGTTCTTTTAAATATCATTCTTTTCTTTGGTCTAGACCATTCTTATATACATATGCAAACTCTTCATTGCATAACATTTTTTGGGTTATTCTATGTTTATCTCTTAAAGATATTTGCTGTTGCAATAGTTATATAATACTTGTTTAATAGCTTTTATATTAGAATAGTTTTTTTAACAATTAAAATGAAGATACGTATATTAAAGATGTTTAAAGAAATGAAAGAACTAACTATAATAAGAAAGTGTAACAAAAAATATAAAACAAAACAAAGCACATCTATGATAGTATGTATTATGCTGTCTTTACTGGTTATGTCTCAGACTACTGCTAGACTATATTTCGATTCTATTCAAAAAATACCTTATATAGGAATTATTAATACTGTTTACCCAAACATAAGTCCAAATGAGCACAGTAATGCAACTCCTTTAACAGCATGCATACTTAAAAGGATGGGATATTTAGATATTATAATTTCCTTTACCCAAAATGCGAATGCAACTTGCAAAATGAGGATTAAAAAAATAGAAAGGCCGCCAAATGGGCAATTAAAATACAATGAAGAAGAAAGTGAAACACCAGAAGCACGAGGTGCAGATAATCTCATAGAAAGTATTATACAAAAAGAAGAAGAACATAATAGAAATACTAGTGCAATTAACAATCAAGCAATATATTCAATGATATATAGAACAAACTCTAATAAACCCCCGCTAGATCATAATTTAAAAATACCCTCAAAAAACCCAGATTATCTTGTAGCGTATTATGATGTATTTTACAAATTATTTCCATCATACCATGACAAAAAAAATGAGTCCATATACTCAGACGAAAAACATTCATTCTACAATTTTATAACAGACATAGAAACTAGAAAATCTAAATATATGTTTTTTGCATGCTTGCTGCTTCTTTCAGAGGGGTTATATATGCCGGTGTCAATTGAAACAAATAAGAATGGGTGTAGGCAGTTTGTGCTAAGAAGTATTGTCAGTGGAATGGAGCGTTTTCGAATTAACATAGATAAAATCCAAACTATTTGTAAATGTGCCATCTCACATGATGAATCATCAGATTGCGCGTATTCCAATACATCTGTAATAGTTTCTCGGCCAGATGTGATTGATATACTTAAATTTTTCATAAGCTTTAATAGAAGTTTAGTTAAAAAGGCTATAAATCCCAATGAATTCAATCTCTATAATATGTGTAGTGATTTGAACTTTCGGGAGTTTGTGTTTTCCTCAACCTTTTTTTTAAACATCTACATATATGAGTACATAAACAATTTAGAGAATATGGCCATATACTTGCAGGAGATTAATAACCTTCTTTTTGAGTATATACCTAGGAACAAAAACACTGACTTGATGAAGAGTGTGAAAAACAGATTGAATATTCTGAATGAAAATACAGAGAATATAGTATATCGAATAGAAAAAAGCCAGATTCCACCTGTTAGTGATATATTAAAGAACGCAACTGTGCTATTTAATAACTATTTCACTAATATAAGCTTTGATAATCCAAGAGCCCCGTCAATTATACCAGACATAAAATTCCTTTCCTACCAAATAACCCGAAATAATCCGCTGTCTATAAACACAGAAATGTTTTATCCAATAGAATGCCCGATAACCCATAACCCGAAGAATGTGATTAAACTATTATCGCTGTGTAGTGCAGCTTTAAACCTAAATTTAAATGATAAATACAGTATAGAATTGAATCGTGAAATTATGCATCTGCCTAAATTTATTAATCATGTGGAGACTATGCTTCTAGGCATATTATGCATCTGCTTTTATGACCGAGCTGATCATATGTACACGATTAGCCCCAAAATAACCAGTCCGTCTTCTGAATTATTGGAGCTCTTTACAAAGTATAAGCATTTGTTTGAAAAAACCGACAGAACTGTCCATAATGATTGGAATAAAGTAGTTTCTTATATAGCGGACAACAATATACGATATATTAGGCCAAGCTCATTACAGCTAAACTCAGGCCTGTTAAATATACTATTGGTCATTCGACATATAACTGGGTTATATACAATAGAGAACAGCCGATTTTTAGAAATATTAAATTTAGTTAAGAATGATGGCTGCATAGAAGAAATCACAAGGAACATTAAAACCTATATATCTAGTTTGTTAAGCCTACTATTAGTAAAAAAGACTGCAATTATTAGTATGTGTATTCTAAGAAAAGAATTTGTATCTAAAAAAGAGAGAGATTTATTTGGGCAGATAATTATAGCATATCAAGATGAGTCAGAAGAAACTTATTCTGTGAACTGGGTAATTGAACCAATTAATATGTTAGAAAAGGCATCTTTAATTACACAACCAGATAGCAAAGAAGATTCTGATAAGAATAATCTAAAATCTGAGAAATTGAATGAAGAATCTAAGAGTAACCCGAAAGCAAAACTTCCTTCATTGATTTATCCGCCCCCAAAAAAACATATGTTATTGCCTATAACAGAAATAGACTATGAAGTTCCATATAATATAACAAATACAAAGCTTATAATTGAAAATCCCAATAATTTTAAGTTAAACCGCACTATTACTCAGAGAATAAATGCATTTAATAATCGGATGTCTATGAAATATCCCATGATTCATGGCGAGTGCTCTGCATATATAAAATATGTTACGTCTAATAACCCGAATTGCATAGAAAGCCAAAATCTCATAAATATAATTAACTATATCTTGGGAAAGATAAAAAACAAACAACCCTTTTTACCAAATGGAGGTTTGACTTTTAGTGATATTTCTTCTAGAAGTCTTCGTCTTTCTATAGCCAAAATTTTATTTTTACATAGCCTTGATTCGACTATATGTGAAAAGAACAACCTTTTATTATTGATATCCAATATATTGTTTGGAGTTGGCTTAGATAATGGAGATCTATGCAGCTTTTTATTATTTATGTTTGGGTATTTTCCAGAAACAAAGAAATATTTATCTAATATTGAAATCGATCCTAAGCTCTTTTTTTTGCTCCCAAACTATGAAAATGTTTTCATTGAGACTATTCAGACCTTGATCTCATACAAACTAAAGGAAGTTCTTGTTAATTTACTTCACAGTCATATAAAAATGTGCCTTACATATAATATGCCACACATACACAAATTGCTTGAGAATCTCTCATATGAAAATCAAATAAATATGCTTTGCTGCTTGACTGATATGGGTATGGATTTGACCCATATAAAAAGCATTGTGCTGCATATAAAGAAGACTTTTAAAGACGGCCATCAGACTTTAGTTAATGAGTTTTTACAAAAAATTCTAATCATTATGTGTAGTGACATAGATGTATTTAAGAAAAACATAATTGAGTGTGCAGATATACATTTAAATAGTTTTAATCCCTCTTTAACAGATATAACCAAATGGGATATGCATAATAAATCTAGACTGAGTAGTACTATCGTGACACTTAGTAATCTGATTGAAGAAGAATCAAAAGGCAATCGCAACATCTCAAATTTAAGTTATATTAAAAAAATATATGAAACAAAGATATCTTTAATATCCAAACTACCTTTTATAAAAAATTCGAAAAATATAACCTAGCAAACTATTCTAATTTAAACTAGTTTTCTCTAGTTATTAAAGAATTTCAAGTGTGATGATGGACACTAAGGCCTCCTTCCATCTTATCTCTTAAGTTTTATAATAAAGCTCTGGTTATAATCACATATATTAATTATAATTAGAAATAAAGCCAGAAATAAAAAATTATTTAAGTCTACAGCCGTCTTTCGTATTAAGTATACTTTATTAAAATATAAAATTATTTATTCTTTACATTTTTTAAATGCAAAGCAGGTTCCTACTATTGGGGTATTTTTTAGTATAGTCAATAGAAATTCTTTATCTTTTTCTACTTGCTTCTGAATTACAGATATGTGGGGTTGGATTTTATCTATAAGCTCTTTCAGGCTATACTTGTCTTGGGCCGAAGACTTCATTAGCTCGGAAGTTTCTTTTATGTATCCCGTATGTTCCACAGAAACTTTGTTCCAGTAGATTCTTTCATGCAATCGAAACTTTTCTATTATTTCTGTTAGTCTTTTCTTTTGTGCTGGATCTTCTTTGTTATTTATGGCAAGCAGATTTATTTTGTATGACTGACTAATTAGCTCTTTTATTTTTGTCTCGAAATTATTCCTTTCCAAAATTATTGTTTTTTTATGTTTTAGAATGGCTATAGAGGTATCCAGCTTCATTAGTTTTAGCTGTAGTGTATTTTTTATTTTGCACATTTCTAATTCTTTATTATTAGCTTCTTCTGCCTCTTTTTTCTCACTGCCTAATCCATTATTGGTTATATTGGGTGTGGATTTACTATAAGGCATCTTTGTATTCTCTAAGTCTTTTATTGTATTCATCACTTCTACAATATACTTTGAAAGCTCTGGAATATTATTAGTGGTTAATTTAATGGAACTAAGCATGTATTCTATACATTCATTCATTTGTTCCAATTCTAGCAATATTTTTGTCTGATATATGTCTATTAGGCCAATTTGTGAATAAACTTCTTTTATTTTTCTGCTTAATTCAATTTTGTAGTTCTCATACGCAGTGCACAATAGACTTAAATAACTAGAATAGTCTTTTAACTGAGACATGCCCATAAAGGAAGCAAATAGACCCTCTTGAATGTTAGAGGTAAGCCTGGCAATAGAACAATTTGTCTTAAATAAAAAAAGACTTTTCTTATCTTTAAAACCACCGGCATAGTTAGAGCTCTCTTCCGACATGGTCTCTTCTAATAGTGGATTTTTTATTGTGGTTTTTTCTGGATGGTTTTTATCATCCGAACTTGCTATTACTGCGTTATACTGTATATACATAGCTAGTGCAATAACTGCCAAAAGTATTTTGAACTGAAGAATTTTCATAATTTTTAAAATACTAAAAATTTTATAGTTTATATAAAATCAAATTCTCCTTTATTTACATAAATTAAAAACTCCAATAGTTGTTTTCCTAAGAAAAAGCATTCTTAAACTTTGACCTTTATTGAATTTGTATACGTATTTACAGTCCGTATAAGCAATTTAATTTATGTTGACATATTGCGCCAACAACAATTTCTGATTTAATTTGTGCTGCCATGTTTATGTAAACATTCCGATAACTCATGTCGTGCTACACAAATGCTAGTCTTAGCATACAACAATTTAATTTTCTTTCTATATTTGCCTCTATGTACTATATACTTATAGAGAATATTACTTCTCTTTTATAACACACCACTGTAATATATTTCTATTTTTATATATTTGTTTTATAATTTTTGCATTTCTAGGAAATTAAATGAATATTTATTAGTATGAGAATATAGACAGAATTCATAATTATTAGATATAAAATTGTACTAGTATTTGAATTTATGTGTATACAAAATTAATTCTATTCATCACTATATGCTAGTATTGCAGAAGCACTTATTAAGCAAAGTTTCCAAATAATGATGGCGGGCTTAATTACAAATTTAATTTGGCACTTTTTTATTTCGGGTTAAATAGAAAAATTTAATTATTTTTTATGAATATATATTGGGTGATTAACCTGATGATCATAAGCAATGTATGGGGAAGACTAAAAATATCTGAGATCGAAAGCATACAGAGAGAAGTAATCCATAATGAAACAGAAGGAAGTTTGTTGATCAATCCGAAAGAGTCATTAAATCCACTCTTTGGCCGCATAATAGTCAATGGTGGGATTATGCAGAAAAAAAGGTTTCTCTCCCCTGAGATATATACAGAAAGCAAGATAGAAGTAGATCTTATAGATTGCATTGAAAACACTCTATATATAAACAGGAGGAATTATAAGATGGACAGAGTGCAAAGTAATTTATATACAAAAGATGAGCTAGACACGTATAGTAGAGAGTATTATACAACTCTTCTAAGGATGTTTCCATCCTCAAATGGGTCTTTGTCAATCAAAAGTGATCTATCCGGGTCATTTTATATGTTTCTTACAAATTTGCTAAAAAAAGAACAACAGCGCATTATTCTGTCTGCATTGCTGCTTCTTTCAGAAGGGATTCCTCTGCCTATGTCTACTGATAGAAAAGGGCGAGGAAGTGAAGTAGTTTTAACAGGGTTCGGTGAATCTGGCGATGCTCTAAGAGTTGGATGGGGACTGTTATGCAGCATACAGGAATCTAAAATATTGCCATTTCTGAGATTTGAGACGATTTTACCCGGAGAGAGCATAGATGTACTTTCATTTTTTATTACAAATACTGAAAAAGCATATAAAGAAAGACAAGAAATTAGTGAGCAGTGTGAATACAAAGACCTTACAACAGGGAGGTTTTTCAGTAGCATGCGCTGCCTTATACAGACGTACATATACGAATTTATAGAATCCAAGGAGGAGATGTCACTATTTATTAAAACAGTCCACGATATGTTGTATAAATATATGAAACACTATAAGTCGTCAAATTCTAGCTTGCCAATGCGGGCTAAAGAGATATTTCATAAATATTTTATCTCTTCATCCCAAGAGCCAACTGGAATGGCGTATATATCTGCTGTAAAGGTGGTAGAAGGCATTCTAAACAGAAACAAAATGGTGCCATTTGAAAACAAGAATTATGCAATGACAAATACTGATGTTTTAAGGAAAGAGCCAACACCCTCTTCTATATTATTTGGGTTATATTCTACTCAAAAAAAACCCGCAGAGTATACAAACTATGTGGAGACAGTGCTGCTAAATTTATTTTGCTGCTTTTTATACGACATGGAACAGCAAATCTACACAACCAAGCACCTGCCGCTTGCATCTCCACAGTTAAAGAAGTTCTTTGACAAATATATGTACATGTTCAAAGAGCCAACTGCGGAAATGCATAACGACTGGAGTAAGGTGGTTGAGAACCTGCAATGCAAAGAGATAAAATATGAAAAATTAAACCGGACAAAGATGTGCTCAGGTCTTTTAAACATACTGTATGCTATACTTGAAATAGCAGGAATGTATGAACAAGAGCAAAGCAACCTAAGTGGCCTAATACATAATATAAATAGAGAAAATGTTAGAAAGCTAAACAATGTAATTAGCCAAGATGTAACTAACCAAATATACTCATATCTAAAGTATTTATTTGGAACAATCTCAGTAAACAAAAATCTAACAATAGGTGGTGATGTATTGTTTTTAGACATAGATGATCAAAAAGTAGATGTATACGGATGTGTAGAAATAGTTTACAAAAACTATGCATGCACAAACTACGTGCCAATTATAATACAATCTACGGAATATTTGCAAAGCAGACCTTCAAACTCTTCTCCATGCATGCTTTTAGTGAATCGGATAACAAGAAACGACCCTTTAATGAGTCATGATATTAACATTCTTATGTGGAAAAAGGAAGATATTGCTAGAATGGGGGGCGGGGCTATCCAACACATGCTTACCTACTATATAAATATTATTATGAACAGCGGCAGAGCTATTGAGGAAAGTGTTATCCAGAAAAAAGTGACTAAGTTTATTAAGAGAAGAGAAGACATAAAGAACGATCTAGGAGTGTGTGTTAATGAGCTTCTTTTTGATACTATGCTCTGTGGAAGCCAGTATAAAGCAGATTTAGCAATGTACCTATTACTGCAGGCTGTGTATTTAAACCTGTCTAATGACCATAATATTATACGCTTTGTTTCTAATATAGTAGCAGAGTCTCCTATTGGCAATGATGATACACAATCCAACCTGTTTGCTTTCCTATACATGATTAGAATGCATAACTGCCTTCCTAATGTAAATCTTACTAGAACAAAAGCAGCATATTTAAATTGTTTCTTGCCTACAATGAAATCTCTTATAATATATGCATTGGATCTTAAATCGACTGCATTTATTTATGAGCTAGTAAGTGGATACGTAGAACTGAGTTCATTTGTATGGCCAGAGTGCCTGGATGATCTGTTTTATTCTATGGAAACCAAAGACCAACTGAATTTGCTTGTCTCCCTAACTGAAAACAATAGTACTGTAAGGCCACTTATGAATATTATAAGGTATATAGAAAAGCCAATTACTACTGAGTCATATACTGAAGATGACTATTTAACAGCAAAGAACACAGTTCTCTTAAGAATTATAGAACTATCTTGCCAAGATGTTAGTAGCTTTGACTATATTATAAAGGAATGCTTTAGAAACATTACAATATCTCCAAAGATTTCTCTTGTGTATCCCAGCACAGATGACTATAATTTCTCAAAATGCACTGCAGCAATATTCAGTTCCATTCGAAGTATGCTGGTTGTATCAGGGATGGATCGGATTAAATTTGATCGTATTCTAAGTGTGTATAATGGACTGGCAGAAGCATTAAATGCAAGCACAAATTTTAGTACAGATTGCCATAGCAGTACTACTGATTATCAGCAAAGTAGCCTGGCACGGCGTGTAGCCACACTGTTAGAGGAGAATAGGCAGAATCTTTCTCGGCTGCATGCCCATAATTATATGCCAAGTTCAAACGTTTTAAGCACCCCATATGGCTATAACAGAAGAAGAAGACTTTAGAACACAGAGTGAATGAATATGCTTTTAGCAATTCAGTTTCGCGCCTGCATGCCTACTGTCATAAGAGAAATAAGAATAAAGAGTTTCTTAACACACTGTATACCTGTCTTACAATTTGAATAACCCGAATTGTGTGTGATTATGAAATAATACTAAGTATTTTCGTATCCACCTTAATCATCTTATTTTTATTGCCAAATACGATTATATTAGTATAATAATGCATCTGTTTAAAGATTGCTTTTACAAATCTTCGGGTTATATCAATAGGCAGTAGGAAGCATATAGAAAGAGCATCCCAATGCCAAACATATATATTACTAGTAAAACCAATAGTACAAGTAATAAACTCTATTATAACCCGAAAATCTGCAGAGAGCTGCTTTATTTAAATACATAGTCAACACATTTAAACAAATCATCAGATATTTATTCAATTATACTGCTATATAACCACAGGCATAGTAGCTTCTAGCAACAGTTTGGGTTTAAACTAGTATGGCTGGCTACATCTTTATTGTGCTGGAAAATAAACTGTACACATCCTCTACTTCTGCTAGCACAGTTCTAAAGTCAACAGTATTGTCCATCGGCTTAAGAGAAATTACATTTTTATCGATTAAATCAGTAATCCCCTCAGATGCCTCGTCTATCCATACAAATTGCTGCATAATCGAATACTTCCATGCATATAGCTGATTCACAGCGGGTGCAACTATCTCTTTAAGAGAATACGGTATTTCGTATGAGCTCTTTATGCTCTCTATCTCTTCTTCTGTTCCACTGTACTCTGCTGTTATGTATGCTATAGAATACCCCTCTGGACACATTTCTTCGTCTTTCCCTATTACTAGAAGGAAAATACCAGGATGCCCTGGCAGCGCAAGCATCGCCTGCTTGCTCCTGGAGTTTGGCAGAGCTTTAAGTATGTACACCCCCCTAAGCGTGCATACCTTCTTGGTATTGACATCTGGAACAGTTGCATAGTATTGGTCATTTGCAATAATGAATTTGGTATACACAGTGTCTTTCTGTCCGTCTGTTTTTATATCAAGAATGTGTGCACCGTTCTTCATATCCATTTTAAGTATCTCTGTTCCCATCCTGGTTACTCCTCCTTTTACTGCAGACAGTCTTGCAAATCCCTGGGATATTTCGCTTATTCCATACTTTGGGTATAAAAAGGGCGAGTTTCCTCCTGTCTTTTCCCCATTTATTCTTGCTACACTTCTAAAGTATGTGGTAAGCCTGTGTATAAACTCAGACGGCTCGCTTTTCAAATACTCATCTGATGTGTACAGTGCTATTCCGTGCCCAATTATGGATCTAAGTGAATGTGATATTCCATAGTACTCATACAAATCGTGCACAGTTTCCCACTGCGCGGCCATAGACTGCTTTTCTCTGCTCTCCGCATTGTAGAATCCTTTAATCATACTCACAAACCGGTGCAGCTTAATTATTTGAAGCGGCCCACACAGCTTGCTTGTTAGTGCTGCTGTTTTTGTGGTTGGAATAAGAATTGGCTTTTCATCTTTTATAATGTACTGCTCTGAAATGATTGAAAACTCAATACAGTGGGCCAGATTGTGCTCTGCAATAATTTTAATTAAGCCCTCATCTGCTAGAAATATCTTTGGAGTTAGGTCTATGCATATTTTAGACGCTTCTTTTTCTCCAAATATATTTACAAACTGGGACTGCATCGGAAATTTGTTTGCCATTTCCTGCACAAAGTCAGTATATTGAATAGTTCTTGAGGAAGACCCATAAACAGGGGATGAATCCATTTGCATAATTTTAGCCCCTGTATTTGAGAGCAATCCCGCTAGAATGGACTCTTTAATCCCAGTGCCCAGAATAATTGCATCGTAAATTTCTTTTTCTGCCTGCCCTTCCATTGTTTATTTTTAAGAAAATCCCAAGTTTTCCTCATTTTTAATTATGCAAAATGATCAGCAGCATGAGCAACGGAGATCTTTTATATCTGAGCAATTAGTTAGATTTAAGAGATACGTAAGAGGAAGAAAATTACTTAAATACGCTCTTTTCGCAATAGGAACAATCGCGTCGGTTGTTATGATTGTTTTATACTATATATACTATATGATGAGGCCATTGGACCGAAAAGGAAGTGATCTTCCACCATCAAATGAACTAGATGAAATGAGAGAAAATAGTGCACAAAAGTATACACTGCCAGAATCCATACCAGCAGAAATGAACATCAAGGGCTTAAGCAATGTAGAGCCGGGCTCTGGTGAATTGGAGTGCAGTAACTTTCACTTGCATGCAAAAAATAATCTTAGCACTATTATAACAGAAATAACAGAGAAAATAATGATAGAGGATTTACTAAATGTGTATAAACAGAGTATATACACTCCCTCAAAAACATGCAATGACAATCTTTGTGGGAGATGCTCGGATTGCTCATTTTATGAGGATGAATCGCTCTATAATAAGCTGCTCAATTCTGTAAAAACATACCCGCAGAGTTTTATGTATGATACGACTGAAAAAATGACAGAATGTATAGATGGGATCAAGACACTGTACTCGAACTTCGACGAAAAGTACATGCAATTTTTAGCTGAAGAGATTGCAAATGATAGAATTCTATTCATCACACTAAGGATTACATCCCCAAACACGTGTGTTTCAAAGAAAGTGCCGTTTGTGTGTAGCATATTTGCAGAAGGGCTTAACTCATGTACTGCTCATAGATTTAGGCTGCAAATTGTAACCAAATGCGAGAAGCAGGAGTACATAGAGAAGCTTGAGGAGTATTTCAAATACATGGGATACAGTCTGCGCGCATCTCTTAAAGAAGCATGCAGATCTATATGCGGGCTTAAAAGAGGGGAGAGTGTAGAATTCTTATTCTCCATAGCAGCGCCTTCTCACATCAATATAAGTAATCTTTCTAGCAAAACCCAAAATATGACCACATGTGAATCTCAAATGGTTAACAGAAAGCTGCTTAAGGGGGCTAGAACTTCTATTTACACAATTAACTACTGCAACACAAATAAGCAGGAGTGTGCTGATGCCATTGGAAAGTATAAGCTGGCCCACTTCTTTTCCTTATTTGGTACTCCAAAGAAGAGAATCCAGAAGGATGAACTTTTAGTCGCATTCTCTGCCACCCCAAATAGATCAGTTGAAAGGTTCTATGATTCTGCATTAAAATATTTCAGAGAGCTAATTAGATTGCCAGGAAGAGAAAAGAAGAATCCAGACCAAGGAAAGTACTATGGAAGTGAAGAGGTATACGGCCTGAGCTTCTTGTCCTCACTATGCAGTTGGAATTATAACAAACGGCCAATTTCTATTAGAATAGTTGCCAAGAACAATAGCATTGAGTCATTTTCCGCATGTGGAACAACTCTATATGCACCATGCACGGTGAAAGAAGCTCTTATTCTAGCGCCTATTTTTGACCAATTTGTTATTCTTTCAAACACTGCAAGCTCTGAGTTTATACAAACTGCTAGAAACTGCTTACAGACCCTTGAGTACAAAAAGCCAGACAGTGCTATTGTAATAGATATTGAGCAGGAGAATGCACATATTTCTGGATACATTAGAGTATATAACCCAGAAAACCAGTTAGAGTTCACCAGTATATACGAATTTGATATGTTGATGGGGCTTAATACTGCACTAGAAAAGGACACTAAAGAGCCTTGGCTGTGCACATTTATGCAGTCCTTTGCCTTTACCACGTGTAGCTCAAAACCAGAGGAATCTTCTGCACTTGATGAAATTGTAACAGAACGAAAGTTTTTGGGTACCTGTAAGCCAGAGCTGTTAAAAGACCCCATGCATATAAAAGAATGCTCAAAGGACACACATGATGTGCTGGATGTTCTGTACGAGCATCTTTCAGATAGTAAAGTCGGCGCAGTAAAATGCTTATCTCTTCTTGTTGGAGAATCTCTATTCTTAAAGCTAGCAATTGAAAAAGAAGAAGCTGGGAAAAAAGAAGTTTACACTACATTCTATAACTATAAAAACAAGAACTTGGTTGATAATATCCGAAAGGCGCTCAAATCCAATGTGTTTTTCGGAATTTTCAATAAGAAAGACTTGGTTGCTTGGCGTGGAGTATCTGTTGCACACAACAAATATGTGGATACAATAGAAAACGCTTCGATAAATGTAGTTGACTATTTATACTACAGGTTATATTTCTTATCCCGGCCAATTTTAAATACTATTAAGAGAGACAATCTAATGGAAATAGCGCTGAACACAGATTCACACAAGATAGAAGATTCATTCTTTGAGTGGCTATCTGGCTTTGAACGATTCAAGACCCTGTCAATCTCGCATCCAATTGTTTTCATGCTCATGGAGTGCACAACCGGCCACTCTCTTAGCTTTAACATTGAAATGCTAGAGAAGAAGATTAAGTCAAAGGCAGAAGAAACCACCTGCAAGATATCCATCCAATGCGGAGCCTTTAAAGAAACACTTGACCTAGACTACATAGAGCTAGGAAAGGAAAGCTCCACCGCATCAGTTAATGAAAAGTCACTTCGACTAATACTCGCACAAATACTGAACCTCCCTTCTATTAAGGAGGACTCTACTGCATTTTTAAACATACTGGTTGAAACTTTCCCGCACTACCCTATTGCACGTGTCCTTGTAAAAGAATATGGTGCATACACCTCAGATGCATATCTTGGTGTGAAGAAGTTTAAAATCAATATTCAAGAGCTGAAAGAAAATGCAAAGATCTTTGCTAAAGAAACCGGCGATGTGTTCTCGGTGCAAACAGTGCCCAAAATTATTAATGGAAACATTGGAATCCTTCTTGCTATTGCATAAAACCATCGTGTGCTATTACTAATGTAATAAATGTACTTGGTTATATTCTTGCCTCTTTTATTTGAATCCTATTATTCTATATTTATTTCTTTATTTTTATTAACTGAAGAAAAACCCTTCACTATACTATGCATATTAGAAAAACATACACTTTTATTTTTATGTATAGAACACAAATAAGCAGAAAAGGCAATTATAAGAGGCAATTTCCCTCTAGAATATATTAAAAATATATATGTTATAATTTATGTACATTTTAACTGCTCTATGAATGGATCTATTATACGCCTGTTTTATAATGCTATATGGTGTATCTTCATATTGTTTATGCATTTTAATAGCTGAAAATAGTCTTAAAGTGTAAAGATAAATCTTAAAAACCAGTAACAAATGAAGTCAAATGTATTAAGTGTGATTTGTTTATAAATATTCTATATTCAAATCTTATATCAGATAAAGTGTTTAAATAGAAGAATTCTCTATAAAATAATGAGATTTTTTTTCACAGAAAAGAAAGCATATATAATAATAGGAAGTGTTTTGTTTATAGCACTTGGGCTGGCTTCAGCTACTATTTATTTTAAATCCCAGAAAAACAAAAAGGTAACTGAACCAGATAATAAGGATATAGCAAGAAAAGATGAATTAGAAAAAATACAAAATAAACAGGAAGATGCTGATAGTAGAGAAATAAAAAGCCAAATGGCTTTTAAAGAAAATTTACCAGAACAGGTGCATGCAAAAAAAGAAAGAAACACGAACACAAATGACATAGTTAGTGCTTCTATATCTGACTTACCAACCCCAAGCCAGAAAACTTCTGCATTGAATGGAGTAAAAAGTAAAAGAGCGCCTTATAACCCGAATAAGAGATTTAAAAGTCAACTTAAAATTGAAGTAACTAAGGATAACAATTTTATTGTCATAGATGATAAAAAAGTGGACAAAGCCACTAAAGAGACAAGAAACCGGTTAGAAAAAGAAAACATGTCTATAAAAGAAAGTAGTTTAGTAGATTTTAACGAGAAACCAGATTCCATTGATACCAAAAATGCTTCTCTACGGCCGAATAACCTCCAAGATTGTGCAAAGGCCGATGATGATGCATATATGTGCAATGAAGTATCTAAAATTAAATTTAATCCATTAATATACATGAAAGATGTAATAAACTCAATTCGCAACCCAGAAGAAATCATAGCGGAATCCTTTAACAAGTGCGTAGAATACACCATTTATGAATTTGTTTTTCTTCTTGGGGGGTCTATACAAGAAAGAAAAGTATTAATTTCCGAAATAGAGCGCGAGTGTACTACAAATAAAGTCAGTAAATACCAGTACATATTTGACCATCCAAAAAGTCAAATAACCAAAACAGATATAGTACAGCTAAAAATGTTTATAGATGTTCATGGGCCCAAAACATACAATGATGAGGAAGAAGCACTGGGCATACCAGAAGATTCCAACAACTTAAATCTTACAATGGGTGATGTTCTAGTGAGATTAAAGAATTATTATCATCAGGATAAGTTATTTTTGGATAACCAATTTATGGATATTTTTAATATAAGTAGCAATATAAAGAAAGTATTGGAATGCCTTCTAACCATTCCAGAAATAATACATGATTTATCCTATGTAATGTCTTTCAGTGTAATTAAGGCATCTATTACTCGTATAATGGATACGAAAGATGATAAACATTATCAGGTAAACAACTGGTTCTCAGCCAACAAAAACAATGTTTCTGGGTTTCTAATGCTATACTATATACTGACAACACTTAAGGAGATTGCAGAAATACACAAGCTATATTCCAGTGATTTTCAAGAACTAAAAAACAACAAAAATTATTTAACCCAAATTAAAGAAATTGGACTACGGCTTGAACATATTATGAGCGAAAGGGAAGCGTTTTATTCCAAGTATGCTGGTGAGTGTGATAGATATTATCTAATGGGTATAGATTTATACAATGCAATGTGCATAATTTATGAATCTACTCCATTCTTTGTATATAGCAAAGGAAAAGAAGAAAGTATAATTATTCACAATGACGAAACAAAGAAAGAAATTCCATATAATAATGACTCAGTGAGTACTATGGAACAAAATTCAGATAATCCAAACCAGGGCGAAATAATAGAAGTATGGGGGAAAAAGATTATAGAAGAGGAAAGACTTCTTTTATGGGATCATGACATAAAGAGTCCAGTGTTTGATAAGGATATAAAATGCTTAGTAAGCCAGTCAGAGATGCCATTTTTAATAGACAGCCCAGAAACCCCAAGTAATTTCGAGTTCTATTTTATAAATAACTCTGAGCAGAAAAGATATACTCACTACTTGCCGCGTAAATACGAAGACCAGCTAACTGCTACGGACATATTGAAATATGCTGTAGAAATGCACGGACTAGAGGAAAAATACACACATATAATTTTATATCATAAAAAAACTCGAAAATGGTCTAATGAAAGTGACAAACATAATTTTTCGTTTAAAAAGTTACTTGATAATGGTTTAGTTCCTTTTATATACTACATTCCACTATTTTCTGAAAATTTAAATAAGGAAAACCCAAATGAGAATGAGATGCTTTTTCTGGTCGAATTCACAACAGAAAAGCCTATAGTAGATGGCAGTATATTAAGAGCCCCCCTTTTTTTGAATGAATTGCTTTTTAAGAGTATACGTAATTTCAAGATTAGTACTGTCTCTCAGCTGTGTGCCAGTGGGGATTCAATCAATCCCCAAATAGTTAAATACAAGGAGATAGAGCCGATAAAACAATTAAATTATTTTGCCCCGCAGTATCCTTATATAATTGAAGTAATAGAAGATTTTTCTATTTATTCCGATATGTATGTGGACTTAGAGAATTCAACTATTACGTCAATTGATTCTCTAATCTCTTCATCTGCACATGCTAAGTTCTTCTTTGATTTCAGGAAAGAGTATTTAAATAATTACATTGCTCGAATTCCTTCAATTTGGGGATATTCAAATGTATATAGCACGAAAGAAGGAAACAAACTAAAATATGACTCCTTGAAAAAATCGCCAAATCTAGGCGTGCAGATTATTGTTACACAGGATGCAAATTCAGATCCAGAAACAGAAAGCGACAATAAAAGTATATATTTTTATGGGCGCAGTCCATCTGGGAAAAAAACACTTTATGCATATTATAAGCAAAATAAGAAAATGCACATGGCGCCTTTTGAAAGCTTAAAGCAAGAAAAAATGAAAAACGCAGATATTTTGCACATGCGGTTGGAACCCAAAAGGCATAAATTTATATCAAATTCCAAACTATGTTGTGATTTATTGATAAATCTTATGAGTAATTAGGTATGCCAATAAATCATCGTAATTTTATTTTTATTTCCTATCGTCACAGAGTTATTTCTATACAAATATTTATCTTAATTAAATATATTTTAATCTCTTCGGCTATTCATTAGAAAAGTTTTCAGCCAGGTATAGAAAATCAATAGTTCTTCTTTTTTAGTTTAAAACACAATAGTTCATCTGGCACGTGATAATTTCTTCTTTCTAAAATCATAAGAAGAAGTATAAATTGTCTACTAATTGCTATAACAAAAGATATTATATTTTCTCATTGTAAGCAATGCCTGTTTATTGTATATAGAAACTCTACGAGAATCTGTTTAATCATAAATTTTGTGAACTTTAATCATGATTTATTCATATTGAAATCAATCTTACCCATGGTATGTAATTATTATCATGGTTCCTAGTAAGATAGGAAGTAATTTGAAAACACTGAATGTTCCTAGATATACTATTGAAACCAGAACAGACACTGTCGCTAAAAATAGGCACAGCGCAGTGTATGCAAGATTTAACAAGTATATTTTTTGCATTGTGCCAATTCTCTGCAATATACGCGCATTTTGGCTTGCCTTTTGAAATCTCTGGAATTCATAATATAGATACATTGCGTATAACACAAAGAGCAGAATGCAACCGCTCATAGCATGCATAAACATTCTTGGATTCATCAAGAATTTTCCTAGTACTATTAAGATAATATAAGTTCCAGCGTATATAGCCGCACCCGCAAATAACAGGCTAATTATACACATGGCTGCATTTTCATATACTATGCCGCTAGTAATATATGCCTTTTGTATTATTTGAACAGATATAACTATAGGATATATGAAAAAATAACCCATTTTTAAAAAAACCAGAAGTATAAAATTAAGTATACAGATAGCACCAGATGCGTTATTAGAAATTATATGAATTTCCACTGCTTTAAGATATCTAACAAAAAATGAAGTGTATAGAAAACTAACAGACGCAAAGACTGAAATCGCTAGTGGTATATAAATAAGCTTGATCATTGCGACAGCATAAGCAAGATTTTTATCAAGCATAGTTGAATTTTCATTTGAAATACTATGTGAAATCTGATTTGTTTCGTCTACTTGGTTTTCATAGTGCGTTGATTGTGTTTCATTATTCACAATGCCTGTATGTGCTTCTTCTACTGGATATTCTTCAGCATGGGCGCTCTCTACTTCATTTGGCTCGCTATTTTCTGCAGCATTTTCCAGCCAAATGTTTTTCTCCAGCTGCTCTGCATATGGGTGAGTATCTAATAAAGCATCAATTGCCTTGAAAAGATCTATGATTCTATCATGAAACACTTGAGAGACAAGTGTTTGATGCGTATTTGATTTTTGCAACAGTTTGTTTAATAACATCATATAAAGTTGCAAAAATATTCTATATATATAGGGGCAGCAACCGCCAATGAAAAATATATTTGTGGTGACACCACCACTCGGACGGGAGCCCTTGAGAGCGATCCGTCTGCGCGCCAGCTCGCGCGGTGATCCCGCCAAAGCAAAGGCCGGGATCTCTGAAGCAGTATATCAACTTCCGACTATTTAACCGGAGCTCTTTCCCTAATTTAGGGGGAGACTCAGGGAAGCATCGAAGGCTTAACTTCAGCGCCAGGCCTAACACAACTGCGCCCGAGACTCCGTGTCCGCGCAGGCTTGGGCCGCTTCCTAAAGACAATAAAGAGCGCTCCCCTTTCACTTTCTTCTCTCTCTTGGCTACATAGCAGGGTGGCGGTGGCGCTACTACTCATGAGTACGTCAATATTCTACTATACAACAGAGCCGTAACTGCTTTTTCCATTAGAGATAAGAAGATATGAAGACTTAGCAAAAGAAAAACAGTTTATGCAAACTAACTACTATATTAAGAAACCCAAATTCAATTTAAGTTTGCCCCAAACACATAATTTCTAGAAACAAAGAAAACAGATAAATGCAATAGAAAGTCAGTTTCTGCTACAATACTTTTGGATAAATGGGAAAGGAATATGATTTATTTGTTATTTCTAGAAAAACTTGTCAAACTGGTCAAACATTGAAGAAAATCCTGGTGGCATCATCTTTTTCAGTTGGTTAATCTGTGACCGTGCTGCATCTGGCGTTATATTCTTGTCCATTGCGCCATTCTGCCCGCCCAGCAGGCCTGCAAACATTGGGTTTGAAGATATCTTTTGGAACATCTGGGCCATCATTCTATAAGTGTTTATTGCATCCCTCACCTGTGTTGGTGTTGCACCGCACCCCTTTGCCACTCTAATGAGTCTGGGCAAAGATCTAATAAAAACCTCGCCATTGGTTTTAAGCTCTTTCTTTGTCATTGCAGTAAAGATAACTCCCATTTTTTTAAACTCCTTTTCATTGAACATTGAGCTGTTCATTCCTGGGATCAGAGAAAGAAGCTGCCCAATTGGGCCGAGCTCAAGTATTTTCTTGTACTGGTCGTAAAAGTCTCCAATACTGAACTCTCCAGCTTTGATCTTCCCAATAAGCTCCTCCTGCTTCTCTGGAGAAATATTAAGCCCTTCAATCTTCTCTGCAAAGCTAGAAATGTCTCCTAGCCCCATGAGCCGGCCAACAAACCCCTTTGGGTTGAAAGATTCAATCTGAGTCATGCCCTCTCCAGTACCTATAAATGCCACAGGAGTCTTTGTTTCTGCAACACTGCACAGCGCTCCTCCGATGTTCTTGGTTCCGTCTGTTTTTGTAATAATCACAGACCCCAGCTTGACTCGGGACATAAAACTTCTTGCGTGAGTCTCTGCAGTCTGCCCAATTGAAGCATCCACTACAAATATCGTTGCTGTTGGGTTAATTGCCTCAACAATCTCTTCCATCTCCTTAAACAGCTCGCCTTCTTGGGTATGCCTTCCACTTGTGTCTACTAGAACCAAGTTACATCCGCTCTCCTTCAGCGCGCTTGCTCCTGTTTTAGCTACAACAGCAGGATCTACCGAGCTGTCCGATATAAACACCTCGATGTTCATGCCCTGCACATTCTGCTTGACCTGCTCGTATGCGCCGGCTCTAAACGTATCTGCGCAGACTATGCCCACCTTGAACCCCCTTTGCTTATAATACTTTGCGTATTTACAGCACGTTGTTGTCTTACCACTGCCTTGCAGCCCCACAAAAAGAACTGTTGAGACCTCTTTCTTTTTGGGCTTGAATGGCTCTTTTCCAGAGTCCATTATAGCACAGAGTTCTTCAAATACTATTCTTTGAAGCGCCTTTTCTTTTGCTGACTTTGTCGGAATCTCATGTGGCTTGAACCGTTCTAGAATTCTCTTTCTTACATTTAGAACAACTCGCGTATTCACATTAGACCCAAGTAATGACGTTGTAATTTTTTTTATTGCATCGTTCAATTCTTTCTCTCCTTCCTTGGACCCAAAAAATCCATGCAGTGCATTGCTTATCCCAGCGCCTAAGTCCGACAGCATTTCCTTTTAACAAAAATTATTTATTTTTATGCTAAGAATTACTTTGTTTATTGGCTGGTGTAAATATGCAAATTATTTCTGAAAAATAAATAAATAAAATGACAGAAAATACTAGAATATTTCCCTTCCAGAATATTTGTGTTATTAAATTGGCCATTCGTATAGAACAAACTAATATCTAAATTATTTTTTTATAGGGCATGGACTTTAGTAAAGAAGAAGAGAGAATACAAAAGTATTGGGAGTCAATCAAAGCATTTGAGCTGAGCAACAAGCTTAGCAAGGGGAAAAAAGAATTTTCATTCTATGATGGGCCTCCATTTGCAACAGGTCTACCGCATTATGGGCATATTTTATCTGGCACGATAAAAGACACTATAACTCGATTCTATTATCAGCAGGACTATCACGTAGAGAGAAGGTTTGGCTGGGACTGCCACGGGCTTCCTATTGAGTATGAGATCGACAAACTGTACAACATAAAGACCAAGCAGGATATTGAGAAAATAGGAGTGAAGCAGTACAACAACTACTGTAGAGAAATAGTCATGAAGTATTCTGGGCAGTGGGAGTCTATTGTTGGACGAATGGGTCGGTGGATTGATTTTAAAAACGACTACAAAACCATGGACTTTAGTTTTATGGAGAGTGTATGGTGGGTGTTTAAGGAGCTATACAAGAAGGGAATGGTATACAGGGGCTACCGAGTGATGCCTTACTCTACAGCTTGCCGAACCCCCATGAGCAATTTTGAGGCCAACCAGAACTATAAGATTACAACCGATTTAACTGCAACTGTTAGGCTGCCTCTGCAAAAGGCCGTGGTTCTGAATGGGACATCGTACACAAATGTTTCATTCCTTGCCTGGACCACTACTCCGTGGACGCTTCCAGGGAACTCTGCGCTAATGGTAAATCCAGAAATGGAGTATGTGCTTATGCAGGACAAGACGCCAGACGCGTATGTGATTGTAGGAAAGTTCTTTGCTAAGAAGGCCAAGCCAGTGGAAGTGTTTAAGGGAAGCAGTATTTTAGGAATTGAATACAGCCAGCCATTTAATTACTTTGAAGATAGAAGAAAGAATGGCTACTTTAAAACATACCCTGCCGAGTTTGTAGTGGAGGGCGCAGGTACTGGAATAGTTCACTGTGCGCCTGGATTTGGTGAAGAGGACTACAACGCCTTTGTTGTAAACGGGATTATAAAGGAGAATGATGAGGTGGTGTGCCCGGTGGATGAGAGTGGTATGTACACTGCGCAGGTCACAGACTATGCAGGCAGATACGTTAAGGAAAAGGAGCTAGAGAAAGAAATACTTAAGTATTTAAAGGACAGCTCTCTTCTTTACGAGACCACTTCAATTGACCACAGCTATCCATTCTGCTGGAGATCAGACACACCGCTTATTTACAAGGCAGTACCCAGCTGGTTTGTGCATGTGAAGGGCGCAGTAAAGGACTTGTGCGAAATGAACAAGCAGATCAACTGGAGCCCAAAGGCCGTTGGAGAGGGAAAGTTTGGTCTGTGGCTGGAGAATGCAAGAGACTGGTCAATATCAAGAAACAGATACTGGGGAACTCCAATACCTATCTGGATCAGAGAGGGAGCAGGTGCAAACCTAACAGAAGATGACATCATTTGCATAGGGTCTGCCGAAGAGCTATTTGAGCATACTGGAATAAAGACGACAGATTTGCATAAGGATATAGTAGACGAGCTGGTTATAGAGAAGAATGGCGTGAAGTACATCAGAACCGAAGAGGTACTTGATTGCTGGTTTGAAAGTGGAAGCATGCCGTACGCGCAGAAGCACTTCCCGTTTGAAAACGAAAAGCGGTTCCAGATGACCTTCCCTGCCGACTTTATTGCTGAGGGGCTTGACCAGACAAGAGGATGGTTTTATACGCTGCACGTGCTTTCTGTGCTTCTGTATAACTCCCCTGCCTTTAAGAATGTGATGGTGACAGGCTTGGTGCTGGCTGCTGACGGAAAAAAGATGAGCAAGCGGCTGAAAAACTACCCAGACCCAATGGAAATCATGAACGAGCACGGTGCAGATGCAATGCGTCTCTATCTGATCTCATCAACTGCAGTCAAAGCCGAGAATCTGAAGTTTACTGAGGCAGGTGTAGTGAGCATTGTGAGGGAGCTTCTCATTCCATGGCAAAATTGCTTAAGATTCCTTAAGACAACATCATGCGCGGCTATTGAGGATACAACTGGGTGTGATGTAGAAGACATTGCACTAAGCGTCTCAAGTATGGAAGTAAAGGTGGATGAAGGCGACAGTGTGCTGGATCTGTGGATACTCCAGGAGTTTAAAGAGTTCTCGCAGGCTATTCAGAAAGAAGGCCTTGAGTACAGGCTGCACAATGTTCTTCCAAAAACCATTGAGTTCTTGGGAGACTTGAGCAGATGGTACATTAGGCTGAGTAGAGATCGCTTGAGGAACACTGAAATGAAGGTTCTCAGGCATATTTTGAAAGGATTTTCAGTCATTATGGCGCCTTTTGCCCCATTCTTTAGTGAGGTGTGTTACCTGGAGGTAGCAGGGAGCGGAGAAGATCTATCAAAACACGAGGCATCCGAGCCAGCGAAGCAGAAAGGCTTTGAACAGAGTCTTTCAGTGCACTTCCAGATGTACACTGCCTGTATAGAAAAAACAGAAGAAGAAATTTTGAGGCTTTCCAAGCAGTCAAAAACAACTTCTCTAGAGAAAATTCTCACTGATTTCAGAAAAATGAAGAGCGTGATTGAGACCGTTCGAGTAATCAGGGAAAAGTGCGAAATTGCACTCAAAATGCCGCTGAAAGAGATTTCTATTGTAGGAATGGAAAACTCTCCAGTGCTCACCCGGATTTTAGAGAAAGAGTCCAACTCGCTGATGGTAAGCTACAAAACAGAGAGTGACTATGAGTGGAAGAAAGAGATTGTTCCCGACTTCAAAGCTATCAGTACACTCTTTGGAGGAAGCGAAGTCAAAACAAGGTCATCTGCAATAAGAAAATGCGGAACAGACCAGGAGCTAATCTCCAAGCTTCTTTCCAATGGAAACGTGCTATGTGATGGAGTGGAAATAACCAGAGACGAGGTCATTTATAAGCGAGAAGCAGTCAATCTCTCCTCTACACTAAAAGGATCATCTGCATCTGATTTAATATATGTGGTAATTGAAACAGAGAAAAACAAGGAAATAGAAGACCAATGGATAAAGAGAGAGGTAAAGAGCTCAGTCCAAAAGCTAAGAAAGAAGGCAGGCCTCTGCATCAACGACAGAGCCTCAATACATGCAACAGGAATAGATAGTTCTGATATAATATGTGATGTGAACACGCGTGTTGTGTCTAAAGAGTTAGACTCTCCAGTGTGCGAAATTCTTAATCTAGCAGGAAGGAAGATTGTTTTATCTTTAGCTAAGGAAACAAATGTTTAAGTGTCTGTTTCTTGGAATAAAATATGATATTGAAATATATTTACTATGTTCTCTTTTATTTTTAAAACAAACCCATTCACTATAGGAAATATAAGAATAATACTACTGAATGGGTTTTTTCTAAACATATCTAATTAAGAGATAAATTATTCTAAAACAAATCATAAACAACATAATAAACAGTTATAACTCCATAGAAATAGCATTACATACAAAAACCCTTTTATATGTAAGTATTCATTTATACTACTTTATACACATATAGTGTATTAAACAGGAATTTAAATAGGAAAAAAGAAATATATTTAACTCATATAATAGCCTATATTAAAGAGAGTCAAAGAAACAAACAATCATTAAACAAATAATTATATTGCAGTAGATATAATGCATAGAGAAAGAACCCCGAAGTATAATTTTGAATTATACTTCGGGAAAATATAATATATAGCAAAATAGGGCAGAAATATTTTAGAGTGAAGTAAATCCAGAATTAACTCAAAAATAAATTTCGGGTACTTAAAGGATTTATTGTATGCCTATGTAAAGGTGTTTAATTATAAATTCATTCTTAGTATTTATTTCTGTATAAATTTAAGATTAGATTGGTTTTAACTATTTGAACACCTTTTTCGGGTTACATAAAATAAATATAAGAAGATGCACAGATTCCATATACACAATATTTTGCTATACCATGCACATATGATGCTTTATTTTCAGGGATAAGAGTGTTTTTGCAGCAGATAGACTCTTATAGTATAAAACTATAAAAGTGTAAAAATAGAAAATTTATAAATGGATGGAATATCAGATGACAGAACTGAAAGAGCTCAAGTAGAGTCACTAATAAAGCAGATTATTACTTTGGAGGAAGACATGTATAAGGTACAGGAGGAAAACAGAGCACTAAAAGAGAGCATTATTGCTTCTAACAGAAATATTTCAGATGAAATAATACGCGCACTAACACAGGAAATATCGAATTTGCGGCAGGACATATTAAATAAGCCGGAGGCCAAACCAACCATTGGATGCGTGTCATGCGCATCCACTATATCTACAATTAAAACAGTGCCGAACGAGTTTAAAAAGATGCTATACAATATAGAGCAAGAAATTAGCCGGGTTCTAACCATTGCATACTCTCAAAGCAGCACGATTCAAGAAAAGAATAAGCAATTAGAGCTGTATGCACAGATAAATGCCAAATTAATGCACATAAAGGACCATTATATGAAGTCAAGAAATCTTTAAATGATTCTGGCTGCACGGGATGTTTAGATAATAAAGGTAAATGCCACAGTATAAAATCCACTATTTATTTTACACGCCAATATTGTTTAAACGGGCTGTATACAGTAATAAATTGGGCCGTATGTAGTATATAACAAAATTTGAATTTCGGGATATTCTATATATATTATGCAATACTATATACATTACTGCCTATGGTTCTAAATACAAATTATCTCTCTGGCGCTAGGGATTAAAATGCACCAATCAAAAACTTACGCAATTTCAGGTTATATCGGGTAGATGTAAAACACCCCAAGACAAACTGGAGCACAGCTAGCATACTAGAATTATACTAGCACTGAATTTTACCCGGGGCGCATGTAGTTTTTTTTCGGGTTCGGGTATATTTCTATTTATTTTTTTATTGGAAAGCGCATGGATACTCTTATGAGCATGCAATATGCTGATTATGCACTGTACGTATACATAAGACACATTATCAACAATAATTCAAATTATAATTCAGAATATTTTACATCTTTAATATATAGCTTAAAGACTAAAATAGAATCTAAAGAGTATAAAGAAGAAGAATTATTAACGAAGTACATTTTATTCTTAGTGCATCATAATATCTTTAAAAGCTATTACACTCCAAGCATACATCGCAAGTTCTATAAAATATTTGAATATTTGAAAGAAGTAAAACAGTTAAATAGTTTTAAAAGAGTCATTCTGTGGGGATACAATCTGCTGCTAGGAAGAAAACAAGAGGCGGAAAGGTGTTTAGAGATAAAAGATCAAGATATATCGGCAAAGATAGAGCTAACGTCAAACACAACCAAGGACAAGGATACAATAATAAGTGAAGAAGAAAGAAAAAAGTACTACAATGAGTTTACAGAGAGAATCACACAAGAAACAAAAGAAATATTTTCTCTATTAAGCGTTCCACTGCTGTGTATAGACAGCAAGCCAAAGTCAATAAATACCGTGGTTGAAGATATAATATCATATAAACTATTGGCTGAAGAGGAGATTGAAGAAACTATTAAAGAAAATAAATCTATTTTACAAATGCCGGAAAACAAAGAAATAAAGAAAGAGAAGAAAGAAAAAGAAGAAATAAGCTTTACAGAAAGATATAAGCAAATAAACATAGAGTCTTTGCTAAACACGGATGTAAAAGGTGTAGAGGTTAAATGGGATGAAAGTGAGTTTGAGGATAAGCCAGAAGAAGAGGTGGATTCTTACACATACATCATAAATAACAGCAAAAGAGCAAAGAAAATATGGACGCTAGAGGACACAAATAAGCTTATTATGACACTCCAGAAGTGCGGCACAGACTGGCAAAAAGTACAGAGCGCGTGTGGTTTCAAAAACACAACAAAAGAGCAAATTATAGACAAGTACAAAAACCTTGTAAAGGCAAAGAAAATGGAAAGAGTAAAGAAAAAGAAGGATCTATAAGATTTAGGGTTATTTCGGGTTACTATAGGAAAGTGTAAATTAGTACTGAAAGAAGAATATACCATAGGTAAAGAGTTTTATTCCAAGCATAAAATGCACTGGGTGCTCTATTAACCCTAACCCGAAATAAAATGCAACCACCCCGAATCCAACCCGAAATAAAATGTGTCATTGGCCAACTATTAATCACGACAGAGGACACGGGGCCTCACAGAATTCAATAAATAGTGATGTTTTGATGGGATTAATAGTGAAGCGTTCAAATAACCCGAAATACAAACAGCCCTAACCATTAATAATTCCGAATGTAAATTAGAATATATTTATTTTGGATTTATTTCGGGTTATACACATGCTAGAATTTCGGGTTATAAAATTTACCCCAGAAGATTTTATTATTACTTTTTTTTATTTTATCTCTAAGTCGTCTTTAAATAGTAAAGAAAGTGTCTCGGTTTCTATTTCTCTTCCCTGCTGCTCTATTCTTTCTTTTACTTCCCTTTCAACATAAGACATCTTTTCTTTAATTTGTGTTATAATACTTGGCAACTTCTCTGTTATTTCATATACAGTGTGCTTTATTCTATCTATCTCTTCTTCGTTTTCTGGAGTGTAGTCTGCGCTCTGGAAGGGTGCCTTCTCAGACAATTTTTCCATTATTTCCTTATAGTTATGCTCTATTTCTTCCTTTAGCGTGTGCGGCAGTTCTCTTCTTAGCTCACACAAAGACTTTAGACTGTTTGTTTTACTTTTTTCTGCCTCTTCCACTTCTAATATTAATTTAGCATGCTCTTTCTTTCTTTCAAGTCTTTCTTGGGTTATTTCTCCTATGTTCATCTGCTCTCCTTGTATTTCTACATTCTTTAGGAATAGATTCTTTATATTTAACAGTACATTGAGCTCATTTTGTGAATATTTAGAGGTTTCTTCTCCTAGAATCTCAGAGAAGATGCCTTCGAACTCTTCAATGCTTTCTAGCTGAACCTTCATAAATATTTTAATATTTTATAGCTAATAAATAAGCAGGCAGTAAAATTATATAAAGAGTAGAAATGCAAAAATAAAAAAATAGTTTACTTACTGCGGGTGAGATAGAACAACAAAAACAAGACATGATTATCTTAGTATAACAAATTCGAAAACACTAGATATAGAAATATAGTATACAAATAGATATAAGAGTGCTATGGCATGAAGATATATTATGAGGGCCTAAAATAACCCTAAAAAGCTAGATTGTTTAATGCAATATGCAGTATGCACTAAAACAATGAATATATAGGTCTAATCACTAATTGTTATACTTATCTATTTTATTCTAGTTTGTATATTATTAAGTATGTGCTTTAGTGCCTCATTGTGAACACTTTCTTGCGTACCAGACCTAATTACTTCGTGTGTATATAAGTGCAACAAGTCTTTCATTGTAGTATAAACTTTCTGCTGAAATTCTTTTTTTTCATATACTTCCTCACCATATCCCTCTCTGGTAGCCGCGATCTCTGGAGATACATCTAAAAATAAGGTTAGATCAGGGAGTTTAATTCCTTTATCCGATGCAAATGCGAATTCCTTTGGTATTCCGTTTGCGATAGAGTAAGACTGGCCTGATAGAACATATCTATCACAGAGTATTACATTGTAATCAGAAAGTTCTAGTAACTCTTTATCCTCCCATCTGTTTGCAGAGAATAACAGATGTGTTACTTCTTTAGGAAATGCTCTATGCCCTGAAAGTATCTCAGAAATTAACTTCCCTGTAAGATTGTTTCTGTTTGGATAATTAAGTACTTTGGTGGATATTCCTTGGGATATCAAAGAGTTCTCTAATTTTTTTATCAGAGAAGACTTGCCGCTTCTGTCTATTCCTTCTACTACTACAAAGAGAGAGGCCATCCCGGTAAAATTTAAAATAATAAAATACCACCCAATGCTATAGTATAAGAAGTAAATGAATGTTATTAACTATACATAAAGTAGAAATAGAGAGCAATACCAGTATATTATTGTTCAATACTGCAGGATTAACTAACGGGTTCCTCAATATAATCCGAAAAAATCACCCATTATAGAGTTAGTGGAAGGTCTGATTTTAAGTCTAGGAAGTCAAATAGGTCTTCTTTATACTGGACCACTAGTCTTTTATCGCTCTCTTCTAAAGAGTTCTTTATTGCTAGCTCTAACAGGTCATTCACTAAGGTTCCACCAGTACTTTTAAGTATTGCCTTTTGGTACATTTCTATTGCATCGCAGTACTTCTTTTTTGTGTGGTATATGTATCCCTGCAGCAGGTAGTACTTGCTCTGCACCTTGTTATCATACGAAATATTTACACCAAGCAATGCGGACTCTGCCATATCCAGGTCATTTAAGAATATATAGCACATAGACTTAATTAATGCTCTCTCACCAGCACACTCTCTTTCTTTAATTAGCTCTAATACCTCTGCATACCTTTTCTCCATAATAAGCAAAGACAAATATGGGTTCAAACACACTTCAATACCAAACCCCTTATTCACTTCAAGATACTTTTTCTCTGCTTTTTTATAGCTTTTCATCCGATGGTATTCCAGAGCAATTCCCAGCGATGCCATAAAGCTATTTTCCAAAAGAATTTCAGCTTTTTCATAGCATGTTATCGCATTATTCCCCTCACACAAGAATCCCTGTGTGTATCCTAAAAGTATCCACCCAATCCCATATGAATTGTTCAGCTGCAGAGCTTTGAATAACGCCCTTTTACTATCGCTATATTTGCCCACTAGAATGTAATACATGCCTATGGTGATATATGTAAGATAGTTGGACTTATACAAAGCAGACATGTACTGAGATATCTGGAATAGTTCACTCACCTGCCTTTGATTAAACAGCCTTCTGGCCAATACAGCACAGGTAAATGGGCTGTGGAATGTTCTAGAAAACAGCGAGAAAGTAGAGGTGGTCTCTGTGATATTTTTAAACAACTCTTTCAGCTCAGGGGTATGCGCATAAACTATCTCCTTTGAGTTAATTACGCAGTACAGAAGTACTTCAAAATTTCTTTCATCTATTTTCAAGGCAGAGATAAAGCACTCTCTTGCTTTTTCTGGATTTCTATGGATAAGCCCCTGGTAGTAATGTGATAGCGAATGTATAGAAATCGGCGTGATATCTACAGGAGGCACCAAACCTATTTTTGTTTCTGAAATAGTAAATTGCTCAATTTCTGAGAGTTCTCCCAATCTTTTCATTACTTCTATGTATATTATCTGCACTTCTGTATAGTCAAAATACTCTCTTCGCCTGGTTATAAGCCATTTGGCTGCCTCATATTTTGAGAAAGCCATGAGAGCAGTAAGAAGAAGAAGAAAGGCCTCGGGCGAGTCATATTTTTTGAATATATATTCCCCCAAAACAATTGAACTTTCTTCTAAGTTAGACGCAAGACAGGCATAGAAGAGTTCTCTTTCCATAACAAAAATAAAATATATTCTAATATAGAGAAATAGACTAATATTAGAACAAAAATAGAACAAAAATACAAAAATATAGCACAGCCATCTCAACAATACAAGAAAATACACAAATGACACCAGAATCAATATAATCAGAACGTATAGTATGACAAGCAATTAGATATATACATGATTCGGGTTATATAGTATTTATATATTCTCAATTAAAGTAATTAAGTATGTGCACTATACAGATGGAGTACAACTAAATTTTAATTTATTTCGGTCTAGTTAGTTAGTTTAGAGTATTTCACATTTATGTCTAATTTCGATTTGGATATTTTATTTTAAAAAAACATTTTATTTCAAGATCTGCTAATAATAAAACTTATAAGGCCAGTTATAATGTATAATATTTTTAGATACTAGATAACCCGAAATTCAATCTTATATGATAACCCAAACTTCAAATAACGAATTATTTAAACTAGTATGGTTTAAATAAAGGCGAATAAGCACATACATTAACAAACTGTTTTTAATTAAAAATGATTTGTCTAAATAACAATAGCCTATTTATGAGTGTGCTATAAAATACTCCTACTGAAAATTTTTCTAGAAATTTTACTGATTTATTTAAATTATTTTTTTTGCAAAAATAAAATGACTAACAGCTTATTAGTAATGCAGAGAAGTCCATATGAATTAGGATATATAGAGTGGGGTTCAAATAATATCCTTCGCGCAGTATTAAACTTTACTGGAGAATTAAAGAGTCTTTTCCTTTTAAATGATTCTCCTAAAGAAGATGCATCTAAAAAAGATAATGAAAAGAAGAATATGATTTCTATTAACAGACTTGGTTTGGTTGGGGCTGGTATATTATACGCTTTGCTAGAATTATTATATTCATTTATATTTAATGGAATATATTTAATTGAATTAAAAGCTAACAAGTTCTTAGATGAAACTGTAGGATCTATACAGTTTTTCGAGCCATTTTATAAGTGGATAGTAGTATTTTTGAGCTTCATTATATTATCAGCACGAGCTGCTATCTCTGTGTTTACTTTAGATATATGGAGAAGATCGATATTGTTGATTCATAGCAAATCTAAATATATCATGAGAGATACTGTGATGTTTTTTGCAACAATATTTGTAAGCAACATTGCTGGTGGTTGGCTTTATAATAATATTATGCTAGTTTTGAATCATCTAGAAATTGCTGCAAATTATAGAAACATAATTAGTATAATAGTATCAGTATATATGTCCTTGTTAGTGTATAACATTTTCCGAAATACGTCTAAGAAAATATCATACTACAACATATTTATTATTTTACATTGGTGCATTGTGGGTCTATTATATTTTGCATCTCTTATATGCAAAACTAATCCAAATGCTAAAGTATTTCCTTGGTCTTCTTCATACTACAATTAGATATATAATGCCGAACCTTATATCAATAATGTTGTATGCTAAGAATAGCATTTGTTAGCATGACATGAGTTATTGTAATGTTTTACATAAACATGGCAGCTCAGACTAGATCAGAAATTATTGTTACACAACATGGCAACATAATTTAAATCGATTTTACGGCCTATAAATACGTATACAAATTCAATAAAGGTCAAAGTTTAAGAATGCCTTTTCCTAAGAAAACAACTAATAAACTGTTTTAAACTAAAAAAATATAATGCCAAAGAATAAATAATTGTATTTTTAATAAATTATCTTTATATTTATACTACATATTTCTATCAGATATTTGCACGTATTGATTTTATGCCTATTGTGGTAGTAACTATTAATACATAAATCATATTCAATACTATACTCCAATAGTCAGAAATCATTTAATAAAAATAAAGGTGACAATAATAGTTCAAATGTATTTCGGGTTATTTCTAACAGAAACTTACAGGAAGAAATATAAAAATCTATTAAAACATTTTTTCTGATATCCAAAGTTATTTAATTTATTTTTAATGCAAAAAATAAATGGATCAATGTTTAATAATAAAACGTAGAAATGTATCTGAAATGTCTTGCCTAGAGCGGATTATGAAGACAATTTCACACGGTATAATAAACTTAGGAAACACATGCACAAATTGCACTCTTTTAAGTATCAATCAGAAAAGAGAAGAGCCTTCCAAAACAGAAGAAAAGCGTGGCTTCATACACGGACTTTTTATGCCTATTTTAATATACATTGCTATAATTTTAGGGTTTTTACTCATATTTAATGGTGTATATAAAATTGAAAGAGAGTCAATTAAGTTTATATCCAGCACTGGGGCTAGACAGTCTTTTATGCTATCTTGTGTTAGAGGGATATTAAGATTATGGGTTTTTTTCACCAAAGTTTTACTTCGAGTTTCACTTGTAATATTTACTTTAGACATATGGAGAAAAGCAATCTGGTTTACATGGAGAAAATCTAACCGCTTTATATTAGATATTTTATTGCTTTTTATAGTATTAATTGGATGTCACTTTATTGGTTATTGGATGTTTAATAGTTTTATATCAGACATAGCCCTTCTAAAGTTCACTGGTAATTATAAAATTCTAAATAATGCAGTTCTAAATGTCTACCTATCATTTGTTTGGGGATATATGTGTAAGATATTATGCAAAATTTACCTGAATTCTGCCAAGAAAATATCAACGTATGATTTTGTTATTGCTGCATACAGTGTTACTATGGTGTTTATCTATTTCGTGTACACTATAAACAACATCAATACTAACGTTATTTCAAAGTATGCTTCCTCTAAAGTTATGATTTCTACGGGAACACAAACTATGTAATCATTATTAAATACCTACCCCATTGGGGGTTTAGGATTACGGTTATATTTATATTTCCAGCTTTATTTTGAGTGAAAGGCATACCTAAATGATAAGATTTTAATAAATGCATGCACTTACAATAACTACTTCAAGAAATAAAATTAGCTCTTGTAATAAAAAAGTCATTTTGAGATCTTTGGGATGTTATTATAATATCCTATTATGCTGCAAATTAGAAAAGTTTTATTTTGGCACATATATAATAATGTTCTATAAATAGAATAGCCGTAAAGCAACTTTATATTTCAAATGAATTCGGGTTATATAGAAATATACATTAGTACGCCTGTCATAAATAATAGAAACATCCATATAAAGTATAAATAGTTCAAATCATAAACACTTAACCGTTACTTTATTAATACGCATAGACTAAATGTAATTCAACAGCACGCAAATATAGAAAACTTATTCTGTCTGTATAATATATTAGATATATAATACACACAAACACAATAATTATCACTTACCGTACAATTCAGCACTGGCACACTGATCCACTGTATATAGATAGAATGTCGCTCCTATTCATCTCCATCCAATATCTTATCCAGCCTGTTTGATGCATTCTCCCAGTTAATTATGCTGTATAATTTGTTGATGTAATCTATCTTATCCACCTTGTACTGTATAAAGTATGCATGCTCCCACATGTCTATGTTTAATAGAACAGGAACACTAAGCATATCTTGGTTCATGGTTATGTCTAAGTATAGCAATTCTGTATTTTCATTGTATGCTAGCCAAATCCAACCACTTCCTCTTATCTTATTACTAGTCACTACGTTTAATATTGAATTAAGTAATCCCTCACTGAACGAATTGCTTAGTAAAGTAGAAAGTCTTTTAGAGGGAGTGTGCTTACTAGAAGAAGGATGGAATGACTGCCAAAACAGTGAGTGGTTTAAGTGCCCTCCTAGAAAGAATAAAAGAAGAATTTCTTCTTCTGTTTGGGGAGTGTACACCAACTGTGTCATTTTCTTCTGTGCTTGTATCTTATTGTACTGATTTATGTAATTCTGGTGTAATTTACTATAATGTATGTCTAACATTTCTTCACTCATTATATCACTCATGTCAGCATAAGAATATTCTAATCTGGGCAACTGTACAGCAGAAGACAGCGACTCTCTGTACCTGAAGAGGTTTATATGCATAAACTAAAAAAAGAATTAGAAAATATATAGAAAATATTAAAACTACACTAAAATTTACTATACAATATATGCTGTCATATATTAATATATGTATTAATTGCTACTAAATTATTATATATAATACAGATGCATATATACATTGTAGAGATATGGGTTCTTCCAGTGCTTTTATGGCGTAACGCATAATTCACTTGTATATATTATACTTTTATTTTATTTATATGTTCAATAAGAGAGTATCACAGGAAAGAGACACCCGAAGTACTGGTATACTAGACATAGATGTATTATTAGGTGACATACATAATAAAGATATAATATTACTAATGCCAGAGGAAGGTGCAAGATATCATACAGCTATACACAGGATATTCATATCAAAGGGATTGGAAGATAAAGAGCGAGTTATCCATGTTTCGGTAGATAATACTGTACTAAATATACCAGATATAGTAAGAAATAAAAACGGTGTGCATACAAGAGTAAATGCAATGGAAATAGGCAATAAAACAGACAGTAGAGTAAAACAGAGCAATATAGATATTAATAGTGCCCAGAGTAGACACAACGCACATGGTTTAGGAGATGTCAATCCTATTACACAAAAGATCTCGTGGCGGTATAAGAATATTTCAAAGGTATCTAATAGTACTAATATACACTCAGACACAAATAGACTAATTCCTGGGTATAATGTGCAGTATAATATGAAAATATCACACCCATTATCTGACACTGTACTAAATATATCAGATACTAATGTGCACAATGTATTGGATATATTAGAAGAAGAAATGAAGAAAGGGGTTACAAGGATTTCTTTTTCTTCTTTATTATTCTATAATACGCCTGATGTAGATACTTTCTTATTTTCATTGCGCAGGCTAGTTAGAAATTACAACAGCATATGTCTTATGTCTGTGCCTGTATACATATATAGCATATCATACAGATACTTCGATCTGATACTAAAATTGCACAGTAATATGTTAAATATCCCAAAATATACTGGAGTAATAGAGTGTGTGAAGAGCAGAGTACATAATATGCACAAATATGCCATTATATATAATAGCACAGGAATAAAGATAGAAAAAATAGTAATACCACCCGAATAAGTATAAACACAGAAAGTATAAAAATTACATGGTTTAATAGAAAGTGTCAGAAGCAGAATAAATATAGAGATTATCATATAATATAGGAAAGTATTAAACCAATATTATTTAGACAGTTTTAGAGTGGTATTGTATATTATACTGCTGGTGTGATTATATTTTATTGTTTTATAAATATGAACTTCATACAAATATTTATTGTTTTTTGTACTGTCAAATAGTTTTAATTTATTATTACAGCCAGCTAAAGAGGATTCAAACTTAAACCAACTAAAAATAGTCCTGAAATAAGCCAAAATATATAGTACTAGTGCATATATGTATTATTTACAAAGAATTATTATTTTTATACATAATAGTCATTAATCACTAAATCATCTATAATAGAAGCATACGCGTATATAACAACTAGAACTGGCTTGAACCCATATAAATACTCTATTTTTATTCTATTTGTGGGTTTACGTTATTTCGGTCAAAAAATTGCAAAATATTTTTATGAAAGCACCACGGTTGAAACAAATTAGAAGGCTGGTAAAGAATTTAGAAAGGGCTGGTTACAGGGCCCCTTTTAACATACTTGCAGACCACGAATTTCTCATTGCATACCACAAGTCACAGATGAGTTTGAGCTTTCTTGAGAAATTATTAAATGGGAAGATAAGAGTATCCACCACATCATGCGAGTACAAACGGTACACCGCAGCTGTCAAAGATAAAAAATTAATAGGGTACGTTGCATTAAAGAAATGCAAGCACGCAGATGAGTTTAGAACACTTGAGTGTCTTTCAGAAGTGGTGGCAGACAATAATCCACACCACTACTTCATGGCAGTTGCAGCGAAGTATGCCAGGCTCAAAGAGGAAAAGAAAGTCCCTGTCATATTCATTCGGTCTGGTGTCGTGTGTATAGAGACAGACCCTTCTCTAATCAAAGACATAAAGGAAAAAGAGCCAGAAGGTCTTTCATCAAAGGAGAAAGAACGGCTAGAGGCAATGTTCAATGACACTGTATGCTAATTAAACACACTATAACTGCTTTCAATATTATT